GAAGTTGGCTTTAAAAACACCATCAACTATATATATATACCGCACAAGGCGGTGGCGGAAGTTTCAAAGATAGGACGCTATAAATAGGAGAGGTGAGCTGTTGTGATGCATGGATGGCAGAACAAATCCACTGATGGACCGAAAGGTGGTTGGAGTTGTGTTTTTTGAAACGGTTGCAGTTGGATGTAGTGTGGTGTAGGGCAGCTGTAGCTGTAGTTGTCGTGTAGTGGAGCTGTAGCTGTAGTGTAGTGCAACGAGTGTAGTGTAGTTGCAGTTGTAGTTGTGGTGTTGTGTAATGAGTGTAGTGTTATTTTATTTTTTTGTAGTGTAGTGTGCTATAGTGGTGTGTGTGCTGTAGTGTAGTGTAGTTGCAGTTGCAGTTGTAGTTGTAGTGGTGTAGCGTAGTGTTGTGTAATGTAGTTGTAGTTTTAGTTGCTGTTGCAGTTGTAGTTGTAGTCTAGTGTAGTGTAGTGTCAGAGTCATGTAATTAGTGTGATGTAACGTAGTGTAGTTGTAGCTGTAGCTGTAGTAGTTGTAGTTGTAGTGATAGTTGTAGTTGTAGTTATAGTTGTAGTGTAATTAGTGTAGTGTAGTGCAATTAGTGTTCTGTAGCGTAGTAAATGTGCATTTGCACTCGTAGTTGTAGTGGTAGAGTTGTTGCAGTTGCAGTTGTAGTTGTAGTTGTCTAATCTATCTATCTATCTGTCTATCTGTCTATCTGCAAGCTTGAAAACGAAGCTATTCTGCGCGACATCCTCAATGTTTTAACTTCACAACATTGAAAGCGCAGCAATTCTCCGAGATGCCCTCAATGTTTGAACTTGACAACGTCAAACACAAAGCAATTCCGCGAGACTTCCTCAATTTTCGAAGTTGGCAACATCAAAAACGAAGCAAATTTTGCGAGACTTCCTTCAAAAATGGAAAGTTGAGTGCAGAGCTGACGGCCTCGTATCAATGCGTTTTGCGATTTTGCAACTCCATCTGTGTAAAGTGTTGCGCCTGCCACGCAAAAGTGATGCCAGGTCATACGAAGTGCTGTACCTGTCACACAAAATCATCTTAGCAAACCTGAAGATCTGATGCTCCGAAATGCAACCCTTCTCAGGAAATCAGCGCCCTGACCTCCTAACATCTCTGATGAACATGTCTATTATACTGCCCTTGTTATGCAAAATGAATATTTTTTTTAGATTCTCTTCAAATGTCCCACGCTTGCCATCGTTTTTAAACATGCCACAACACCCTCACGTTTTGCTAACTTTGACACTGTGCACGATCCCTTGCGCTTGCCACGCAAAACGACATCTGAACACCCAAAAGCGGTCCGAACATGTGGTGCTTTTGGCATGTTGACGTGGAAATGTGCTTCGCGCCCCAACACCGTGCACTTTTTCGACATCTCAACTTCCAAAAGTGGTCCGAGAATGGTGTGCTTTGTACATTTGACTTCCAAATGTGCTTCGCGCCACAACGGCGTGCACTTTTTCGCAAAAGTGGATCGGCCCTGGTGTGTTTTGTACATTTTGACTTGGAAATGTGCTTCGCGCCACAACGGCGTGCAACTTGTCATCTCTCATCTGGCCAGATGGCTCCGCACCCGCCGCTTTAGCGAGCCTACCTTTCGACCCTCCGGAGCCACAAATCATTGGAAAAAACACAGTGTTTCGCGACTTTCCTACCTTTTCGCGCATCTGCATCTTCTTTCTGAGACTTTCTCTGTTTTGGTCTTCTTTCTTCTTCTCTTCTCTTCTCTTCTCTTCTCTTCTCTTCTCTGACTCTACCCTTCTCTGCTTTTCATCTGTCAATATTTGTCGGAAGTTTGACTTCTAAACTTCCTTCGGTTATTATATATATATATATATTATTTTACAATAATTTTGTATATCATATATATTTTCTATCCATATTTTAATATTATATATATATACTTGTTGAAATAAGCCTTGTAGAATGGACGGACCTGAGACCTTAATAAAAACCAAAATACAGGCTGGAAATGCTTTTTCAGAGATTACTGTAAAATGAACCTGAGGGTATGCATTTTACAGGAGGCTAATTTTGAGTCTGTTTTGGGGACTGATAGACCTGGAAGATCCATTCTACAGTTCCTTTGTTAGGTTGTGTCCAATTTGGAATATCCATTTTACAAGGGTGTTGGGTTGGGCAGAATATCATGGAACCTGGTATAACCATTCTATTGGGTAGAACCCGGTTCTCCATTCTACAGTCGATTTTGTAGGTTTTTGGTGTGATGTTAACATATTTAACCAATTTTTAGGACTTATATATGGTTTTGAGGTGCGTATCCATTTTTTGGGGATCATAGAGTTTAGTTATTATTATCCAATTTAACAGTATTATGGATGCTTATAGGTAACATACAGGCAATTGACAAGGTCGCTCCTTTTTTAAAGAAATGTCTATATTTAGTTGCGTCGAAGCTTTCCCTGGAAGTCGTGCCTTTTTGGAAAACGCAAGCAAACTCTGGTGATCACAGCGCAACCATGCTTTTAAGTGTTTTTGTGTTTTTTCTTGCGTTCAGCTTGTGGTTAGGTATCTAGTTATGCTTTGGGTATATGTAGTTTTTGTTGCGTTCAGTTGGGGGGAAACTTTTTTTGTTGCAGCTGCTTTCTTATCAGTGACTTCTGTACGTTCAACTGTATTTAGCAACTACTGTTAAACTGCTGCTCAATTGCTGGCTGTTGCTCAGTTGCTGCCGCTGGCTACTGCCAAACTGCTGCTGGATTGCTTCTGAACTACTACCACTAGGCTTACGTCATTCCAAGTGACCATTTTGAACCTGACGAGAAAGGAAGGAAGGAAGGAAAGGAAGGAAGGAAGGAAGGAACCCAAGTGGTGGGTGCTGTTGAGGCACATCAGGCACATCAGGCACATCACGCGACATGCAGGTGAGTAGGAGACAAGTGGGACACAAGTGGAGACAAGTGGGAGACAAGTGTATAGCATTGTATACCCAGGCGGCCCAGAGCAACCAGACCGTAGTCGGAGAGCATGCCAGGAATGCAAGCCCGGAGGCAGAAGCAAAATAATGCGACCCAGAACTGCAACCTTTTCAAAGGAGTAAGAACTTACAAACTGCATTGGCCTCTTTCTGTGTGAGAGGGCCATACTTGTAGCTACCCAGTATCTATTTACAGAATTCTTATTGAGAACCCCATACAGATAAACCTGTTTGGGGAAGAAAGTGGGCAAATAAGAAATATTGAATCGCAAGGGCAGGGAGGAAAAAACGAAGCGCAAGTGAAAGGTTCCAATTTGGAAAGGGCTATTTTGACGCTTGCGTTCACAATGGGGGAAGACCAAAAGGCATGACTTAGGCATGACTTCTTGATGTTGCGTTCACAAGCGGGGAAAGCGAAATGAGTGACTTAGGCATGACTTTGTCAAATCCCTGTACCACCCACATGAACCCAAATGAAGTAAAACCATGTGAAACATTGTGAAACTCCAATGCGGGAAAAAGGATTGATTTTGGATGATTTTGGATGATCTTGAAAGATCTTGGTGTTGATGGTGGATTGGGATTTCCATTTTACAGAACATATCATTAGAAGACCTGGCTTACCATTTTGCACCAGGGCAGGGTTGACCCCCCCCAAAAAATGTTAAATTTGGGATATTTTACTTGATTTTTCAAATGTTGGTATATTTTTACAGTGGGGAACCATTTTGCATTTTTTGGTTTGAGGTTTGAGCTATCCATTTTACAGCAACTCCAGTAACCATTCTACAGTAAAAGATTTTTTTCCGTCAAAAAAATATCACAGGTTTTCCCCAGTCTACAGTGTAGAATGTTTGTCCCAAGTACCCTCTGTTTATTTCAATGGGATTATATATACAATATTTTAAATATATAATATATATAATAAGAATAATTATTATTAGTATTATTTTTTATTATATACCTATCTATCTACCATAAAACATAGTATTCACTGGTATTCACCAGTATCAGCCCAGTGGTCGGTGCAAGGAGCTCAGCATCTTTTTTGGCGAACCAGTCGGGACCCTCTGAAAATCTCCCAGAATCCATGGCTTTTTGCTACCGAAAGATAGGTTTTTCCTGCGGATTTTCCAACCAACTTTGGGAGAAAAAACATCAGCAGGTTGGTGCTCTGGATGGATTTGTTTTAGCTGACACTCCGGTGCAGCAAAGTCCACTAGAATACCTCCATTTCAACGTTTCACCTCATCTTTGGTACCACGGCCCAGCGGAACCGAATAAAAGCCAAACCCTATGGCAATTTTGAGTCCCAAGACATCCACAAGGTGGTGCCGCATAGTCAGCGAAGTTGTTTGAACCAATTATTAGGTAAACACTATGATTTATGGGTATCGGAACTCGAGTTACATGGTTAACCTATACCTTTTCTGCTAAAGATGTATAGAGTTACTATAGTTTTACGATAGGTATATCTATATTATATATATATATATTGTATATATATATATATACCCAAGAAAGACCCTAGTCAAACAAGTTATAAAGCATCAAGCATCACCAGGAAACATCACTTTGACCGGGGAGGTCAGCTGCGAAACTCAGGAGGCTTTCTATCCACCACCAGTCCAAAGTAGCGACGGCGCGGAGGACTGGGACTTGCCATTTTGGAAAGGAAACGTCCGGTAATGAAATTTCCATGGGAGATTCATGGGATACCCTCTGGTAATTTCACAGCGAACTGGCAAATTACCATGTTTAGTAGGTAAATCATGGTAAATCTTCGAACTAAATGGGCCATTTTCAATAGCTATGTTAATTTACCAGAGGCTATTTACCTGAGTTCGGGTTCCCTGGGGTATAGGTTTTGATATTTCATGTTTGTTGACCATTTGGATTTTGTTTTGGTTGAAATTGATGGTGAAGTCCCGTTTTTGAGACCCTGCTTCATTCCTAGTCCTATTCCGGTGGGCAACGGCACAAGGTTCAAGGATCACCATGTTACATATTTGATACGCCGGGTACCACGCAGGACATGTTTCTATTCTTTCATCGGTTTGGAGAGGCGTGAACACTGGGCATGCTGGCCGCTTTGGCGCTGTTGTATTGCCTGAGATTGTTGAGGGATTTTAAAGAGCGGCTATATATTATATTAACTATATGCAGCACTGATATATGCTGAAATCAGATGAAATCACTCACCAATTTATTTTGATTTCATGTGATTCGCAGGGAGTTGGGATGGATTTGATTCCATGTGATTCACATACACCTCTTGTTGTTTTTTTACATTCAGACGTCAAATCTTTGACACAAACTAAGTGCAATGGAAAACAGCTCTTCAGTAATCCATTGGTGTCAAAGTGTAGTTAGTAATCAAATACCAATGAGTGTTGGGATACAATTCAGTGCCATGTCCATTGGTATCTTCAGTAATCAAAGATGGCTAGCTCAGACATCCTGAACTATTTCTGGGTGATTTCCCAGCCAAAATTTGATAGGTATGCCATAATTATTATTATCCCAATATATTCCCACTATATAAGATCAATAAGTAATATAGTAATATAATGTAATATATATAATCTTCATTTCCATTGCTAGCTATGTCCATTAGTAATAGAATATATCCCAATATAATGATATCCTATTCTATTCCCACTATGTAAGCATTTTTGTGCGTTAAACTGTTCAAGCCTATTAATCAACTCACCACCTTTAGTGATCACATCCAATTAAATCACCATGTTTTTAACTTAAGTTTCTATTATATAAATCCCCTTTTTTGGTTTACTAAATCGCTATCAAATGAACCTGGTACATCTATTTCAACCAACACGGCCCTTTTTCAAGCCGACAGGTGGTCGTCCGTGCAAAGAAAGAAATCGACTCCATGCGCTTTCGCGAGGCACGAGGGAAACTGGACTGGATATGTTTAAGTATCATACTGTCTATGGATCCAGGATATTGATATAGTGTAATATAAGGTCTTGTTGATATTGACTATAGTACTCCCAAACAGTGTCTTGTTTTTGTTCAACAAAATACAAACAAAACAATGCAACTGTAGATGTTACTAGTATACACATATACATATATTGTAAATGTAATGCAATGCAACGCTACGTTACGGTACGTTTTGTTATGCTATGTGTCTCTCAACAATTATATATACACTTACATATCAGTAAGTTGTTGCCTTTTTCCAGAGCATTTGACTACTAGTTTACTACTGTACTTCCTTTTTTTCGTGGGGTTCTACTTTTCTAGCCTTTGTTGGGTTGCTATGTCGCTACGATCTGGTATCAGAATCCCAGACATTGATCATGTTCTTCTCGAGCAGTGATGAAGACATATGTGGTGGTTTCCTAAAATGGATCCCCAGTCGTCACCATGGGTTTCAATACTAAAATGGTCTAATCTTGGATGATTTGGGGGTAACCCCCAATGACTTAGGAAACCTCCATGTTGCTTCCAGTTTGAGTTGATTAGCAGGGACCTGCCAGCGGGACAATCCCTAGAGATCACCACGGCGTAAAAGCTACGTTTCCTTGAGGCTTGTCAGTTCCCCTCCAGATTTTCTATCTTACAAATAACATCAAAGAACCAACTCTGTTTAAGTGATATCCCATATCGTTGACGTATCATACCTATGACACCTATGTCGTTCCACGGAGCTTTCAAGCCTGCATTTCAGGAGCTCGAAGCAGCACGTGAAGGTGGTCCCGAGGCAAGATGCGAGGAAGGTTGGTTGAATCATCTTGGACACGATACATATATCATATATATATATATCATGATGTGTTTGATTCAACAAACATACTCAATGAATATTAATTGTATTATAAGATACATTTATAACTATAAACTATATAGGTATATATAGATAGTGTATATATATATATATATTTACAGATATGTAGTAGGTTAATCAAGGAAGGCCTCCTGGTTTATCGCCCCAATAAATAAAACATGTCAGATGTGAGGGGTGCCAATTCTTGGTTGCACCGCGTGTTTTATATTTCATTATATAATATATATATATATACATCCATACATTCCTATTTCCACAGACAGTATAGAATTCATTGACGTACCTATTCAATATTGTTTTCAGTGACATATCTACTAGAAACTGTTTTTGGAGCCAATGCTGATCAGGCGTCGCGAGGGTAGAGTGTGTGTGTATATCATTATACTTTCTGTTTTATATATCTATATTCTATATACATATTGTATCATATTGTATTAGTTATATTATTACTACATTATATTGGTATTGAGCAACCATCAGCAGTCCTTAAGTTGGGAAGTGCCCAAAAATTGGCTAGTGCTTACGCGCTTCAGAAACGCACGCGAGGCTTCTGCAAAATCGTCCTGGGCCATAGTCCTGCGAAACCCAATGTCATAACCATCCCCAAGTCATCACCATGTTTACGATTTTTTATGGGTCGGATAAATACACCATCTCCAGTCATGGTAATTGTTTATCGCAGCCAGTGTTGCCCACAGATCAGGCTGCAGCACAAGTGGCAGAAGAAGTTGCCACTGCCAATGGACTGCCCATAGGCACGATCCCGCAGTTGTTTTCATGGAAGTGGTTTAAAAATTGCACAGGAAACATGTGGAGGTTTCCTACGTCATGGGGTTCCCCTAAATCATCCATTTTAACGGAATTTTCCCTTACAAACCATCCAGCTATTGGGGTACCCCCATTTATGGAAACCCTCAGGTTTTCAAATTGATGTGAACAAATTTCATGTTTTGATCTGTGATTGCTCAATCTCTCTCTGAAGACCGAAAGTTCGAATTGTAGAATTGCATCCAAACACCTTATGTCCCCCAGCAGCAATTTTAGGTTTCAAGGTTTTAGGTTTAACAAATTTGGGCTTTAAAGTTTAGGTTTAGGGTTGTTTCCTGATTTTCTATTGTTTTGAGGGTTTCGGGTTTAGGGTTTAAAGTTTGGTTCAGGATGATTCATGCAATGACGCACAGGTCCCCTGCCTGAGTTTTTGAGGAATGCCAGAATGACCCACTATTTACAGTGTCTAGAGAGTGCCTCAGGCAAATTGAGGTGTTTGACCCTAGAAGTGCTCTGATCAGCCCCTTGTCGTCGTTCTGTTGTCCTGGGCCATGTCATTGGTCCCACGTGAAAAATGGAGCAACAAACGCCTTGAATGCACGCCTTTGGACAGTCCAAAAAACATAGCTGACATCTTCACCACACCTGATTTTGTGATTTTGTGACCTCATTGAATCCCTTTTGGGCTGTCCAAAATTCCATCCTTTGCTGCAAAAAATGGTCAGGTCTTGTCAAGCAACGCTTGCTGCCTGAACCTGTGACCAGAGCCGATGTGAGGGTCTCGGTATGTCTCGGTCAGGTTCCACCCCATGGGAAATTTCCGTTTTGAGGCCATGAAGATATAGGAAAATACGGGGGTTTCATGGTGGAAATGTCATGATTATAAATGTTTCATCGGAGATTTTCATGACCATGTTGGGAATTTAGTTGTGCATGGTGGACTTTGCCATTGTGGGGTCTTTCTACATAATTCTTATCAATCATATTTATCTAGATCTAGTCACAAGGATGGTTAGATACTGGTGTTCTTGCACTGTGCATTCAAGTGTTCGACCGATCTGGGTGTTTTGGGGGCATCAACTAGTGACATCGAGGATTTCTCCGGCGTTAGCTGAGAAATCCTTTGCCTCCCACAGTGCAGCGTCTACATACCATGAAGTGTTGGACCATGTTTACAAATAATTGTTTCACTCAAACTCCTCCGTTCAAGTAGCATTTGGCGTCTGAAAAAATGTGGTATACCGTGGGTATACCATGGGTATACCATGGGTATACCCTTCAGTTATGGTCATTTCCTGGGATAATGAGAACTCATCCATTTGGTATGGGGGTTTTCCGCCTCTGTCAGACGAGGCAGTGTTGATGACCCCACCCGGATCTCCATGTCGAGTTTGGCCTCGGGGGGGGGGTCAGGACTTACCCTCTGGTAATTTGTTACATAGCTATTGAAAATGGCCATTGAAATAGTGGATTTACCCATTGAAAATAAATGAGCCATGATTTTCTAGTCCTCTACTGCTACTCTGAGTTTGATGGTGGCAATTGATGGTGGCAATTGTAGGGCAAGTGGTGGAGATTTCACTTGAAATCAAACCATGGAAGCACGGAGGGAACTTCCAAGTATGGTTTCGTCCTTAGACAGCTGATGTTGATGACACACATTTTATTCGTTCAGAAGAGACACTTTGACTTTGGATGTCACTTTCTTAGGGAGGCGTGCGCCTTGCGAGCAACCAAGAACAAACACTTGAGCAGTGGCAAGAATCGGCAAGAATCTCTGACAAGGGTTGTTTGTCTGGATCTTCTACATGGATGCCCCATTCATGAACCATTTGTAGGGGTTTCTCTCCAGTTGTGCGGGTCACGTCTGCTTGTTTCATGTTCCTTCTCTATGGATCTAAACACTTTCTGGGAAGGTGCTTAACTGCCGAAATCATACCTCAAGTATTTCCTGAGAATGATATACTTGGACACGGATTATATACTATTGATTGCTCTGCGTGTTGTCAACCTTGAACCAAAGGTGGAAGCCATAGATGGCAACGAAATGCCACTAATATTAGTCATACTTGGTTTATACCCTAATCTTCCAGTTACCTCTGAGATAGGTAACCAGGGTTATTAAAACACAAAACAACAACAACAACAACAACGACAACGACAACGACAACAACAACACAACAGCAACAACAACAACAACAACGACAACGACAACGACAACGACAACGACGACAACGACAACGACAACAACAACAACAACTGCAGGTTTGGGGTTGGTTACCTATTTGATAGGTAACTGGAAGGTGAGGGTCCTAATTATTCTTTAGTGTTGTTTAAATATTTGATTGAACATGATTACTGGATATATATATATATGTATATATATATGATTATTGATTGATACCTTTATAACTTTGATAATGACACATTATTTGATTTTTGTGATGTTCTAAGTGTGTGTGTGGCGGCGCATTTGGAACACGTTTGATGTTCCAAGTGTTTGTCGACACACACACATATATATAATATATAGCTATGATGATATTTTACCATAATTAATAATCACATATAATTATAAATATATATAGTATAGCTATGATGATATTATACCATAATTAATAATCACGTATAACTATAAATATATATAATATAGCTATGATGATATTATACCATAATTAATAATAACTCATAACTTATTGATTGCTTATTGTAACTATAATTCACATGGCTACTATGATCGCCATGATCCCTTGAGGTGCGAAGCGTGGCATCGCCTTGCAGGGGCCGCGCCGGGGACTTAGTAAGTGGAAAAAGTCGACGATTTTTTTTTCGCCGGGGAACCAGGCACTGAAAACACTTCGCGAAGTGGAAAAATGACCATAGAAATAGTGGATTTACCCATAGAAATAGTGGATTTAGCCATTGAACATGGTGATTTTCCAGAGTTTTTTGTAAAAAATAACCAGAGGGCACCACTCAAAGTAAGTGCAGAACCATAAACTGAGTTACATCTGGGATATACCCAGTTATATATCGTATACGCAGGCTGTTGACCACATGCCAAGTGACTCTGGCCCCCCGGGAAATTTGAAGCCATCTCAACATCCACAGATGAACATCATTCAAACATATTCAAAAATAATTGCCTTGAACATCATCCGGCACTCATGTTTGGCTTTGTATGCCTTGTCTTGTGCAATATACATTTATGTACTTTACTTACATCACATGCATATTGTGTAACTCTGAATAAGATACCCTCTGGTAAACTAACATAACTATGGAAAATCACCATGTTTAATGGGAAAATCCACTATTTCAATGGCCATTTTCAATAGCTATGTAACCAATTACCAGAGGGTAGTTTTTTGGCATTGACTGTTTTGTTTGTTCAACATGAGCTTTGATTCTTGGCAGTTCCCAGATTCTTGGCAGTTCCCGAATGGTCAATCTCAACTGTGGCTAGCTACTTTTGATGCTTAGCCATATGTCAACCACGGATCAGTAAACCTAGTCTGATATACCCTCTGGTAATTTGTTACATAGCTATTGAAAATGACCATTTATAGTGGATTTTCCCATTAAACATGGTGATTTTCCATAGTTTTTTGTATGTTTACCAGAGGGTAGACTGACTATAAAATTCTCTTTTTCGATGGTGCCCACCGAATTAAACATATTAAACCTACAAGGCCTCAGCACTCTTCCTGGGATGAACCTCAATGTTTTATTGAAGCCCACTGTCCTTAGTTGAAACCTCATTGTATATTACTTTTGTCTCCCATTGTGTCCCAATGATTTGTCGATGAAATATACAATACATATATATATATACATATATATATATACATATATTACACTATATATAAATATACAAATTACATTTTGGTTGGTATATATATATATATGTACATACACATATTTACGCTCTATATATACATTTTGGTTGGTTTAATACCTTAGTTCAACCGCACCACTGTCCGCGCTGTGGTGCTTGGACTCCCATGGCAGGCAAGCGACAAGGCGATCTCAGCCTCTGCACGCGCAGTCCAAAGGCGTCTCTCTGGGAGCAGCTGGAAAGCTGGAAAGTTACCCTCTGGTAATTTGTTACATAGCTATTGAAAATTGCCCATTTATAGTGGATTTTCCCATTAAACATGGTGGTTTTCCGTTTTCCCATTAAAAATGGTGATTTTCTATAGTTATGTTAAATTACCAGAGGGTAATCAAAAAACAGGCAAAACCAAGGAAAAAACACCATGTGCAAGACTTGCACTAAGTGTTTTTGTTTTTTTTCTTGGTTCTGTCGTAAAAGGAGGAAAGTTCTCCTGTCATGTGAATGGCCTTGGAAAATCGCGGCTATGATTCACCAGCAGCTGGTTGACCTGGATCTGAGTGGAAATTAGAGATGCAGGGGACGAGAAATTTCAGTCATGTTGAGTATCAACATGTATCAACGATCCAATTTTTAGGGGTTCCCATTTTGACCAAGATGGTATGTCGAAGATCGACACTTTGGAATCTATGTTGCCTGATTTTTTCATATGTTGTTCTTCGAAAGTGCATTTTGCTTTGGTGTCCACCTGCAAACTCTGGGCAGTTTTTGTGTAGTCTTCAGTCCGCACCTTTATTTCATTTTAGGGTTACATCATGAAGACTTGTTTGTTTTGTCCAGATTCTGCATATCACTTGCCCCGTTTCTTAAGAATGCTTCACTTCTAACAGATTTGGTTACCACCTGCACAATTCCATCTCTTTATCAGCATCGCACTCATGGTTGCTTGCAATTTAGCCACTGTATTCAATCCTATTGCCAGAGTCCCCTTGGACCCAAGAAACACGTTCCGAGTACTATTATTCTTCCTTTACATATTAATTCTTGCTAGATGTCCACCAGCAAAAAGTTCAGTCAGGCTTGGATGGAACGAAGCAATTCTTCGCCAGGTAATGGATATCCATCCACTGGATGATGTGACAAAATACCTTTTGATTTGTACAGGATGGGGCCGCCCAGTTATTAAAGTTGGTTTATAAACCCAATGAATACCAAAGTTATATCTACTATAAACCATAGAATTCAGCCACTAAAATATCTCAACTCAACGCTATCTTTGGGTCCCCATGTAGGAATTCTGCAGATCTGGACAGGTTAAAAAAGATGTCGGCCACTCCAGAGGCTGTGGCCTGTTCGGACGATCGCCGGATATCGCTGGGAGCCGTAAAAAAATGTCCTGATCAGAGGAGATTTGATGGTTGTAACAAGGTGGTGCCCCCCCAGTTATTAAAGTTCTGGGTAAATTGTCGCGACCTCACTGCGACCTCACTGGGAATAATGGTTAATAAGGGGACTCATCCCCAAATGGCCTTAATTCAGTTCAGTGAATTCGTCTAATTTACCCAGAAAGTTGGTTGATAAACCCATTAACTATAGATATATCAACTATAAACCATAGTTTTTGGAGTTATGTTCACCAACTTAGCTATCGAACGGGGCCACCACCTTGAATGACCATGAGAAAGATTCCATCAATGATCATCAATGTCCATGATCATATAATATCATATATATATATGTATTATAATGATCAACAATGATCATGCCATCAATGTTTACAGATCATCAATGTTCATAATATTTAAGTATTATAACCACAAGAATGATTGATTTGGATGAGAAGATCCTATGGTCATACGGACAGATCGAACCACCGCAAATTATCTAAGATGGAATCTCGGAAGAATAAAACATGACGGAATCTCGGAATGCCTCTGTAATTTGCGACATGTTTTTTTCCCTGGAACATCTTGTCATGATTGTCATGTTTTCATGTTTTTGGCTGGCAATGGACCAGCTGCGTCAAGACATGTCAAGACTATCGAAGTCCGCAAGTTTCTGCTGGGGAGTAACTTCCAATGACGCCATGTTCCAATCGATGGCTTGCTGAAGTTGGTGGTGTCGAATCTATGCATCCCAACTATGTCCGATTGACACCAATTGACATCAATTGACATCAATTGACATCAATTGACATCAATTGACACTTGAGTTTTCCTTAGGGGCTTGGAAGCATCAACTGCACCAGGCAGATGCGCAGTCTGATGTCTCGGATTGGGAGCTTCAAACTCAGTGTCGGGCTTTCGACCAGCATTTCTCGCGTTGTGGATGCCAGGTATCAACGGTTGGAGTTGTTCCTGACTGGTCTCAGTGCTTAGAGAAAGCAAACAAAAAGTTTACGTCAAAAACATCTTTGAATGTAGTCTTTGAATGTAGTGTCAATGATATAAAAATGGTCTAAGGGAGTTCCTGTAACAACTGATGGGAAAATAAACTGATTCTCGATGTAATCCATTGAGCTCAGAGTCTTGAGGCACAACAGTGGGAATCGTCGCTCTTCAGGAGCGCAAAGGGGCCGCCATGGCCGCCATGGCTAGGCCTCTGAAAGTGGCTAGGAAGATCTAGGAAGTATTGTGAAGTATTGTGAAGTAGGTCTCCATTTCTGAATTTGCTCTTGAATAATTCCTCTTAATCAGTTTTGCTTGTCTCCAAAATGTGAAATGTGTTGATTATATCCTTTTTTTATGTGGCTCAAGATCCCCCTACTTTGTGACAACGACTCCCTTTCTGTTCTTGGAATCTGCGCGTTTCTTGGCTAAGACATGCTAAGACTGTCTTCATGGTGGTCCTTTTTTTGGTCATTTGAAATCACCTGTATGCCTCCCTGTCGTCCTTTGTTTTCTTTTTCCGGTGGGCACCAGATATTCAACATCATGCTTAATCCTTGTTGATTTCTGACCCATATAAACTATACATATACGTATCCTCCAGTTGATTTGTTTGCTGATCTCTTAAAAAAAATGGAGAGAACGTGTTTCCTCCAAATGTGTCTAGGTGAATCGACTTGACTCAAAAACACAGCTGCAAAAAAACAGTGATTTTTTCTACTGTTCAAACAAAAAAAGAAAGATGTAGAGAACAGCGACCATTTCTTCATTTTCCGAAGGAAACCCATGAGAAACATAGGGTAAACCCAGCCAGTTCCCAGCTCTTCACCATCGCCAGGATCACCTGCGGCTCCACCCAAAGTGTCGTTGGGTCTACCGCGTCGACGTCTGGCGTTGCCACGGGAGCGACCGCAGTGGGGAAGCTCCGGATGGGGGAATCATGTCAGTTACCCTCTGCTTATTTAACACAGCCATGGAAAATGGCCCTTTTATAGATGGTTTACCTATAAAAAAGTTGGGATTTTCCATGGCTATGTTAAATACCCAGATGGTAGGTGTAAAATGATCATGAAATATGGGCTCTAAGTGGGTTATAAGGTTATTAGCACATAACATCACACAAATATATATGTAAAGCTAGTTAGTTATTAGATGTTATAAGATATCTTATGAGCGCGCTATAACTTATAATCCATAAAATGATCATCCCAGCTAATCACCATGATAATAAACGATCCAGGGGTTTTTATGGAGGGAGCGTTTAGGAGCTGTGGATATCCATATTCCCTATTTATGGGGAGCCCAGGAGCTACTAAAAGTTTCCCAACCACGATGGATGGTAGATGGATGAAAATGTGGCATGCCTAAAAAAATCTGGCTAGTTCAGAAGGAAGATGATGATCATCCACTGGATTTTCTGGTACGCTGTTTTTTGTCCAGACAAACCAATATACTAGTACTATGGTTACCAGCTAATTACTACGTGAGATGATTCTCCAAGTGTCTCCGAGAGACTATGAGGATGGAAGTGATGAATAATCATGGTATAACCTGCCGTATTACAACCCCCGTTTGGGGACATCACTTGAATATGGCTGTCCAGGTCACTATGAGGAATGACCAAAGATCTTGAAAACCGGCTAACATCAAAGAGATGAAGTGAACAACACGGAAGAGTCATGACTAGCTACAATACATGGGATATGATATAGGGATATATATAATAGAAGTATTGATTGCCCAAACATGGTAACATGATGGTGTGTTGGGAGTTGTATCATGAAACTCGAGTTGATCACCCAAAAATAGATGTTGGAGCTATCCAGTCCCAAGGTGTTGCACTCCTTCGAGCTCGGCTTCAAGTCCTAAGTGGCCTGACGAGCACGGACTGGAGGACTGGACAGCTGCACCAACTGAAGCCTCGTGTGATCAACATCCGGGATCTGTCATCGAAGTTCATGACTATTCATGGTGATTTTCCATATATCTGGTTAATAGTGATGGCTAATAGTGGTTAAAAATAGGGTATAAACCAACAACAATGGGAATATGATGGTTAATAATAAACTGCTTGGTGGTGACTGGAACATGTTTATGACTTTCCCATCATATATGGGAATACTAACTCATCCCAACTGACGAACTAACTCCATCATTTTTCAGAGGGGTAGGTCAACCAACCACCAACCAGATTATTATTAACCATCATTAACCATATAATAACCATCAATATTAACCATTATTAAAAGTATATTCTACAATCGGGGGTTAACCAGAAAAGTTCATGACTGGACTGTCCATTCGGTTGGTGGTTGACCGCCGGCGAAATCCCGTCCCCATGTTTCACAGACACACATCGGCGAAGCTGCTTCAGTTGATCGTCCGGCGAGCCTCGATGGCTCCTGGGTAGTTAGAGTACTAGGAATATGTTACAATAGAATTGCAAAGGCCAATCCTAAACCCATCAAGATCATCAAGACAGCCAACAATCATTCTTGGATATGTATTTTAATGTTATGGTTGTAAATTTCATAGGTTCTTAGGTCATATTATAGGACAATGATAGCCACTTTTGGGAAGTAATTTGAATATTTTGTATTTGACCCATTTACCATCCTTGTACCTGGAGTGTTTGGAGGAACCCTACTTTTCTGGAGGATTTCTGACCGATAAGAAGATGGTGAACATCTCATGATATAGATCATGTCTGTATAATTCGTGAACATGTTTTTGCATGATTTCTGTATGATTGTATGGTCATACAAAGTGGGGCCTCCTAGAGAGCAAAGTTGGTGTATAACATCATTTAAGTATGGTTTAAAACTATGAAACTTACTTATAACTATAGTAATAGTCAAAGTATGCTTTATGATACTTGCAACATCTTATATAACTATAGTCATCTATAGTCAAATAGCCAAGGGGCTTTATAAACCAGCATATTATAACGGGGTGGGTTCCACAAGATGTCAGGACGATGACTTTGCATCGGGAGCCTCGCAGGCCTCACGAAGACGAAGACGAAGCACCTCCCATGGCTGTGATGAGGCCCCTTTGGAGGTAACTCCATGAGGATTCCTGAAAAACTGGTTGGTGCTTTGGAGCATGAATTGATTTTTTCCATATATATATATAATTATATATATATAATGTCACCCCTGGATTAATAAACCCCTGGGGTGTTTAATTGGGAGGGTACCATTTAAGTATCAGATTATGACTATTTGAGGAGTACCCCCCTAATTAATAAATCTTGGTTTATTAATCCGGGGTTGACATTACACACTGTACATATATTGGGAATAATCATCATCCAAACTGACTTTAACTCCATCATTTTTCAGAGGGTAGGTTGAAACCACCAATCAGTATATTATGGGTGGGGTAACTATAGGTATTTATAAGTAGTATCTATATTATATAGATGTGAATAAGGTAATTATACAATGGCTGGAGTTTTATATGGGAAGTATATGGCTAACTGGTAACTAGTATGATCTGAGGATCCAATTTCTTGGAAACCACGAATTGCATGTTCAGCATGTCATCCTGAGTCTGTAGGTCTGGCAGCAACAGCAGCCTGATGTTCTGACAGGAAGCCATGCGTTACAATGTTACAATCTACCGCGGACCAACAACGGATGATGTCAGAATGTTGACAAAAAATGCCCATTCTGAAAAGGACAAAAAAAAATCCCAAGTTCCCCAAAAAAACAGAAATTGGAATCCCATCCGATCATCCCATTCCTTTCTGGTCCGCACGGCCATGGCCCCATGGCCAGGACCCAGAGCTCAGCACCCATGCGCCATCTGATGCCATGGAGGTGATCCGAAAAAACCGATCTGGGGAAAGCAGCCGTTCTGCAACGACCATGGGAATGGGGGAGGAATCCCATGGCGACTTGGAGATAGTTTCATGGTCATATTGTAGATTATTCATCTGGTAAAGCCAATAAATAATATCAAACATGGTGATGAATCCCAATAATATATGTGTGTATATGATTTATTGGCTTTACCAGATGAGTAATGATGAATCATCTATAGGATTGCAGTGAAAAAAAATCGCCGGAAAAAAAGACCGATTCTATTGTACGTGGATGGCACTCGTTGTTTCAATCTACTTTAGGATCTGGTCAGAACACCCTCACAAGCAACGCGAGTCAATTAGATGATCTAGATGTGTGTTAGATATTGTTTGGGCAACGAGGTTTCGTCATGTCTACCCATGCAATCAATACACTGGTATTGCACAAGTAGTACACGTTAGGTACATAAAGGAAGATACTGAGAGCCTCACGCGCATATTTTTCGTGTGTAGCTGCAGTTGTTCCCCATTCCATCCTACATGGCATCATGATCGCCGATGATATGTCGTTTTTAGGGGGCTTGAAACTTCTTGGTTACAATAAATATCAATAAATCAATGTTATCCATGATTGATGAGGGCAAATACAACCATGACTACATGGCTTTATTTGTGGGGTACCGGCGCAAGCGTTCATGGATTTCCATGACTGGCTGTTGGTTCTGGGACCACAGGTGGTTCTGAGTTTTCCGCTGCCCTCAACACCCACCAACCGGAGGTGGGCCGACTATAGAAATCACACTTGCAGTGGTAAGAATCAGACTACATTATATATTAGTTGGTTGTTTCAGATACGCAATATTTTTTCTTGTTGCGGCATTTGGGAAGTTCAAAACAATCAACATGTCTTCCATTAAGATGACTGCCCCCCGGGATTGCCATAGATGGTCTTATCATAGTTGACCTCAATGTTGGACCAGTGGCTGGAGGGTTCTGTTGTGATCCAACCCCTGGATTTAAGCTGAAGGTGCTTCGGACCTTGTTTTTCCTCTGTGGAATCCATCATTTGGGGAATCATTCGAAATATGGTTTACTTATGTTTACTCATGCTTACTTTTTAGGCCCCCCTTAAGCAACTCCAATCCAATAAGATGTGATGTTCGGATTGCCAACTAAAATGAGGTCTAACCGCCGGTTGGGATGAACCAGCCCTGCTGGATATGTATTTCCAGACGTTAAGGCTCAAAACAAACAGTGGCGTACACCGTACAACTAAATGTGAACTGTGGCGGGTGTCCCTGAATTCTTCAATCCAATCCCCGATGTGAAACATTGTGAAACATGTGTAGCATGACATTGCTTGGCATTGCCGGCAGGTGTTTTAAGCAACCTTTTTGTGCTCGGTTTCAAGTAGGGTTTGTTGGTTGCAGTGGTCCTTCCGCAAGCTGTATTTGCAGGTTACACTCTCAATCACGACACAGGTAAAGCTAACTAAAACCCACGTAAAATTGGTTCAACACTAAATTGTTGGGTGGTTTCTACCCAACATCGGATGCGTCAATACTACAAAAGTGCCCAAAGAGACACCCCATTTTGGCTCGCCATACCCAACATATTTGCCGGTTGGCCTTAAAAGCATCAAGTCTTGGACCACAGGTCTTTATCGGTGCCACGAGGCAAGGGACACCTGTCCTGTTGGTCTGTTGGTCCGTTGGCTTCGCCATTTGGGTTCAGTTTGAGATGAAGTTTGTCAGTTCCATCTGGGTGGCTTTAGCTATTCATGTTTCGTTCCATATTTATTGATGGATATATATATATGTGACACATTGTGACACATATGATTTATGTGTTATTTATGTGTAGATCATATGTGTCATATTTCTGGGTAAATTACAACGACCTCACTGTTCTCCCTCACTATAATCATAGTAGGGGAAATGATCCCCAAATGGCCGAACTATTCAGGTTAGTGAAATATAGTAATTGACCCAGATATTTTTTCTGATGATCCCCAGTTGACCACTTTATATTTTGGATGGATTCTACCAAGCCAAGCAGTTCCCGATGAACTCGTGGCCAACTTCAGCCTGGCACGGCTCAAGACCATGTGCAAGCCATCATGGAAAGACTTTTAAAAAGTGTAGATGGAGATATATGACACATATTATCTACTATCATAATTTATATATATATAATAATATTATATTGTATATGTATATATATATACTATTCATATAATACGGTTAAGTTGTACAACTCTGCATCATTCTTATTGCAATCTGACAGTATACCGCCAAGGCTGTCGCTAGAAACACTAAGTTAATCAGAGATAACTGACATCTCCTGCTCAAGATATGGCCATCTGTTTTTGGCACTGAAAACTAGCAGCGCTTTTTGCAGCCTCCGCCAACGGTTCTGTGTGAAGCATGGCGTCGGGCTGTTCCTCAGATGCTGTGTCCCTCGGTTTTTGGGCGATGCTAGGTCGCTGACTGTTCCACAGGATTCAGCTCAAAAAAAACGATGAAACTTGCGCCTTCAAAGCCCGGTTTTCAAATCTGTTGGTCCCAGCCATTGGTGCTTTTGTCGGTTATTATAGATATTAAAGATGATTTAAGATTGCTTAAGATCATCTAAGTTAGATCAAAGATGGCCGAGAAAGGTCCAGTTCCCAGGTCTCGATACCTAGGTCCCTCCTGCGCTGGTCCATGCTAGCAGCCTGCACCGTGGGTCCGGGCACGGTCGCTTGGCCCATGGCTTTTTCGAAAGTCTCGAGGATGGGGTGGAGATGAAGATCCAAATGGATGTGGGTCAAAATGGAAGACCTAGGGGACCACAGATGTTAGTCTAGTTTAGTATTAACCATCCATAATTTTGGGGTACCTAATTTTGACCCATACCCAAATGGCCAGGACATTGATCTGATGTGAACATCTTGGCTCAAAAGAAGTCTGGGAAAATCAACAAGGTCAGTGGCCTTGGAGTTCTTTTGTGGTCAAGAAAAGAGAGCCTGAATGGAACCATTCCACTTGTCCCCCCAGCAGGTAATTGTGGCCATTATTTGAATATAATCACTGGTGTCACTGGGATATGATAATCACTGGGATGATCAATGATTTAGAAAGTATGTACATCATTAATTATTGTCAATCTTAAAGACTGTTCCCTGATAATCTTTAGATATAATATAGTTTATGATCCCTATTCCCATCGATTTTTTGCCACATCCACTTTAGCACAGCACTGTTTCTGTTGAGCCCGACAGGTTGTGACCTGTGCGCGTTCGGGCGTGGAGTATGGGTTGCTTGGCGGCAGTGGTTATCCCACTTAACAGCTGGTCCCACATCTCTCAAGAAATCAACGCCTCACTTTGCAAGTAGAATGAAGATGAATGAGAACATGTAGGTTTCCCCCACAATCGCTTGGGGATTGGTTTCTTTGTTGGTTTCTTTGTTGTATGGCTAGGCCGGCTAGGCTATGGACCATCACCCAGGAATTCTCTCGCTTGGGCCTTGTGTTTCGCCTCGGTCCTGGCCTACTCTTTGCAGGCGGACCCAAACTTTTTGGAAACGGCGGTGAAAAAGCGGAAGACATGTGAGATCCATAAAAGATTATACACAACAATGAATGAATCTAATCTATATAACGAAAGGTAGCTCCAGTGGGGCTACCTTGAGTTTTGCTTTACGAAGCAAAGGGGAGGGCGACCAGCCCCATTATTTAGAAGGCTAGTCATTTCAGTACACCCTAAGAGCAGACCCAAAACACTGTAATTTACAGTATGTTTGTCCTTTTCGGATATAGAAACTACATCTTGCAACATGGTGAAAACTGCGTAAATACGAATGTTTTTGCTAGGTGCTGGCCAAAAAACACTGTATATATATATATATATATAAATACCGTGATTTTTGCTACCAGAGGCAAAAAACATCGTAAATATCGTGGGGCTTCCGACCCGCCAAAAACATATTTTTACGGTGTTTTTTTGCTCAGAGAGTTGCAAAAACATGAAGAAACACAACCTATTTGACGATTTTCGGCCACTAGGGGACTGAGAAAAAAGCTGCAGGGGCAGCAACAACAACAACAACACCAACAACGACACCAACCACACCAACCACACCAACAACACCAACAACACCAACAACACCAACAACACCAACAACACCAACAACACCAACAACACCAACAACACCAACAACACCAACAACACCAACAACACCAACAACACCAACAACACCAACAACACCAACAACACCAACACCACCAACAACAACAACAACAACAACAACAACAACAACAACAACAACAACAACAACAACAACAACAACAACAACAACAACAACAACAACCAACACCAACACCAACACCAACACCAACAACAACAACAACAACAACAACAACAACAACAACAACAACAACAACAACAACAACAACAACCCAACAACACCACAACACCATACAACACCCAACAACACCAACAACACCACACACAACACCACCAACAACACCAACAACCACCAACAACACCAACAACACCACCACACCAACACCACCACCCCACCCCCCCCACCCTCACCCCACCCCCCCCCCCCTCACCCCCACCCCCTCCGCCACCCCACCCCACCACCCCCATCCCCGCCCCCCAACCCTCCACCACCACCACCACTGCCCCCCCCTTCCACACTGCCACCCTGGCCACACTTCCACCACTCCATCCACCCCACCACCAACACAACACCACACCACCACCACCACCACCACCACCTCCACCACCAACGAAAACGACAGCACCAACAGCACAAACAACATCAACAACACCAACAACACCACCACCAAAGGATGGCGTTTGCAAGCGTACACGGTACACACATCAAGGCGCTCAGCCCTTTGGCAAAGCAGACCTTACAATGTGATTGACCCTCGAATTCTCGCAGTGGTGCTGGATGAGCAGGTGGCGGTATTGCAACGGCAACTTTGCTTGCCAGGCGGTCTCACCAGTCGGTTGAAAGAAGTGCAACTCACCCTGGGAGATTCTTCGCTATTTCCTTCAGACCAGATCACTTGGCCCGTGGCGCAAGAGAGGCAGTGCTTTGACTCGCTGGAGTATCTAGCATTTGAGGACCTCACCCAGGACTTGCTGTCGTGGGTCGGTGATGCAAAAAAGCGTGTTGGTTCCAGCACCACGTGCAGCCAGCTTTTGGCCGCTCATCGCTGTACTGGAGCAGACGACGGCACTGGGAGCCATCACAACTGTCTCCGTGTTTGTGCCCTGTGCACCGAAACTTGTTGGACAGTGGTCCAAAAGTGCATCTTTCTGGGCCTCGGCGTTGGGACAGCCGTTTGCCGTGGCCAAACACAAACAGCATCCGCGGCGGGAATCTTGCTGGGAATATTCCAGCGCCACATTCTTATGTTAACAAGGCCGAAAAATGCAAATTCATGAAAAAGGGAAGTAGGGATGTCTCTTTAGACAGAAAGGATTTACGGACAGTCTGTAGAAAAAGTATTGAACTGGGGAGGCCCGTATGTGCGTCTCTAGTTTTTCTTGTTCCCGAATGCGTAGCAAGGGTTCCCGTTTCACTCTGGGGGTCTGGGGGTTGAGAGTGTGTTCGCTCGACGTTGCGTCCGCGTCCGCAACCGTTCGCAACCGTTCGCAACCGTTCGCAACCGTCCGCAACCGTTCGCAACCGTTCGTACGAGGTCCGTATGGCCGTGCCTATGGGAAGTTTTGCAGAGGTGGTCATTTTTGGAGGTTTCAGACGTGTCGTTGCTTCGTTTCGCGTGGCAGGCGTGGCACTTCGTGACATTCGGACGTGTTTTGCAACGTGTTGAAAGTCGTTGCGCGTGGCAGGCGCAATACTTTTGCGACGTTTTCAGAAGATGTGTTGCAGTTTTCGTGGCAGGCGCAGCACTTTAGGCGTGTCCATCGTCATTTTTCGTGGCAGGCGCAGCACTTTAGACGTGTCCTTTTGCGTGTTTTTTGTAAATCGCATCGGCAGGGCTGCGTCAAGTGGTGACAAGGTGCAAATTCCGTGGCAGGCGTGGCATTTTGTGACATGTGCTGAAAATTGACGGAAGCCTCGCACGAAACATCGATTTTGAGGTTACAAATTTTCAGGTTCTAAGGAAAACTCGTAGGAAAACGTCGATTTTGGAGCTGCAAAGTATGAAAATTGGAGGAAGTCTCGCACGAAATGGTCGTTTTGGTGCTCCCACCTGTCTCTTCTCGCGTGTCTGGTTTTCCCGTGGACCTCGCCGTGTCTATGTGGGAAGCTGCAAAACTTGTCTTTTTGTCGTGTTGCCAACTGTGAAAATTGACGGAAGTCTCGCACAAAATGCGGGTTTTTCTGCATCCACGTGTCTTGTGTCGAGTCGCTGGTTTTCCTGTGGCGTCGCCGTGTCTATGGGGGAAGCTGGAAAACCTCTCCGACGGCTCTCCGATTCGAATGTGTCCAAGCAGGTTGTCATGTCGTTTTGCGTGGCAGGCGTGGCACTTTGTGACATTCCAACCTGTTTGATAACGTGTCGAACATATCAAGCTTGGAGGAAGTCTCGCACGAAATGTTCGTTTTTTTGCGCCCACGTGTCTCGTCTCGAGTCTCTGGTTTTCCTGTGGCGTCGCTGTGTCTATGGGGGAAGCTGGAAAACATGTCCTTTTCGAATGTTTCCAAGCAGGTTGTCATGGTGTTTTGCGTGGCAGGCGTGGCACTTTGTGACATTCCAACCTGTTTAATAACATGTGGAAAATATCAAAATTGGCGGAAGTCTCGCACGGAATGCTCGTTTTTTTACACCCACGTGTCTCGTTTCGAGTCTCTGGTTTTCCTGTGGCGTCGCCGTGTCTATGGGGGAAGCTCCATATTCCACACTCCACACATTACACTACACTCTACACTTTCCACTCCTCGCTCCTCACTCTACACTTTACACTCCACACTTTACACTTTGCACTTTACACTCCTTACTTTACACTCCACACTTCACACTCCACACTTTCCACTCCACACTCCACACTTTACACTCCACACTCCACACTGTACACTCCTCACTCCACACTTTACACTCGTCGCTTTACACTCTACACTCCACACTCCGCACCCCACACTCCACACTTTACTGTACACTCCACACTCCACACTTTATACTTTACACTCCTCACTCCACACTCCACACTCTACACTCCTCACTTTACACTCCGCACTCCACACTCTACACACCACACTCTACACTTTCCACTCCAGACTCCACACTCTACACTTTAACGCTCCACACTCCACACTCCACACTTTACACTCCACACTTTACACTCCACACTCCACACTTTACACTCCTCACTCCGCACTCCACACTTTACACTCCACACTCCACACTTTACACTCCTCACTCCACACTCCACACTTTACACTCCTCACTCCACACGCCACACTTTACACTCCACACTCCACACTTTCCACTCCACACTCCACACTCCACACTTTACACTCCACACTCCACACTTTACACTCCTCACTCCACACTTTACACTCCACACTTTACACTCCACACTCCACACTCCACACTCTAGACTTTACACTCCACACTTTACACTCCACACCCCGCACTCTACACTTTACACTCTACACTGAACACTCTACACTCCACACTTTACACTTTACACTCCACGCTTTCCACTTTACACTCCTCACTCCACACTACACTCCACACTTTACACTCCACGCTTTCCACTTTACACTCCTCACTCCACACTACACTCCCCACTTTACACTCCACACTCCACACTCTACACTCCACACTTTACACTCCACACTCCACACTCTACACACCACACTCTACAATTCACACTCTACAATTCACACTCCACATTCTACAAACTCCACACTCTATACTCCTCACTTTACACTCCACACTCCACACTCCACACTTTGCACTTTACACTCCTCACTCCACACTCTACACTCCACACTCCACACTCTACACTCCACACTCTACACTTTACACTCCATACTCCACACTCTACACTTTACACTCCGCATTCTACACTTTACACACTCTACACTCCCCACTCTACACTTTACACTCCACACTCCTTACTTTACACTCCACACTCCACACTCTACACTCTACACTTTCCACTCCACTGCACACCGGTAACAAGGGAAACATGTACAAGACTGTTCAAATAAACTATTGCAGAAAGGTATTGTGCGTGACTGCATAACCATGTGTGTTGACATCTGTACCATTAACATACGTGTGAGCATTCGGGTTCGTGGGCTTCATCTTGTTTTTTTAGGTCTAAAAACCGGCCCTTCTTTGTGACAGGTAGAAGTAAAAGCCATCCAAACGCAACCTTCGACCCCTGAGCTGGCTCAAGTGCACGTGACAGACCCGGCATCCCCCCATTGCCCGCTGAAACAAAGATCAAAGTTCAAGTTTCTGCAAAGTGAAGACATTTTTGTGAAGCAGCTAGTTGCAGTTCGCAGAGTCTGTGTGTGTACAGATGCCGCTGAAAAAGTTGCACGTTTGCACGCTTCAAAATTTGGCAATGTACAGCGGAGTGTTTCCACATTTGCTGATCTTTCTGTTGCTCTCGGAGCAGCACCTTGCCATGTCCAGAGGGTTCATTTTTGGCACCTGAAATCGGCATACTTTTTGGAGACGCGGTGGGGGCCTCCCTTGATTGTTTTGCAAGCACCTTGATCAGTTAATGGACCTGAACGTCTACGTACTTCCAGGTCTGTTTAATTACAGTGGATCTTGCTGCTCCCTCAACCTGATCCTCTCAGGCTTCCGTCTGTAGGGTTGACAGTTGCCTGGTCTGGCATGTTTTTGGTGTTTTTGCTGATGTTTCTGCTGTGTGTCTGCCTTTGTTCCCTGCCTCCTCTTCTGGTGTTGTTTGCCTGTTCGTTGTTTCTTTCCCGTAGCTTTTGGCTCAAGTTCGGCGGGGGGCTCGTCGCCGGCCTGGAGAACACTCCGGGCTACGTGGTGGCTCCCACCACTACCAACAGCAACAACAACAGCAGCAGCAGCAACAGCCAGCAACAGCAACAACAGCAACAACAGCAACAAGACCAACAACAGCAACGATAGCAACGACAGCAACGATAGCAGCATCAACAACAACAACAACAACAACAACAACAACAAGAACAAGAACAACAAGAACAAGAACAATAACAAGAACAAGAACAGGATCAGGAACAAGAACAACAACAAGAAGAACAAGAACTGGAACAGGAACAGGAACAAGAACAACAACAAGAACAGCAACACCAACAGCAGCAACAACAACAACAACTGCAAGCTCTAGATCGCAGTGTTCCCTGCCGGACTCGAACAGCATCCTCTGGATCGGAGTGACCTCAACCGCGCGCACCGGATCAGAGTGTTGCCCGCCGGATCTCAACTACAAAGGATCTCTGAAGATATACCCGAGAGAATGCCAGAAAGAATTCAGAAAATATGTCAAAAAACTGTCGCTTGGTGGGGATTATTCGAAGAAAGTAATTTGTTCCGAAGGCACCTTTGCACACAGAGGCTTTTGCACAATGAAGGAAGTTTTTGCATACCGATGCTTTGTACAAAGATGCTTTTGCGCACCTAAATAAAGGCACATAGGCATTTTCACACACAGTTTGCCACAGAGAAACCTTTGCGCAGAACAATTTTTACTACACATTTTCTTGGCACAGAAAAAAGTAGACACCGAGAAAAAATTGCACACACAGACTGCACAAAAAAAATACACACCAATTTTTTTTGCACGCAGAAACTTTACCCAGAACAGTTTTTACAGAGCATTGTTTTTCCGCACAGAAGCCTTTCCGGACAGATTTCTTTAAATGCACAGCAGTTTTTACAGACAGATGGTTACGCAACCAGCTTTTACACAGAGAGGTTTTCTTTCCGCTTCTTGATCACCTACCTTTCGTGCTCCCCCTCTCAAGTGAATTTATTGGATATACACTATGATATACATATTGATATACATTATGATTTACACTATGATATACTTTTTGATATACACTCTGATATACATTATGTTATACATTATGATTTACGCTATGATATACATTATGGTATACACTATGATATACATTATGATTTACATTATGATACTAATATGTTTCATGTATTACAATTGCTCGTAGGAACACCAGTTGGTTCCAGGACACAAGTTCGTTGGTTTCCCTATTTTCCCGTCCGAAAGCGACAGGAAGGAAGCGCTCGTTTGACATTGGTTTCTGGCAAGACCATGGGACAGTTCCTAGACATCCCTGAGAAAACGCGCGGGAACGGGTAGAACGTTCGGAAAATCTGGGGAAGTGCCAAGAACCTTGGGACTTGAGCCGGCAATATATGGGGAAATGATGGAAACCAGAAATAATGCTTCAGAATTGAGTGGTGTCAACTGGTTGATTGTTGGATTATGAATGACGATCATTGACTATCACATAATTCATTAGGAGAAACACTATCTACCAACCAGTAGGGATTGGGGTTGACGAAGGGTTTTGGGCGCTTTTCATTTGTGTGCATTGGATCTTCCAGTTCTAGCATGTTCTAACTGTAGACTATATAGTTGTAGGACATCTTCCAAGAGCCACCGGAACGATTTACACAAACTATTTGCGTACGTTTTAGTGGATTATACAGTTGTACGATGCTGTAATCATGTCCATTAAATTAACTAGCGAGAGGAGGTGTTGATTTACGGAAACTTGTATCTCGGCTCTCACAAGATGGGCTTTAGGCCCTAGTTCTTGGTCGGAGGAGCCATGGATCTGTATACCGACCATAGACTCATCCATCCACTAGCCTAGTGTTATACCAACTCACCTAAAGGAGGCCAGACCTGGCATTTTGTTCATAACGTTCCCAAAGATGCAGGCGAAATCCGAGGCTTTCCACTCAGCCCCCAAGGTGTGTCCAGGAGAAGTTCAAGACTTCAGCGGTAGGAGACAACTTCAACCAGCCAGTAATTTACTGGGTGAGGTAATTTTGATAATGGCCTGAAATTTAAACCTAAGATTTTCCACACTATATACATATATATATATATATAATTATATATATAATGAGTGAAACCTACTGATGCTATTTTTGGTGGTTGGTCACCAGACCCACTCGGAGAGTAGGTGTGTTTGTCAGATGTCATCACTTTTTTACCGAGCCGACAACTATTTGATCCTGTTTATTGAACCCCCAAATCCAAAGATGAGTTTTATGTCCAGTGCTGAACATCCTAGTTGCGGGGCAGCCGGCATTCACCTATATAGCCTATACTGATATCCCTTTGGATTTGAAGTTTACAGATAGTCCTTAACTTCCAATTTGTGTCCGTCCCGGATTGTTTGGATTAGTCTGCTTGAGTTGACCTTGTGTAGTCTATGTTTATCTCATATCAAACTTACTTGAACAATCTGACATCAACCCATCTTAATTAATATACATGTGACATGTGATATCATATATCTACTGGATCTCACCAATGCGTCTCCAGATGTCTCTAAGGTGCAAGATCCTCATTTAAGATATTTAAGTTCATCCATGAAGAAACATGATCATTGCAATCCATAATAACACATTGAAACGACATGGTGTTTTCCGTTAGCTTTTCCGTTTTCCAGGAACTGCTCCTCGGGCATGCTGGGCGTTCACGATCGCCGTGTGGCTCGGTTGTGCATGTACCAAATGATACCAAGTATGGCCTTTCTTGTGGATGGAAACTCAGAAACGACCTTACCAGATCATGAATTCTACCACAACAAATTATCTGGCTTGTGGTTTGGAACATTTTTTATTTGTCCATATATTGGGAATAGTAACCCCAACTGACTTTCATATTTTTCAGAGAGGTTGAAACCACCAACCAGCTTCCCATTTGTCATATTCCTCCACTCGAACAGCAAGATTTATCGAGGTACACTGGTTGCTTGCTCTATCAGTGCAACAACTTTGCTGGCGGCGTTGACGCACTCTTCGCTTTCCCAGGCCTTTGGAGGGTCGTAACTATTTCGGTCTATCCCGAAAATCCTCGAAATGGGATTCTGGGGTATACACATTTTTTGGACACCCGGAGAGCTCATGCAAGGAACCGAGCGTTCCTTGTTCAGTTCTTTGAGAGAGATGACTGTTGGTCGAAATCTTGCTGCTGGGGTGAACATCCCAGCAATATAGTTTTCATTGCAATATGGTTTCACCGACAGGTCATCTATACAAAGTGAGATAGATCACCTACCTACCTGGGAGAATGTGGGAGATCATATGAGAGTGACCCAGCTGCAAAGGCATGGAGAACTTCTCGCAGAATGCCGTAAGAGACTGGGTGGCAAGGTGGTCTGGTTCACCTTCAGCTGGTTCAATGGATTGGTTTAGTCGGGAATATCTTAAGCGGAAACCATGAATTTTCCCATGATCATCTGGGGTTCCTGTTTCATGTTTCCCTTACGCCAATCCATTGAATGTGACTGGCAACGCAAATTCTAAGACGTCACTTGAAATGGCTTTGCAGCTGGAGACAGTTGAGATGAGCGCCAGCATTGAACCTAGGAATCGGCGGTTGCTTTGGCTATGGCATTGCTGCTCCCCGGGCTGAAAAATTGAGGAATATGGCCTGGTCAGTCCTAAGAAGTTTCAAATAAGTTCCGCGAATTTTTACATGGATCATGATGGATATATATATATATTATATATTATATATATTATATATACACAGTATGGATATAATCATCCTGGGATAGATGGAATATCCCGCAGATCATTTTCGTAAGTGGGGGATAGTCCTGGATTTCTTTTTATCTCCAGGACTCTATCTGGACTCTATCAACGCACCAGGCCGGACATATTAAGATGGAAAAAGTACGTTCTGTCTATTCCATCGTATATATATATATATAACTTTTTTCAGAAGTGTCGTGCTAGTTTTTTGAGGGGGGAACTGAATTCTGGAGACTTGCATGCCGAAGAACATGTAGTTTTCTCTTCAGTCTCGTGCCAAATTACTTGTCGCAAATCTTAAACTCCCTTTCTTTTGCATCCGTAGACGCCGCAAGCCTAAAAGAAACCATACAGCCTCCAAACCCCACCCGCCAAGTACGCAAATTACAAATTGCCCAAGACGCTGATGATTCCAGGATTCCGTGCATCTTGGTTGGCGGGATACAAGTCTTCAGGTGGTAGTTTTTGGGGTGAAGAGTTGCCATGACAATACGATGTAATTTGCGGAAGAGTCTTGAGGATTGTGAATGATCAGCACCCTATACAGATATATACAGATATCGTGTTGTCCTCGGACGAAAACTCGGATGTACACTACATTACATTACATTATACACTACATTTACATTTACATGTACATTTACATTTACATTCCACTACATTATCATAATACATACATACATACATACATACATACATACATACATACATACATACATACATACATACACACATACACACATACACACATACACACATACACACATACACACATACACACATACACACATACACACATACACACATACACATATACACATATACATATACATATACATAATCATAAATATATATATATACACATTGCAATACAATACAATACAATACAATACCAGTATGTGAGATTCCCACCAGTATGTAGCATGACGGCTTGCTGCGATTGTTCTTTAAAATGTCTAAGCAATTGATGGCTGCTTGGACTTCTGAACTTCCATCCATGAACCTCTTTGAGTGTTGTTGAAGAGAAGATCTTACAGAGTGGCATCAAGTGTGTCCGAGGGGGGGAAGGTTTAGATAATGACTTAGCATGTAGGCAATTGCTTTGTAGGGCAGAGGAGGGAAGATTTAAACAATGACTGAGCATGTAGGCCATTGCGTTGTAGGGCAGATGGGGGGGAAGATTTAAATAATGATTTAGCATGTAGGCCATTGCTTTGTGGGGCAGAGGGAGGAAGATTTAAATAATGACTAAGCATGTAGCTACAATGTAGCCCGTTGTTTTGAAGGGCAGAGGGAGGGGGAAGATTGAGATAATGACTTAGCATGTAGCCCATTGCTTTGTAGGTAGGGCAGAGTGGGGAAAGATTTAAATAATTACTTAGCATGCTGATCATTGCTTTGTAGGGCAGAGGAGGGAAGATTTAAACAATGACTTAGCATGCTGATCATTGCTTTGTAGGGCAGACGGGACGAAGATTTAAATAATGACTTAGCATGTAGGCAATTGCTTTGTAGGGCAGAGGGGGGAAGATCAAAATAATAACTTAGCATGCTAATCATTGCTTTGCAGGGCAGACGGGAGGAAAATTTAAATAATGACTTAGCATGTAGGCAAATTGTTTTGTAGGGCAGAAGGGGGAAGATTTGAATAATGACTTAGCATGCTGACCATGGCTTCATAGGGCAGAGGGGGGAAGATTTAAATAATGACTTTGCATGCTGATCATTGCTTTGTAGGGCAGAGGGGGGAAGATCTAAATAATGACTTTGCATGCTGATCATTTGCTTTGTGGGGCAGAGGGGGGAAGATTTAAATCATGACTTAGCATGCTGATCATTGCTTTGTAGGGCAGACCGGGGGAAGATTTAAATAATGACTTAGCATGTGGGCCATTGCTTTGTAGGGCAGAAGGAGGCGGATTTAAATAATGACTTAGCATGTAGGCCATTGCTTTGTGGGGCAGAGGGGGCGTAAGTTTAAAAAAAGATCTCTTGTGTTGCCCATCTTTTTGTAGGGCAGAGGGGAGGACGATTTAAATAATGACTTAGCATGTAGCCCATTGCTTTGTAGGGCAGAGGGGGAAAATTTAAATATTGAGTATGCATGTAGCTACAATGTAGCCCATTGCTTTGCAGGGCAGAGGGAGGGAAGATTTAAATACTGACTTTGCATGCTGATCATTGCTGTGTGGGGCAGAGGGGGGGACGATTTAAACAATGACTTAGCATGTAGGCCATTGCTTTGTAGGGCAGAGGAGGGCAGATTTAAACAATCACTTAGCATGTAGGCCATTGCGTTGTAGGGCAAAGGGGGGGAAGATTTCAATAATGACTTAGCATGCTGATCATTGCTTTGTAGGGAAGATGGGGGGCAGATTTAAATAATGACTTAGCATGCTGATCATTGCTTTGTAGGGCAGAGGGGAGGAAGATTTAAATAATGACTTAGCATGTAGGCAATTGCTTTGTAGGGCAGAAGGAGGCAGATTTAAATAATGACTTAACATGTATCTACAATGTAGCCCATTGCTTTGTAGGGCAGAGGGGGGGACGATTTAAATAATGACTTAGCATGTAGCCCATTGCTTTGTAGGGCAGAGGGGGGGACGATTTAAGTAATGACTTAGCATGTAGCCCATTGCTTTGTAGGGCAGAGGGGGGAAGATTTAAATTATGATTTAGCATGTAACTACAATGTAGCCCATTGCTTTGTAGGCCGGAGAGGGGGAAGATTTTAATATTGATTTAGCATGCTGATCATTGCAAAGGGGGCAGCAATTTATTAATGACTTAGCATGCTGATCATGGCTTTGTTGGGAAGAGGGCAAGGTATGTGTGCGCAGGTGACGGGAAAATAGGCTTGCGGGTGCGCCAGTGAGGGGAAAGTAAGCGGTCAGGTGCGCAAGTGAGGGGAGTGCGCAAGTGAGGGGAAAGTCGGGTGCGCAAGTGAGAGGTTTGCCTTGTCTTCTGTGACCGCTGAAATTTTGCAGCTGAGGTGATTGCAATTCTTTACCAGGACCAGGCAGATGCTATTGGGACCGGCCTTGGTGTGGTGATGATGGCCACTCGCTCGACACTGGGGAATTGTTACGTGATGATTTGGTGATTCTATAATCCTATCCCCCGTTATTAAACACCCCATTGTATGGTAATGTATGGTCCCACATATGTGTAAATCCCCTAGTAAGCCATGGTTTCGATAGCCATGGTTTCTGGGATGATTTTAATATTGTCGGCGATGGAAGTATCACCGGTAAGATATTTTGAGGATTATGGATCTGCACTAGCCCTCCTGATGATCTGGAATACCGCATGCTGCTTTTCGCCTCGACATGAATGATGCCCAAGATGGACGGAGATACTTGTACCCTCCAGTAAAGCGGTGATTTTCCATGGCTATATGGAGGTTTCCTAAAATAGGGGTCCCCCGAAATCATCCATTTTATTTTGGGGTTTCCCGGCTATTGGGGTACCCCCATGACTATGGAACCCCCCCATATTAGTTTACCCAAGGTTCAAGTGCGTTCAACATACGTCCCCGACATGGAGAATCCAAGCGAAAACATCGGAATGGCTTCAAGAAAAGATCCCCCCAAGAAAGGAATGGATGCGTAAGTAATGGTCATCCTTGTGTATTTGATAATATTTGGAATTTTTGTTAAGTGAGCTCACAGAGATGAGAATATGTTTGAAAATTCCGTATTCAACACGAGTTTGACATATTGAAATATGGACTTGCCCAACTTTGAGGCTTGTTAGTCGTTTGAGTTTTCTTTAAACTCAACACAAGGATTATAATCCTTTGGTTATTTAACATAGCGAACCGAAAAGTCGCAGTGTTCTAGCTACGTAAATCATCATTCTTTATTACCTGCAAATGAACCATACCATAGCCTTGTTAAATAACCATAGGATCCACTCATCAATATAAGGCAATAGAAAATGGGGGTATATCCCTGTACAGAACCCAAAAACATAGACCTTATACCCCGTAGTTAGCGGAGTCGGTTTATAACTGCAATACCGAGGGTTTATGGTATATCAAGATATCGAACTAGTTACCCTCTGGTAAACGTTTACATAACTATGGAAAGATCCACCATTTTATAGCTGGGTAAATCCACTATTTCTATGGCCATTTTCCATAGCTTTTTGTATGTTCACCAGAGGGTACTATGGTTAACCAAAACCATCTACCATCACTGGGGGGGTCACCACTGTAGGAGGAAAGGAACGCCTCCAAAATATCGGTTCCTGAATCGGTTCCTGAAACTATAGATATGTATCACCGTGAACATCATTAGCTATTAAAAAATATGTATATTTTACTATATATATAATTATATTTAAATACATACATATTACAGTATATATATATATATACACCACTGTATTATAAACATATTATGTATATATACATACATATTATCTTATTGTTGATCTACTTTCTTTATCTATAACGGCCCCTGAGGCCATGATCGTCTTGTTTCTGGCGGCTGCCATCACTGTGGGCTTCTCTTGGTGCCTTGGGACTTAATAGTCATGACAGACATGGTGAATGATACAGCGATATGATGGTTTTATGGGACTTAAATATAGATTAAAGTGGGACTTAACAAGAACAATAGATTGAGTAGATTGTATGGTTTTCAGATGTTTAAGATGTTTCTAATGATGCAGTGATATCATGATTATAGAGGTTTCTATGATATGTTTCGTAATGATGTTTTATGGTGGTTCAAGATTTACAAAGATATGAAACTGATACATTGATGGTTGATTAATGATGAAAAAAATCAACTGATTTCCTGGGGAGTCCGAAACAGGGATGCCTATTTTACCAACCGTTGGTACAACGGAATGAGAGTTCAGTGTATTTCTCATGGCCAACTTAGGTTCAATATATGGGTTGAATATCAGCTGCTAGCTGCTAGTGAAATACCCAATCTGATTCTTTAGTATTATTTTAAGCTAGCCCGTTGTTATTTTTGCTTTCCTTGTCCATTTCTTGAAGTTCCACTTGCTTGAGACTTGCGAACTCGTTCTTGGGCACCATATACACTCAATCCGGGATGAGTGTTATTGTCGTTCACGTGCGAAGCCCCCAACATCCCCCAACAATCGGATTTGATGGAGAATCATGACTTATGTGTCAACCCATCTTTCACGAGCCAATCGCTTCAAGCTCACTTTTGCTGAGTCTCAAAGAACCATCCTATGCTTTGTCATGAAGTGCTCAGGAAATTTGTCCACAGGGCCTTCAATCCCCTCATGAAATGAGGCTTTCTTGAAATGAAAAATCCCCAAGTCATCCATGAACTTGGATGACTTGGATGATGACTGGGCTACTGTACCCAAAGTGACTTCGGAAACCGGCTGGATATTTACTTTGGATATATATATTATTATATATATATGTATACGGATACGTGTCTATAGATAATATCTCCTATGAATCACCATTAACTACAAATATTCCCCATGACTTAGGAAACCTTCTTAAATGTCCCTTTGGCACGTCATCCAAGGGCTGAGCTGGCGTGGGGCTTTCTGCCTACACTGCCGCAGATGTCTGCCGTTCCAGATGCAGCGACACCCTGCGAAATGGTCTTGAGTTCTTCGCTGGCAATGTCTTGGTGGTTTTAACGGCATCTGAAAATATGGCAAAGACCGGCTAAGGAAATCCATCCTGGAAATGGACGTTTCCTCAAGTTAAAACGTGTATCTCCATAGATATCATCAATGATTTTCGCCGCAATACTGGGGAGTTGTCATTTCCATGTTTGATTACCAGAGGGTATGTGTTGTGATTGGACCAGTGACTAGCAAGAACCAGATTGGTGGAAACATGTCAGGGGAATCCATGGTGAATACTATGGATGTCACCCAATGAGGTCCCTTTGCTTGATGCCCCAATGAGACCCCAAATGGCTATAGATCAATTCCGAGAAAAACAATGCGTTCAGGGGGATGTATGTCCATCACTACCAGCTTCTTTGTTGTTGAAATCAGGACCACCCCCATGGGTTTTGACCCATCACAAATAACACCCAGATCAGCAATAAGTTGGTTTATTGGGGTGTTTTCCATCTAGCTGTACATGGCGATAAATTACAAGGCCCATAAACCATAGTTACAACTTAGCTTTCACGAACTGGGGCACCTGAATGAAAGAAACTGCTGGTAGCTAAGGTTTGGTGGGCACCACCGCTATCGGGGTCAACCTCTTCTTCTCGGGTTCCATGGCAGTGGGCACGACGATGGCAGATTGCCGTCGTGGCATTGTGCCATGGCACAGACATTGGGCCCCAGGGTCAAGCTCCAGGTATGTAGAGGGCCTTGGAATGTCTTGAAAGCACATTGGTTCAATGTGGCTTTGTCCAAAGAATATGATAATATTATATCATCATATATTGGTACGTCCGCCAGCTACAGAAGAGGTAGTCCCTTCTCCAGGTCTAGGGGAGGACACCTCCAGTTTAGTGGTCCATCTTTGGCTCCGCCATGGAGGACTGACCAAACAACTGCCTTCACACAGAGATATTCAGAAAGTTACAGTGGTGCATCAGTGGTGCATGTTATCTAAGTTTGTTTAGTTTACTCCACATTTTTTGGTGCTTTGTCGTCTCAAGCTATTACTACAACGACGTGACATGATGTGACTTTTGCTTGCTAATGAAAAAAGATGTGTACTTGAAGTAGAACAATCACTCTGCAGTGAAGAATGGCTGCAGGCATTTTCCACCGCCTCTGCTCTGATCGTATCACTCCTCATCATGATTGTGGGCAGTGGCAGCGCTAAGGAAGCGGACGATCTAGGTGTTCTGGTTGCATAGGTAACTGGCGAGGCCTTCCGTTTGCGTACCCCATTTTTAGGAAAATGATATGGAAACACACTTCTCCTTCTTGGAAGTCTCAAAGGTGGCGAGATGGGCATTCATCTGCTGCTAGTTTGATCCGGATGTCAGATATAGTTTTTGGGGGCTGACACATGCCTGTGCGCACCCCATTTTTGGTCTTAATTTTGGATTCGAGAATTGGATTCGAGAATTGGATTCAAGAAACCATCATATTTGCGCTTTAAACCATATATAAAGCATGTGGGCTTTCTTGCCTAGTTTCATGGGAACCCCAGGAAAGTTCAACATCGGTCTGTTGGCCGATGCCATCGAGCATTACTTTGGCAAAGTAGGCGAGGGGTGCGATGGCGGGTAGACGAACCAGTTCATGGGGATATCATGGGCTATATAGTCAACAGAGTATACAGTTCATATATTGAACATGGTGGGTAATTAAAGCCATGCCAGAACTGTCCTAAACTACGAAATGCCCATTGGGATCTATGATGGTAACATCATCGGTAGTGGTCATCCAGTCAGCAGGGTTGGGGACGGGATCGACAGCGTGGCCCATCACATAGTGGGAGGAGCATCTCTACGTAGCTGCAAACACAGTAGCACCCCAGGAGTACCAAAAGGGAAGGTTGATCACTGAAGCCAGTAATTACTTGAGAACTCCTCCTAATCTTTCAAATATCGAAAGCTGCTTTGACTTGGTTTTTGTTGAACTTTGATGGGGAGTCTTCGGTCCCTCATGAACTTGCAGTAAATACTGTTTGTTTTGATCAACCGGGGGCAGTCAACCGGACGCCAGGGTAAGTTTGATTGGATGATTTTGGAGGTCCACCATGTTGTTCCAGAATTCATTTGGAGGACCGATCTTACCCTCTGGTAAACGTTTACACAACTATGGAAAATCACCAGTTTTAATGGGTAAATCCACTATAAATGGCCATTTTCAATAGCTATGTTCGTTTACCAGAGGCTGCCTCGGCTAGTCTTAGAACGAACACAAGCAATTGGAGGTGAGCTGAGACTAAAGGGAATCAAAAGAACGAGTCACGCGACCCACGCCACAGAGTTACTGTAGCAGTGGATCAAGAACACAAAATGGTTATATCGAAGTTTCCCACACTGGATGGTTTATAATGGAGAATCCTATTACAATGGATGATTTGGGGGTACCCCCATGACTTAGGAAAGCTCCATGACTGGGATTGTTGAAGAGCAGCCAGGACCCGACGACCAGAACTTTGACCATCCCCACATTGAGGGGATGGGGGGGATGACTCAACGATGAATGATGATTGAATGATGCTTCAGTGATGATTCAATGGTGATGGATGATGATGGGTGATGATAGCCGTTGGTGGATGATGGGATGATAATGATGGATGGTTGATGATGATTGGATAATATTGATGATAGGTGAATATTGTTGTTTGATTGACGAATGATGATGATGATGATGATGATGATGGTGGTGGTGGTGATGATGATGATGGTGATGATGGTGATGGTGATGGTGATGGTGGTGATGATGGTGATGATGGTGATGATGGTGATGATGGTGACTAGGGATAAATGATGGATGACTGATGGATGACGGCACGGGGGTCGCATTTGCCCCTAAACCATCTTGGGTCGCATTTGCCCCTAAATGAAGGGGGATGAAGTGGGTTCAGCGGCGAATGTGACCCTCGTTCAGGGGCGAATGTGACCCCTGCTTTTGCGTGGCAGGCGCAATAGTTTCAGAGCCTCAAAAGGATTTTTTCCATCTTAGAGAGTGATATTCACGTGTTTTTCTACGTTCCAACAGCCATTTCAATCAACTTCCAGGACACTATGCATGCTACGGTGTTCCATTGCTACGTTGTAACATCCATTCGAGCAACTTCCAAGACGCTTTGGATGTTACCTTCGAAGAGACATTTCAATCAACTTCTAGGACACTATGGATGCTACGTTGTACTATCCAGTTCGAGCAACTTGGAAGACGCCTCGGATGCTACGTTCCAACAGCCATTTCAATCAACTTCCAGGACACTATCATGCTACGGTGTACCATTCCTACGTTGTAACATCCATCTCGAGCAACTTCGAAGACGCTTTGGATGTTACCTTCCAAGAGACATTTCAATCAACTTCTAGGACACTATGGATGCTACGTTGTACCATCCAGTTCGAGCAACTTGGAAGACGCCTCGGATGCTACGTTCCAACAGCCAGTTCAATCAACTTCCAGGACACTATCATGCTACGGTGTACCATTCCTACGTTGTAACATCGATCTCGAGCAACTTCGAAGACGCTTTGGATGTTACCTTCCAAGAGCCATTTCAATCAACTTCTAGGACACTATGGATGCGACGTTGTAAGATCCATTTCGAGCAACTTGGAAGACACTTTGGATGCTACGTTCCAACAGCCATTTGAATCAACTAGCAGCACGCTATGGATGCTACGTTGTAACATCCAGTTTGAGCAACTTGGAAGACGCCTCGGATACTACGTTCCAACAGCCATTTGAATCAACTTCCAGGACACTCTGGATGCTACGGTGTACCATTGCTACGTTGTAACATCCATCTCGAGCAACTTCGAAGACGCTTTGGATGTTACCTTCCAAGAGCCAAGTCAACATATGCCCCCATGTCCCCCCCTAAACCCGAGTCCCCCTAAATGTCCCCTTGTCCCCAGGTTAAACCCTAAAGGGTTGAGTAACATATGGAATAGAGAGACAAGTCAACATATGCCCCCATGTCCCCCCGTAAACCCCAGTCCCCCTAAATGTCCCCTTGTCTCCAGGTTAAACCCTAAAGGGTTGAGTAACATATGGAATAGAGAGACAAGTCAACATATGCCCCCATGTCCCCCCCTAAACCCGAGTCCCCCTAAATGTCCCCTTGTCCCCAGGTTCAACCCTAAAGGGTTGAGTAAAATATGGAATAGAGAGACAAGTCAACATATGCCCCCATGTCCCCCCCTAAACCCCAGTCCCCCTAAATGTCCCCTTGTCCCCAGGTTAAACCCTAAAGGGTTGAGTAACATATGGAATAGAGAGACAAGTCAACATATGCCCCCATGTCCCCCCCTAAACCCGAGTCCCCCTAAATGTCCCCTTGTCCCCAGGTTAAACCCTAAAGGGTTGAGTAACATATGGAATAGAGAGACAAGTCAACATATGCCCCCATGTCCTCCCCTAAACCCCAGTCCCCCTAAATGTCCCCTTGTCCCCAGGTAAAACCCTAAAGGGTTGAGGAACATATTTAAATTATTGTTGTTTAGGGGCGAATGTGACCCCTTTTGGTTTAGGGGCGAATGTAACCCTCTTTTAGGGGCGAATGTGACCCCCGTCCCTGGATGACTGACGGACTGATGGATGACTGATGGAAGATTGATGGAAGATTGATGCTTGATGATTGATGATGGATGACGATGAATGATGATGATGATGATGGTGCCATGATAGTGATGATGATGATGGTGATGATGATGATGATGATGGTGATGGTGATGGTGATGGTGATGATGATGGTGATGATGGTGATAATGGTGATGATGGTGATGTTTGTGATGATGGTGATGATGGTGATGATGGTGATGATGGTGATGGTGGTGATGATGGTGATGATGGTGATGAGGGATGACTGATGGATGACTGATGGATGACTGATGGATGGCTGGTGGATGACTGATGGATGACTGATGGATGGCTGATGGATGTCTGATGGATGGGTGATGGATAACTGATGATTGATGATTGACGAGTGATGATGGATGATGACGATGGTGGTGACGATGATGTTGATGATGATGATGGTGATGATGGTGGTCATGATGATGATGGTGATGGTGATGGTCATAATGATGGTTGTGGTCATGGTGATGGTGATGGTGATGGTCATGGTGATGGTGATGGTGATGGTGATGATGGTGATGATGCTGATGGTGATGATGGTGATGATGGTGCTGAGGGATGACTGATGGATGACTGATGGATGACTGATGGTTGACAGATGGATGGCTGATGGATGACTGATGGATGACTGACGATTGATGAGTGATGATGGATGATGATGATGATGTTGATGATGGTGATTATGTTGATGAGGATGTTGATCATGATGATATTGATGATCATGATGAGAATGATGATCATGATAGTGGTGATGATGACGACGATGATGATGATCATCATGATCATGATGAACATGATGAACATGATGATCATGGTGGTGGTGGTAGTGGTAGTAGTGTTGGTGGTGTAGATGAGTAGAGGAGTAGATGAGTAGGTGAGTAGATACACGGATGAATGCATGATTGAAAGATTGAATGCTTCAGTGGACGATGATGTCATGTGACAAATGGTGTTAATGAATTGTGAATGATCATGGTGATGATGGTGATCATGTGACATATAGATGATGATGGTGATTATGTTGATGAGAATGTTGATCATGATGATAATGGTGATCATGGTGACGTATGATGCCTTCAGCCGACCTCCCGGTTCCAGGCACCTTTGCCTTCGCGTTGGGTTTTGTGGCCGCGGCGTTGAGCTCGATGCTCACGGCGCGCAGCGCGCGCAGTTTTTTTTGGGTGTGGTTTGGCCTGGAAACATGCCAAAATGTAACAGTATTAGAATGATATAACATAGAATGATATAGAATGCTAGTTTGGGTTCAAGGTTGGTGTTCTGAGTCATAGTTTAATTACGAAACATCCCGAGTATCTAATTGCTGTACCTATCTACCTATAAACCTATATTTTACAATATCAATTGTTTGGGATCGGAAGGCTTGAACAACTGTTGCATAGATATGATGATGAACCAAAAACAAATGGATGTAACAAATTAAAAAGGGGGAGGTACTGGGCAAACATCAAGGGATTTGGATCTGGCGACCAAAAAGAGGCTAATCAAGAACCCACAAAAAAAATGTGTTGTGCAGTAATCACCCATCCAATTCATTGGGTCAACTTACTTTGAGTCACAAACACATGAACTGAATAGACGACGAATAGACGATGTCCAAGTTTCACCTGCCCGTTTTTTGAGCATGAAACTCATATTGACCAAATCTATTTGGTAATCGATCTAAAGGTCCTTGTAAAGAGTTTTTATTAATTGCGAAAACCGTTCATGTACATACTATGTAAAATCGGATACTGTTACAGATATATGATATTCCCGGATATGAATCGAGTAGGTCGCTGAATTGATGGATTTTGCTCCTCTAAATGGTGTGAATTCACCTTGAAAAAAATGGATTGGTTGGAGACTAAAAACCACCAATTCAGTGGGCCCATTGTTGCCCCAGTGACTTTGATCCATACAGTATATATATATATTAACAAAACATCATGGAATCCAGTAGTCACCAGATTGTTGTTAGCCTGGCAATGGAAAAAATAATCACTTTAACGATGATTCCCATATGATTTGGCTACGTCAAGTTGTGATTTTCCCGGCCTGGTACTTGTCCCATCTGTGCTTCAGGTGGTTCTGGGGATCGTTTCGGCAGCAGAGGGCCTGGTGCTCTCGCCCAAGGACACGGTTTGTGTGTTTTGTAGATCATCTTACCATGGACATGGAAATCGATGGAAATCGATGGAATGGACATCCAAATTTTTCATCAGTTTTATATACTCCCTATGGATCCAGCCGTACCTTCTTAGGAAGTGTTTGGGGTATGATTTGGAGGGTTAAGTACCTTCTCAGACACTGTTTGGATCCATAGGGACTGTAGATGTGAAAAGTTTAAGACTCACCAGGAAGAAGTGGTTACATTGCAAAATAATAATGTTCACATAGAGATTGGAAAAAACCACCATGAATGTGACGATGAGTTTCCATCTCGGGAAAGCCATGGATTTCCATCTCTGGAATATCCATGGAATTTCCCCAGTCCATTTTGCCAAACTATCTTCAGCATCAGTTGAGTTTTCCCAGGACGTAGAGAGTGGGGCCCTGCCAAAGATACCGCGGAGGGCCTTCTGGAGCATCGTTGCTTGGCGGTCAGGTTTTCGCACTGGAAATCATCCCCATTTAGATCTTAGCTCTGGAAGTGGTCAAAATCCTCAAATGTGTTTTTGTTGTTGTAGATGTACGGTAACACAATTTCAATATGTGGAGGGCAGGCCAGACCACAAGGCCTTAGTATGAAACACCAGTTCCATCCGTATATGTAAATGTATATTGAAGTAGATTGGATTCCATATATTTAAATGGCTTCTCGGGCCAAGGAAAACCTTCCCGGAGGTAGTCTAAAATACCAGTTACCGTATACATATATATATATACATATATATATATGTATATACATATATATATATACATATATATACACATATATATATATGTATTATATTACATTATATTACTGTAGCAATATTGTCGATAAATTAGTGTTCATGAATTCACAATTCTAGTCCTGAGATGCAAGCCTCGTCTCCCAGGCCTTCAGCACTGTCCTGGTAGCGATGGCAGCGATCATCGCCAACCTGCCACGAGTAACGGTGATTTTGGTGGCACAGCTGTCTCCAAGTGGCAAGCAGTGGGGATGTTTTTCTTTTTGCTGCGGATATCAACTACCCTCTGGTAAACGTTTACATAACTATGGAAAATCACCACTTTTAATGGGAAAACCCACTATAAATGACCATTTTCCATAGCTATGTTAGTTTACCAGAGGGTAGTTTTCTCCAAGAACAAATAGATATCCAATATCAAGAGATTTACCCATCTAAAAGCTGGATAAAACCAATATAATTACTGGCTGGTGGTGTCAAATGATGTCTTAACTTTCAACCCTAAATTATGATGATCCGATGGACGATCATATTCTTCAGATGGCTTGAAATCACCAACCAGATATATTAAGATTGGATGACGATCCGGGATTCAACGAACAATTTGATGGTGGAGAGAAAGTGTTCATGGATATATATATATATATATATGGATATGTACAATACAATCATATACATATACCCAAAAAATCTGCCATATGGTTACCATGGTTGACATATTTGGCTGAGTTATGACGACCCCCACAGCGATGTCACGTCATTTCATGATGTGATGTGAAGTGGATTGGGGTTGGTCTTGTCCCAAAATGGCCGAACTATTATTCTAGACTGGTGCATTCTAATTGAGCCAGATATACAACTTATGTTACGATTATTAATAATTAAAGTATACTCATACCAGTATACAGTGTCTAATGGCTTCTGTTATGATTAATTATTATATAAACTCTTATGTTTCCTGGTATGAAGGCAGTCGCTTTGGGATGAAGAGTTGGCTCATCGCCTTTTGCCAATCGACGGGGAGCAGCAGTCCCCGCCTAGTCTCTGCAAAATGTCGGTTCAATGAAGTTCAATGGCTGAAGACTTCAGTTGGAATATTTACATATATAAGTGTTATATATATATATATATAGTTTAAGTTATATAAGTATACAAGTTAATTATATGTATTCCATGTTATTTTGCCATGTTCTTTTACCTTGTGTCAGGTTATACTTATATGGCGGTTTGGGTTGGTGGTTTGGAAGTCTGGGAAATAAGAGTTATGTGCAAAATCGATTTGAAAAATGTTTTTTTTGTGTGTTTTGTATTTGTTTTATTTTTTAAAACTAATCTAATCTAATCTAATCCTAATCTAATCCTAATCTAATCCTAATCTAATCCTAATCCTAATCTAATCCTAATCTAATCCTAATCTAATCTAATCCTAATCTAATCTAATCTAATCCTAATCTAATCTAATCCTAATCCCTAATCCTAATCCCAATCCCTAGTCCTAATCCCTAATCCTAATCCCTAATCCTAATCCCTAATCCTTATCCCTAATCCTAATCCCCAACCCTTATCCCTAATCCCTAATCCTAATCCCTAATCCTAATCCCTAATCCTAATCCCTAATCGTAATCCCTAATCCTAATCCCTAATTCTAATCCCTAATCCTAATCCCTAATCCCTAATCCTAATCCCTAATCCTAATCCCTAATCCTAATCCCTAATCCTTATCCCTAATCCTAATCCCTAACCCTTATCCCTAATCCTAATCCTAATCCCTAATCCCTAATCCTAATCCCTAATCCTAATCCCTAATCCTAATCCCTAATCCTAATCCCTAATCCTAATCCCCAATCCTAATCCCTAATCCTAATCCCCAATCCTAATCCCCAATCCTAATCCCCAATCCTAATCCCGAATCCTAATCCCTAATCCTAATCCCTAATCCTAATCCCTAATTCTAATCCCTAATCCTAATCCCTAATCCTAATCCCTAATTCTAAATCCTAATTCTAAATCCTAGTTCTAAATCCCTAATTCTAATCCCTAATCCTAATCCCTAATCCTAATCCCTAATCCTAATCCCTAATTCTAATCCCTAATTCTAATCCCTAATTCTAATCCCTAATCTTAATCCCTAATCCTAATCCCTAATTCTAATCCCTAATCCTAATCCCTAATCCTAATCCCTAATTCTAATCCCTAATCCTAATCCCTAATCCTAATCCCTAATCCTAATCCCTAATTCTAATCCCTAATTCTAATCCCTAATTCTAATCCCTAATTCTAATCCCTAATTCTAAATCCTAATTCTAATCCCTAATTCTAATCCCTAATTCTAAATCCTAATTCTAAATCCTAATCCTAAATCCTAGTTCTACATCCTAGTTCTAAATCCTAGTTCTAAATCCTAGTTCTAAATCCTAGTTCTTAATCCTAGTTCTAAATCCTAATTCTAAATCCTAATTCTAAATCCTAATTCTAAATCCTAATTCTAAATCCTAATTCTAAATCCTAATTCTAAATCCTAATTCTAAATCCTAATTCTAAATCCTAATTCTAAATCCTAATTCTAAATCCTAATGCTAAATCCGAATGCTAAATCCTAATGCTAAATCCGAATGCTAAATCCTAATGCTAAATCCTAATGCTAAATCCTAATTCTAAATCCTAATTCTAAATCCTAATTCTAAATCCTAATTCTAAATCCTAATTCTAAATCCTAATTCTAAATCCTAATTCTAAATCCTAATTCTAAATCCTAATTCTAATCCTAAATCCTAATTCTAAATCCTAATTCTAAATCCTAATTCTAAATCCTAATTCTAAATCCTAATTCTAAATCCTAATTCTAAATCCCTAATTCTAAATCCTAATTCTAAATCCTAATTCTAAATCCTAATGCTAAATCCTAATGCTAAATCCTAATGCTAAATCCTAATTCTAAATCCTAATTCTAAATCCCTAATTCTAAATCCTAATTCTAAATCCTAATTCTAAATCCTAATCCTAAATCCTAATTCTAAATCCTAATTCTAAATCCTAATCCTAAATCCTAATGCTAAATCCTAATTCTAAATCCTAATTCTAAATCCTAATTCTAATCCTAAATCCTAATTCTAAATCCTAATTCTAAATCCTAAATCTAAATCCTAAATCTAAATCCTAAATCTAAATCCTAATTCTAAATCCTAATTCTAAATCCTAAATCCTAAATCTAAATCCTAAATCTAAATCCTAAATCTAAATCCTAATCCTAAATCCTAATTCTAAATCTAAATCTAAATCTAAATCTTAATCTAATCTAATCTAATCTATCTTTCTAAGTATCTGTCTATCTGTTTGTTTGTCTGTCTGTCTATCTATTTACTTATCTAATATATCATATCCAATATATCTATTTGTTTGTCTTTCTATATATCTATCTATCTATCAATCTATCAATCTCATATATCTACATAATCTATCTATTTATTCCCCACCTGCCAGGTGAGGGTTGTTAGATTTTATGTCAGTTGCCTCCTCCTCCTCCTTCTCCTTCTCCTCCTCCTTCTCCTCCTCCTCCGCCTCCTCCTGCCTCGTCCTCCTCTCCTCCTCCTCCTCGTCCTCCTCGTCGTCCTCGTCGTCCTCGTCGTCCTTGCTCAACTGCGATCCGCGATCCACAGTGTTCGCTGCCGGACCTCAACCACGACCATCCACGCCCAGTGTTCCCTGCCGGACCTCAACCACGACCATCCACGCCCAGTGTTCCCTGCCGGACCTCAACCACGACCATCCACGCCCAGTGTTCCCTGCCGGACCTCAACCACGACCAGCCACGCCCAGTGTTCCCTGCCGGACCTCAACCACGACCAGCCACGCCCAGTGTTCCCTGCCGGGCCTCATCTGCGAGTATCCATGCCAAGTGTTCCCTGCCGGACCTCAACCGCGGGTATCCATGCCAAGTGTTCCCTGCCGGACCTCATGTAGGAAGATATGGGACAAAGAATGCGCAGAAGAAAGTTAGAAAGAATGTCAGAAAGAATGTCAGAAGATATGCCAGAAGATATGCCAGATAGAATGCCAAATAGAATGCCAGATAGAATGCCAGAAGATATGTCAGAATATATGCCAGAAGATATGCCAGATAGAATGCCAGGTAATATGCCAGAAGATATGCCAGATAGAATGCCAGATAGAATGCCAGAAGATTTGCCAGATAGAATGCCAGAAAATATGCCAGAACATATGCCAGATAGATATGCCAGAAGATATGCCAGATATAATGCCAAATAGAATGCCAGATGCCAGATAGAATGCCAGAAAATATGTCAGAATATATGCCAGAAGATATGCCAGATAGAATGCCAGATAGAATGCTAGAAGATATGTCAGATAGAATGCCAGAAGATATGCCAGATAGAATGCCAAATAGAATGCCAGATAGAATGCCAGAAGATTTGCCAGAAGATATGCCAGAACATATGCCAGAAGATATGCCAGATAGAATGCCAAATAGATTGTCAGAAGATACTGTATGTCAGATAGAATGCCAGAAGATTTGCCAGTAAGAAAATGTAGAAATGTCATGGTGGGGATCACACGAAGTAAAGTAATTTGTTTGTCTATTTGTCTATCAAACTAGTCTAATCTTCTCTGATCTTAATCTAATCTAAGCTAATCTAATCCAACCTCTCTAATCTTTCAAGTCTGTCTATTAATCTATCTAATCTATCTAATCCACCTAGTCTACCTTTTCTATCTGATCTATCTAATATGCCTTCTCTATCCAAGTGACCTTACCTATCTATTCTATCTAAATAATCTACATGAAAGCAAAGAAGAGAAAAAAAACAGTTTCTCTTGAAACAAATTCCATTGCGGTCCTATCCTGTACAGTACTCTGACTGATGCAGGTATCATGGAGTTTCCATGGGGTTTCCATGCAGTTTCCATGCAGGTTTCATGTTGGTTACATGCTGGGTTTGCTGATTTAGCTTACTGGTGGGTAACCTCCATGACAACTCCCTCGAACCTGCATGGAATCTGCATGGAACCTCCATGGAACCTGCATCAGGCAGAGTGCATGGTAAAACCAACAAGTGTAGATAGAGGCATCACCTCCATAACGCACATGGAAACTGCATGAAATCTACATCATTCTCCATGGAACCTGCATGGAACCTCCATGAAAACTGCATCAGTTAGAAGGCGCCATGCAACCATCACGTTTAGACACAAGAAACAACGGAACCTACATGAAACCTCCATGAAACCTCCATGAAACCTACATCAATTCTCCATGGAACCTGCATGGATACTCCATCAAGAAGCGCCATACAAGCACCAGGTGTAGATACAGGGAACAGAGACTTTTTTTTAGTGGACACTACGTGGAAACCATCAGACGCTTTGACGCAAATTGATCGCAAATCGATCGTAAATCGATCGTAAACTGATCGTAAAAAAAACGCACAAAAACTGTCATAGCATCTGTGCATTTTGATGTCGTTTTCACTAGGTCATCTGTCTTTGTTGATGTCCCTTTTTGTTTCTGCACTGGAAAAGTCAATTTCTTCCAGAGTTTCTATTTATCCTGAGTGTTCACTGCTTGGTGGTTTCGATTTTGGCAAGGTTTCAAATGTGAATTTTTGTTTGATGTCATTTTGATGGAGTTTTATGTCTGTCTCGGTGTCAACTTGATGGAGGTTCCTAACATATAATATTGCAAACTAAGTTAATTAAAAGACGAAACCACCAAGAGAAATGAACTCACTTATGTCATTTGGATTCTATGATCACCAAACCATATGAATATATGAATTGGCAAGTGCCGTTTTCTACAGGCCTTAGGTTCTTGTCGATGTCATATTGATGTTGTTTTATGGCCTTCTTATTCGTTTTTAGGCCGATGTCAAATCGATCGACAAAGGATCGCAAAATGATCGCAAAACAACGTCGAAATCCTACATCAAAATGACACATTACAAAGTCCACACTTGAAACCCTGGCCTTGCCAACATCAAAACCGCCAAGCAACGAACACTCAGGATAAATAGAAATTCTGGAAGAATTTGACTTTTCCAGTACAGAAACCAAAAGAAACATCAGCAAAGACAGATGGCCTAGTGAAAACGACATCAAAACGCACAGATGCTATAACAGTTTTGTGCGATCAATTTAGTTACGATCGATTTGCGATCGATTTGCATCAAAGCGTCTGATGGTTTCCATGTAGTTTCCATTAAAAAAAACTCGAACATGTTCCCTGTATCTACACCTGATGATTGTATGGCGTCTTCCTTGATGGAGTATCCACGCAGGTTCCATGGAGAATTGATGTAGGTTTCATGGAGGTTTCATGTAGGTTCCGTTGTTTCTTGTGTCTAAACGTGATGGTTGCATGGCGCCTTCTAACTGATGCAGTTTTCATGGAGGTTCCATGCAGGTTCCATGGAGAATTGATGTAGGTTTCATGCAGTTTCCATGTGCGTTATGGAGGTGATGCCTCTATCTACACTTGTTGGTTTTATCATGCACTCTGACTGATGCAGGTTCCATGGAGGTTCCATGCAGATTCCATGCAGGTTCCAGGGAGTTGTCATGGAGGTTACCCACCAGTAAGCTAAATTTGCAAACCCAGCATGTAACCAACATGAAACCTGCATGGAAGCTCCATGGAAAATCCATGAAACCTGCATCAGTCAGAGTACAGGATAGGACCACACGGTTTCAAGAAACTGTCTTTCCCCCATTTCAAAAATAAATAGACAAGTACAGAAAAATGCACTAGAATTCAATAATCAATTAAACAATCACGTGAAATTATTGGACATTAAATAAGTGTACATTTTCCGAGATACAAGATGAACATCAATTCAAAAACAAACCTAATCTGGTAGCAATCATTGTTGTTTTAAATTTGTTTTCTTTATTTTCAACGATTTCATTGTTTGCAGGGTTTGATTACAAAACCATCAACTCCCAGACTTCCAAACCACCAACCCAAACCACCACGTAAGCACAAGTTGATTAATTAGAAATCGATCATTTGGGGAATAGTCGTTTTTTGAAATTTTCAATGATCAACTTAAACCTTAAGTATAACAATAATGATTAAAAAAAAGGTAAAAACAAATAGGAAATAAATAGAATTGGAGATAAAAATTGTTGGATAAAAAACATGATTTCAGCACTGGTGGTTTTTTATCGGGGGGGTTTATTAATCCTGGTGGACCACCTTTTTTTAAATTACATTTTTTTTTTGGGGCAGAGGGGGTTGATTAATACCGCGGGGTTTATTAATCCTAACTTGACATTAAATAAATATATTATATATTATAATATATTATATATTATAATATATTATATATTATAATATATTATATATTATAATATATTATATATTATAATATATATATATTATAATATATTATATATTATAATATATTATATATATAATATATTATATATATATATATTATATATATAATATATTATATATAATATATATAATATATATATATTTAGTCTAGTCTGTATCCAGATTCATGCATGCCTTGTCGGAGACTTGCCTGCAAAATGTTCTATAGATCCCGATTGACCACAGGAATTGCGATGTGTAATTGACGGCAAGTTGCTTGGGGCCGGGAGCTCGAAGGCAACTCTGAACCCTTCATCGCAAGGAGTATCAAGGAGTCATGCCGCATCATGCATGTTCTTGCTATCCTCCCCACCCTCTTATGAGATCTGTTTTTTCCAATCAAACAAAATTTGTCAAACAACATGTCAAACAGGCAAATCTTTCAGCTGGTGGTATCTTCCCTGTTTCTGAGGCTCCAGTGCTGTCACCTTATGGACATGTCTTTGAGGAAGATACGCCTGGGCCTTGAGTCAAAATCAGTCTTGTATGCACATGTTTGTTACTTTATACAATTGTATACATTTGTATACAGTATACTTGATGGATCTTGTTCACATTTGTTCACATTTGTTCACATTTGTTCACATTTGTTCACATTTGTTCACATTTGTTCACATTTGTTCACTAGATGTTGGATTTGTGGAATTTGATCAGGTTGAAGCAATGGCTCACGACGTGTGGAAGCGTGTGTCCCATTACGGGAAAACCCCTAAGAGAGGAGGAGAAGTTGCGCCCAGATTGACTCAGATTGACCAAAATTTGGCAAGTTTGGTCGACTCACTTTGTGCCAGGATTGTCGAGCTGATGTCACCACTCAGCAGAAGGTCAGCAGCATTTGCATATCGAATGCATTTCAGTCGACTAAAAGATCGAAACATTCGAAACAAACTCAACACCTCGGTTCTCTTCGATTCCTTTGCCATGCAGCTCTCTCTTCTGCGTTCTTCACTTGTACCTTGGTGAAAGGAAACTGTGCAACCCTGGCCATCAATGTCAGGTCTTAGACTGGGTCAAAGCTGCCCGGGCATCTTACAAAATCAAAAAGGAGGAGATGCAGTAGTCGAAAATCACACAGATCGTAGCAGCTCGTTTTTACATTACAATGACTTGGGTTTTCCCGGGTTTGCCTTTTTACGCATTTCATTGGAATTGGCTGCAGGAGAGGCGCCGCCTGCGGCAGGCAGAGATGGCGGAACAGGAGGACCCCGTTTGATGTCCAAACGGTGCTTTGTGATGCTTAGAAGACCTAAACGGGTTTGGATTTGTACATATTTGTACATACCAGGTTTGGTAGCGCGCTAGTCACTTAGTCTCCCCCAAAGTGCGGAGCTTGGCGCAGTAGCACTGCAGTTTGACCTGTGAAGCAGGGAACCGCAACAATGGCAGAGTTGCAAAGGAAAAGTGGGAAGTTTCTATCTATTACTTACACTTTGGCATGTAATCCTATGCTACACATGTTGTTAATATGTTGATACCAGGTAGTGCCCGGCCCGCGCCGGGGCGGAAGTTTGGAAAATAGGACACGGGCTACAGGAAATCAGTGGCCTATGTGAAAGTTTTTGCGGTGCAGAAGCAATGACGTGTTGAAGTTGTGTGAGGTGCATCAAAGAATGAGCAAATGGTTGTTGAGATGCCAATGAAATGACATGAAAGAATCCGTGCACAACTGAGTGAGTGAACTGATGAACAAATGAATCGACAAACCAAGGAATCAATGAACCAGTCAGTCAATGACTCAGAGAATCACTGAAGCAACGAAGCAATGACTCAATGAATCAAGCAACCAGTGAACCAATGAATCGATGAGTCAGTGAATCAAAGACTCAATGAACCAATGGTTGCACGATTCAGAGAGTCAATGAATCACTGAATCTCCTGAATCAGTGAACCAAGGAAGCAATGAATCAATGAATGAAACATTCAGTCAAATTCATCGTCCAACAGCGATCTGATCCCTTCAGTTTTTGTGATTTTTCAGCACAAAGCAAATTCTTTGAAATGCACATGTTGCTCTCGCTACAGTCTGGTGCACATTTTGCCGACCGCATCTTCCAAAAGTGCCCCGCGCCTGTCAGTTTTGCAACATTTTGAAGTGGAAATCGAGCACGTGCTACAGTCCTGGGCGCTTTTTGTCAACCACTTTCGCAGATAGAACCCCGCAATTGCGGAAACAGAGACCCTACTGCGACGACCACAGAAGCCACTTCACCACGAAAAACGCAGGGTTTCACGCCCGAGAGTGTTTGCACCCGAGAATTTGCACGCGACTAAACTGTTACACCTCCCAACTACTTGATGACGGGTGGTTGACATGATGGTGGGAATGCTAACCATGACGCGCGCATAACCCGGAAGTTTTCTAACTAAACTTCTTTTTGATGACATAAGCTCGTTTTGGCGTCTCAGTTGATTGGGATGATAGACCTGCATTAAAAACCTCGGATGACAGGCATCAAACTTGAAATACTGATTCAATGAGTTCCAGGTGTGCCACTGATGAGGTGCTACCACAACACACAGGTTCATAAGTATCATACTTGTGCAATTTTGTGCCTCAAGCTTGTTCAAACAAATCATTCAAAACAATGACCAGACTCAGGCCACCTTCAGCAAATGCGATCAAAACATTTCCTCCATTGGTTTCTTTTCAAATCATAGATTTGAATCATATCTTTGTGAATGAGTGAAAATTCTGCCAATTGGCAAAACATCGTAAAAGAACTCACTCATTGGAGGCTGTCTAAGCTTTATGGTACAGCCATAGTTGCAAATCATAGTCCTCACATTCACGACGTTCACGTAGACCAAATGATTCCGCATTGACTGTCCATGTGGCGGCCTCATGTGGCTTTGGAATGGAGGCCACGGTTGCAGACACAGCCGAGCTGACCGGGCTGGCCGGGATGGGGTCATTGAAACCCGAAAAAAATCTGAAATGTTCTGCATGCCAGGCGACAGCGAAGAACCAACAGATGAGGCTGCGACGCGTTGAGAAAGTGTGAGACATGAGATCGGCTCGTCCCTCGAGAGGGTTTTCCATGATTCTCCATGGCAGGAAGACTTTAGTGAGGCCGGGCCCTCCAGCTGGTGACAAGAGTGACACAAGTGCAGCCACAAGTGCGGCCACAAGTGCTATAGAATGCTATAGATACCTATTTGTACTGTAAATGTTTTTGAGCAGCGTGAGGCCAATGCAAAGCTCCAAGGTTCGGGAAATTCGACACGAGATTTCTGTCTCGGAACATCTCGGGATATCTCAGTGATTCTCGGTGTATCATTTCAGGCAAAGAGGGCGGGGCCCGTGGCACCAATGGTGCGCGTGGTGCTTTACACTTCCAGATTTCGGATGATGGCGCAGCACCGAGGGCGGCAGAGTTGCAGCCTGAGTGCTGCCAACACGCGTCACACAGTGTGGCTAAGTTGAGAGTCTTCTGCGCAGTCTTGTGCATTTCTGGTGCATTTCTGGTGCATTCTAGAGAAGTTCGGAGACTTTGAAGATTTGACTTCAGAACGGTTGACTTCCAGGCTGGAATTGGATGCCATGTATGATTTTTCGTACTTCTCTCAACCACACGCTGCTTGATCCTCGGAAAAGATATGAACATAGATCTGCAAATAGACGCTTGGCATGGCTTGGCATACTGTTTGTTTAAGAGGCAGAGAGAAATAGTGCCATTCTCTTCGTATCTCTTCGTTGAGTAAGCGTCCTTTTGTTTGTCATGAAGATTTTTCTACTGTACCGATCTAGGCTGCAGCGGAGGATCATTCACACTTGCCTTCGAGGCAGAGTTCATGTCACGATTCATCTCGAACAAGTGCAATGGACGCACAGTGCGAAACCTGAAAAACGACCCATGACTCGTCTAAGTCTAAGAGTTGTTTGATTGTCACGTAGAAGAGAAACTTTCCCAGGGATGTTGTCTTCACAAAGCTGCAGGACTGAACTCTGTGAGTTGCAAAGCTCGCTGGCATGGGATAAAGTCAAATATGAAGTCATATGAAGTCATATGAAGTCATTGGCGCCTAGGGCATCGTGAGTCTAAGTGACAGGAGCAGCAGCAGGCAATGGAGAAACACATGGAGGCGCGAAATCACAAATGGTGCCGGTTTTCACCTATCACCTGTCACCTGTTGTTTTCTTCACCTGTTTTCCACCTTTTTTCACCATTTTGGAGCTCCGAAAACGTCCTGAGCTGTGCCTGTCAACGTCCCAGGCTCAGGAGAAGAAGCTGAGCTCTGCCTCGAAAGCCTTGAAACGTTCAAGGGCTCAGGCGAACACCGGAAGCTCGACAAAAACGATGACGAAAACGAAGGTGAAAACGATGTGAAAAGAATGTGGAAAAACATGGAGGTTTGATATTTGACACGCGATGTGGAACATGAAAACATAAGATCTATGAGATGCTGCACTGAGACCAAATCCATGCAAATCCAACACTGACGGACTAACGATTGCATGATCTTTCATGTTCTCTGATTCTGAGCAGAGCACGCTTGTTTTCACGATCCAAAAAGCCCAAAATCCAGGGATTCCTCCGCAGATCGGTCAGATCCAGATTCAACGTGGAGAGGCTACGGCCATGACAGGCTCCTCGCTTTTTGCCGGTGCTCTGCTTCTGGCTTTAGTCAGACAGAGCTCCGCAACTTGGCAGCGGCTAGAGCAGCTAGAGCGGCTCGACGGGAATGAGACATGCTCCATGGAAGATGCGTCGCTGCTGAACATTGGAACTTCACGGGCTCACAATGGTCGCAATGGCTCCAAATGCCAATATTGTTTATGTTTGACACCTGACCCTGTGAAGTGTGGAAAGAAGATGATCAAAGATGCAGAGAAGTGTGGGAAGGAGTTCATCCCAGATGAAGTGGAATGTGGCAAGAAGTGGGTTACAGATGCTATAGCCTGTGGCTCAGATGTGGTGACAAGTGTAGAGAAATGCGGGGAAGAAACGGTGACAAGCATCGCAGAGTGTGGCGAGTCAGTACTGGAAATGTGTCACACCCGCCGTCGAAGGAGGTTTTGGACCGACCTAGATATAACCTGCGATTTTAGCCATGTGGCCAAGTCATGCTTGAGACCCAAAACATGCTCCGTTCCAAAATCTTGTTTTAAAGTCAACACGTGCTGGGTTCCTAAGTCCTGCTTGCTACCTGTGACCTGCTGGTTGCCTGTGAATTTTTTGGACTGTGCGGACCAGATCCTTCAAGAACTTCCAGAGCCTCTCCAGCCATTTTGGTCGAAATACGTGAAGGGATTGTGTTCGGGTCTCTCAGAGTGTGCTGAGAAGGTCACAAATGGCATCAAAAGTGTGGTGGAAGATGCATGGCACTGGATGGAGAAAGGATTTGGAAACGACTTTGATGGTAAGGCAGACAAAATTGTAGGTGGTGTCGACTCCTTCAAAAACATGGTCGACAAGCTCAGCATCAAAGACGCAGTCATGCCAGTCATGGATGAGCTATTGGAATGGCGCCGGAAAGTTGAAAATGCCATTGATAAAGCGTCCCATGGTCCAATAAAGCTGGCAAACATGGAGGACGGGAGGCTCTGCCCTCCAGGTCTGGGCGACAAACAGATCTTTAGTGTCTTCCCAACTGACTGCGGATTGTTCGAGGACGGGTCAATGTTTTGAAGCGAGTATGGCATTCTTATCATTTCCCAGAAACATCCAGCCTATTGGGATGATAGAATATGGAATCAAAGGACATCTCCCCAAAGAGTCCCTAACTGATCAGTATTTGTGGAAGGAATTGTTGAACCCATCAATTGCAGGAGTACCGCAAACTTCTGGTCCCCTTGATACTGTGGTGACTGACGTTGCGGACTTATTAAAGAACAAGAGAGTAGAGATCTTTGGGGGCTTTCTGGAGAAAGTAAAGGAGTGCCTCTCTTTGAGTGGCCCTTGGAAATGGAAGGGGGTGTCGGTGCCTCATCCTTTCTTCAAGATGGGTAACTTTGATATGTGCCTCTCCAAGTCAAATGTGGATGCTCTTGATGTGGTGCTCAACCTCCTTTACAACGGCGTGAAAGAGATCAAAGATCTATTTGAGAAGATTACGAAGAAAGTCAGCGACTGGGTGAGCCAGAAACTCTTGAGTAAACCGGGTTTTCTCACCATTGAGCAGCAGAACTCCTTGCCCTTGGTGCTTACCCAGGGAGCTAAGTGCATCACAGGAACAAAAGACTGGAGTATAAAAGTGAAGATTACTGGAAAGTACAAATTCCAGGTTCAGAATGCAGGTGGAGGAGGAGCCTTGAAATGGAGCTTTGGACTTGGCGCTGGGGTTGTCTTCGGCTGCAAGAATGAAATCTTCAGGACCTATCCCTTTGTGGATGTTTCTCACCCCTTTGCCTTCATGTTCACCCTCTACATGGGCAAGACACATGACACAGACTTCAAAGCACCAGGTTCGTTAAGTTTCGGCGTGAAAGTTTATTTCACCAAGTTTTCTTCCATCGATTCGGGCATCAAAGGCGGCGCCAGCCTCAGCCTCAAAGCTGGAGCAAAGAATCTTCCATTGCCCTGTCCACCGGGAACCAAGTGTTCCCTGAAGAAGAAATTTAGCTTGTTGAAATTTCCGTCTGGAGAACTCATTGACTTCGAGGACACAGACGCTATTTTGGACATGTTAGTTTATACTCAAGAGGTGGAAGTTGCAGCAAAGTGGGATGATGTGACTTCATGGTTCAGCCCAGACCTGTTTCAGCTTTCGCCCATCTCAGATCCTCAAGCGGGCTCGGAACTGATCTTGGGTGCTTTGCGTCATATGGCAACATCCAACATCAGCTTGCCTTCCAAGCTTGAACTGAATTCATCTGATGCACCCAAACCGGAAGCAGAGTTTTCGGTTGGAGTGGATGCATCTTGGAGCATTTGCCTCGGACCCAGCTCGCTTTGCAGTTGAGGCCTCCCTCTAGGCCGCAGCAGACATTGCGGAACCCTTTGTTGGTGCAATGAGCTGCAGGTTTTTTCCCCACATCTTTGTCAGCCTTCGCCCATCTCGGATCGGAACTGATCTTGGGTGCTTTGCGTCATATGGCAACATCCAACATCAGCTTGCCTTCCAAGCTTGAACTGAATTCATCTGATGCACCCAAACCGGAAGCAGAGTTTTCGGTTGGAGTGGATGCATCTTGGAGCATTTGCCTCGGACCCAGCTCGCTTTGCAGTTGAGGCCTCCCTCTAGGCCGCAGCAGACATTGCGGAACCCTTTGTTGGTGCAATGAGCTGCAGGTTTTTTCCCCACATCTTTGTCAGCCTTCGCCCATCTCGGATCGGAACTGATCTTGGGTGCTTTGCGTCATATGGCAACATCCAACATCAGCTTGCCTTCCAAGCTTGAACTGAATTCATCTGATGCACCCAAACCGGAAGCAGAGTTTTCGGTTGGAGTGGATGCATCTTGGAGCATTTGCCTCGGACCCAGCTCGCTTTGCAGTTGAGGCCTCCCTCTAGGCCGCAGCAGACATTGCGGAACATTAGAAGCTTGTTGAAAGTGCCATGAAGTGCCGCAAAAATCTGTCATAGTCTGTCAGACTGCCAGATGAAACCTTCGAAACCTCCAAACGTCCGAAGCGTGAGCTTCGCATTGGGAGCTTCGCTTTGTCGCATGCCTCAGCTATCTCCGAGGATCCCGCCGAGGCTCCTGAGGAGAAACTGCGGAAAACAGCGGGATTCGACTGACATAGCAGATACGTGTAGATACATGACAACCGTGACATACAGGCACATACGGGTAGCTATAAATAAATAAATATAAATAAATATAAATAAATATAAATAAATATAAATAAATATAAATAAATATAAATAAATATAAATAAATATAAATAAATAAATATAAATAAATATAAATAAATATAAATAAATAAATAAATGAATAAATAAATAAATAAATAATGCCAACATCGGATTAATCAACCCCCCCCACCAGGTAGGTAGGGGGGGTACCTTCTGGCTAGTTTCTTGACCACCCCTTAATACTGAGCAACTATGAACCATAAAAAATTGGATATGGCTTATGTCAATTAGATCTTAATAGAATTCTATTGGATTTGTTAAAATCTCATGGATCAGAAAGGTGGTTGATTAATCAGGGGCAAACCCTGGTTATTATTAATGGGGGACATGGGCTCAGGGGGGTACCCTTTGGGAGCTATCCAAACTGATAATTTTTTATAAAGATTTTAATTAGAAATCGATCATTTGGGGAATAGTCGTTTTTTGAAATTTTCAATGATCAACTTAAACCTTAAGTATAACAAAAATGATTAAAAAAAAGGTAAAAACAAATTGGAAATAAATAGAATTGGAAATAAAAATTGTTGGATAAAAAACATGATTTCAGCACTGGTGGTTTTTTATCGGGGGGGTTTATTAATCCTGGGGGACCACCTTTTTTAAAATTACATTTTTTTTTGGGGCAGAGGGGGTTGATTAATACCGCGGGGTTTATTAATCCTAACTTGACATTAAATAAATAGATATAAATAGATATATATATATATATTATAATATAATATATATATATATAAATAATATAGTCTAGTCTGTATCCAGATTCATGCATGCCTTGTCGGAGACTTGCCTGCAAAATGTTCTATAGATCCCGATTGACCACAGGAATTGCGATGTGTAATTGACGGCAAGTTGCTTGGGGCCGGGAGCTCGAAGGCAACTCTGAACCCTTCATCGCAAGGAGTATCAAGGAGTCATGCCGCATCATGCATGTTCTTGCTATCCTCCCCACCCTCTTATGAGATCTGTTTTTTCCAATCAAACAAAATTTGTCAAACAACATGTCAAACAGGCAAATCTTTCAGCTGGTGGTATCTTCCCTGTTTCTGAGGCTCCAGTGCTGTCACCTTATGGACATGTCTTTGAGGAAGATACGCCTGGGCCTTGAGTCAAAATCAGTCTTGTATGCACATGTTTGTTACTTTATACAATTGTATACATTTGTATACAGTATACTTGATGGATCTTGTTCACATTTGTTCACATTTGTTCACATTTGTTCACATTTGTTCACATTTGTTCACTAGATGTTGGATTTGTGGAATTTGATCAGGTTGAAGCAATGGCTCACGACGTGTGGAAGCGTGTGTCCCATTACGGGAAAGCCCCTAAGAGAGGAGGAGAAGTTGCGCCCAGTGTGACTCAGATTGACCAAAATTTGGCAAGTTTGGTCGACTCACTTTGTGCCAGGATTGTCGAGCTGATGTCACCACTCAGCAGAAGGTCAGCACAATTTGCATATCGAATGCATTTCAGTCGACTAAAAGATCGAAACATTCGAAACAAACTCAACACCTTGGTTCTCTTCGATTCCTTTGCCATGCAGCTCTCTCTTCTGCGTTCTTCACTTGTACCTTGGTGAAAGGAAACTGTGCAACCCTGGCCATCAATGTCAGGTCTTAGACTGGGTCAAAGCTGCCCGGGCATCTTACAAAATCAAAAAGGAGGAGATGCAGTAGTCGAAAATCACACAGATCGTAGCAGCTCGTTTTTACATTACAATGACTTGGGTTTTCCCGGGTTTGCCTTTTTACGCATTTCATTGGAATTGGCTGCAGGAGAGGCGCCGCCTGCGGCAGGCAGAGATGGCGGAACAGGAGGACCCCGTTTGATGTCCAAACGGTGCTTTGTGATGCTTAGAAGACCTAAACGGGTTTGGATTTGTACATATTTGTACATACCAGGTTTGGTAGCGCGCTAGTCACTTAGTCTCCCCCAAAGTGCGGAGCTTGGCGCAGTAGCACTGCAGTTTGACCTGTGAAGCAGGGAACCGCAACAATGGCAGAGTTGCAAAGGAAAAGTGGGAAGTTTCTATCTATTACTTACACTTTGGCATGTAATCCTATGCTACACATGTTGTTAATATGTTGATACCAGGTAGTGCCCGGCCCGCGCCGGGGCGGAAGTTTGGAAAATAGGACACGGGCTACAGGAAATCAGTGGCCTATGTGAAAGTTTTTGCGGTGCAGAAGCAATGACGTGTTGAAGTTGTGTGAGGTGCATCAAAGAATGAGCAAATGGTTGTTGAGATGCCAATGAAATGACATGAAAGAATCCGTGCACAACTGAGTGAGTGAACTGATGAACAAATGAATCGACAAACCAAGGAATCAATGAACCAGTCAGTCAATGACTCAGAGAATCACTGAAGCAACGAAGCAATGACTCAATGAATCAAGCAACCAGTGAACCAATGAATCGATGAGTCAGTGAATCAAAGACTCAATGAACCAATGGTTGCACGATTCAGAGAGTCAATGAATCACTGAATCTCCTGAATCAGTGAACCAAGGAAGCAATGAATCAATGAATGAAACATTCAGTCAAATTCATCGTCCAACAGCGATCTGATCCCTTCAGTTTTTGTGATTTTTCAGCACAAAGCAAATTCTTTGAAATGCACATGTTGCTCTCGCTACAGTCTGGTGCACATTTTGCCGACCGCATCTTCCAAAAGTGCCCCGCGCCTGTCAGTTTTGCAACATTTTGAAGTGGAAATCGAGCACGTGCTACAGTCCTGGGCGCTTTTTGTCAACCACTTTCGCAGATAGAACCCCGCAATTGCGGAAACAGAGACCCTACTGCGACGACCACAGAAGCCACTTCACCACGAAAAACGCAGGGTTTCACGCCCGAGAGTGTTTGCACCCGAGAATTTGCACGCGACTAAACTGTTACACCTCCCAACTACTTGATGACGGGTGGTTGACATGATGGTGGGAATGCTAACCATGACGCGCGCATAACCCGGAAGTTTTCTAACTAAACTTCTTTTTGATGACATAAGCTCGTTTTGGCGTCTCAGTTGATTGGGATGATAGACCTGCATTAAAAACCTCGGATGACAGGCATCAAACTTGAAATACTGATTCAATGAGTTCCAGGTGTGCCACTGATGAGGTGCTACCACAACACACAGGTTCATAAGTATCATACTTGTGCAATTTTGTGCCTCAAGCTTGTTCAAACAAATCATTCAAAACAATGACCAGACTCAGGCCACCTTCAGCAAATGCGATCAAAACATTTCCTCCATTGGTTTCTTTTCAAATCATAGATTTGAATCATATCTTTGTGAATGAGTGAAAATTCTGCCAATTGGCAAAACATCGTAAAAGAACTCACTCATTGGAGGCTGTCTAAGCTTTATGGTACAGCCATAGTTGCAAATCATAGTCCTCACATTCACGACGTTCACGTAGACCAAATGATTCCGCATTGACTGTCCATGTGGCGGCCTCATGTGGCTTTGGAATGGAGGCCACGGTTGCAGACACAGCCGAGCTGACCGGGCTGGCCGGGATGGGGTCATTGAAACCCGAAAAAAATCTGAAATGTTCTGCATGCCAGGCGACAGCGAAGAACCAACAGATGAGGCTGCGACGCGTTGAGAAAGTGTGAGACATGAGATCGGCTCGTCCCTCGAGAGGGTTTTCCATGATTCTCCATGGCAGGAAGACTTTAGTGAGGCCGGGCCCTCCAGCTGGTGACAAGAGTGACACAAGTGCAGCCACAAGTGCGGCCACAAGTGCTATAGAATGCTATAGATACCTATTTGTACTGTAAATGTTTTTGAGCAGCGTGAGGCCAATGCAAAGCTCCAAGGTTCGGGAAATTCGACACGAGATTTCTGTCTCGGAACATCTCGGGATATCTCAGTGATTCTCGGTGTATCATTTCAGGCAAAGAGGGCGGGGCCCGTGGCACCAATGGTGCGCGTGGTGCTTTACACTTCCAGATTTCGGATGATGGCGCAGCACCGAGGGCGGCAGAGTTGCAGCCTGAGTGCTGCCAACACGCGTCACACAGTGTGGCTAAGTTGAGAGTCTTCTGCGCAGTCTTGTGCATTTCTGGTGCATTTCTGGTGCATTCTAGAGAAGTTCGGAGACTTTGAAGATTTGACTTCAGAACGGTTGACTTCCAGGCTGGAATTGGATGCCATGTATGATTTTTCGTACTTCTCTCAACCACACGCTGCTTGATCCTCGGAAAAGATATGAACATAGATCTGCAAATAGACGCTTGGCATGGCTTGGCATACTGTTTGTTTAAGAGGCAGAGAGAAATAGTGCCATTCTCTTCGTATCTCTTTGTTGAGTAAGCGTCCTTTTGTTTGTCATGAAGATTTTTCTACTGTACCGATCTAGGCTGCAGCGGAGGATCATTCACACTTGCCTTCGAGGCAGAGTTCATGTCACGATTCATCTCGAACAAGTGCAATGGACGCACAGTGCGAAACCTGAAAAACGACCCATGACTCGTCTAAGTCTAAGAGTTGTTTGATTGTCACGTAGAAGAGAAACTTTCCCAGGGATGTTGTCTTCACAAAGCTGCAGGACTGAACTCTGTGAGTTGCAAAGCTCGCTGACATGGGATAAAGTCAAATATGAAGTCATATGAAGTCATATGAAGTCATTGGCGCCTAGGGCATCGTGAGTCTAAGTGACAGGAGCAGCAGCAGGCAATGGAGAAACACATGGAGGCGCGAAATCACAAATGGTGCCGGTTTTCACCTATCACCTGTCACCTGTTGTTTTCTTCACCTGTTTTCCACCTTTTTTCACCATTTTGGAGCTCCGAAAACGTCCTGAGCTGTGCCTGTCAACGTCCCAGGCTCAGGAGAAGAAGCTGAGCTCTGCCTCGAAAGCCTTGAAACGTTCAAGGGCTCAGGCGAACACCGGAAGCTCGACAAAAACGATGACGAAAACGAAGGTGAAAACGATGTGAAAAGAATGTGGAAAAACATGGAGGTTTGATATTTGACACGCGATGTGGAACATGAAAACATAAGATCTATGAGATGCTGCACTGAGACCAAATCCATGCAAATCCAACACTGACGGACTAACGATTGCATGATCTTTCATGTTCTCTGATTCTGAGCAGAGCACGCTTGTTTTCACGATCCAAAAAGCCCAAAATCCAGGGATTTCTCCGCAGATCGGATCAGATCCAGATTCAACGTGGAGAGGCTACGACAGGCCATGACAGGCTCCTCGCTTTTTGCCGGTGCTCTGCTTCTGGCTTTAGTCAGACAGAGCTCCGCAACTTGGCAGCGGCTAGAGCAGCTAGAGCGGCTCGACGGGAATGAGACATGCTCCATGGAAGATGCGTCGCTGCTGAACATTGGAACTTCACGGGCTCACAATGGTCGCAGTGGCTCCAAATGCCAATATTGTTTATGTTTGGCACCTGACCCTGTGAAGTGTGGAAAGAAGATGATCAAAAATGCAGAGAAGTGTGGGAAGGAGTTCATCCCAGATGAAAAGGAATGTGGCAAGAAGTGGGTTACAGATACAAAAACCTGTGGCTCAGATGTGGTGACAAGTGCAGAGAAATGCGGGAAAAAAAAGGTGACGAGCATCAAAGAATGTGGCGAGTCATTGAAAAAAAAGTGTCACACCCGCCGTCGAAGGAGAGCTTTGGTCGATGCAGATGTCACTTGCAAAGTTTTGTCTGTGGCCAAGACATGCTTGAGACCCAAAACATGCTCCGTTCCAAAATCTTGTTGGAAAGTCAACAGCTGCTGGGTTCCTAAATCCTGCTTGCAAACTCTGACCTGCTGGTTGCCTGTGGATTTTTCGACCTGTGCAGACCTGATCCTTCAAGAACTTCCAAAGCATCTCCAGCCATTGTGGTCGAAATACGTGAAGGCATCCTGTTCGAGTCTCTCAGAGTGTGCTAAGAAGGTCACAAATGGCATCAAAAGTGTGGCAGAAGATGCATGGCACTGGATGGAGAAAAAATTTGGAAACGACTTTGATAATATGGCCGACAGAATTATAGGTGGTGTCGACTCCTTCAAGAACATGTGGCACAAACTCAACATCAAAGACGCAGTCATGCCAGTCATGGGTGAGCTATTGGATTGGCGCCGCAAAGTTGAACATGCCATTGATAAAGCGTCCCATGGTCCAATAAAGCTGGCAAACATGGAGGACGGGAGGCTCTGCCCTGCAGGTCTGGGCGATAAGCAGATCTTTGGTGTCTTCCCAACTGACTGCGGCTTGTTTGAGGACGGGTCAATATTTTGAAGCGAGTTTGGCATTCTTATCATGTCCCGAAAACATCCAGCCCTATTGGGATGATAGAATATGGAATCAAAGGACATCTCCCCAAAGAGTCCCTAACTGATCAATATTTGTGGAAAGAATTGTTGAACCCATCAATTGCAGGAGTTCGCCAAACTTCTGGATCCCCTTGGTACTGTGGTGACTGACGTTGCGGACTTATTAAAGAACAAGAGAGTGAAGATCTATGGGGGCTTTCTGGAGAAAGTAAAGGAGTGCCTCTCTTTGAGTGGCCCTTGGAAATGGAAGGGGGTGTCGGTGCCTCATCCTTTCTTCAAGATGGGTCATTTTGATATGTGCCTCTCCAAGTCAAATGTGGATGCTCTTGATGTGGTGCTCAACCTCCTTTACAAGGGCGTGAAAGAGATCAAAGATCTATTTGAGACGATTACGAAGAAAGTCAGCGACTGGGTGAGCCAGAAACTCTTGAGTAAACTAGGTTTTCCCACCATTGAGCAGCAGAACTCATTGCCCTTGGTGCTTACACAGAGAGCCCCTTGCGCCAAAGGAACAAAAGACTGGAGTATAAAAGTGAAGTTTAGTGGCAAGTACAAATTCCAGGTTAACAATGCAGGTGGAGGAGGAGCCTTGAAATGGAGCTTTGGACTTGGCGCTGGGGTTGTCTTCGGCTGCAAGGATGAAACCTACAGGACCTATCCCTTTGTGGATGTCTCTCACCCCGTTGCCTTCATGTTCACCTTCAAAATTGGCAAGACACATAAAACAGACTTCACAGCAGAAGGTTCGTTAAGTTTAGGTTTGAAAGTTTATTCCATGAAGTTTTCTTCCATCGATTCGGGCATCAAAGGCGGCCTTAGCCTCAGCCTCAAAGCTGGAGCAAAGAATCTTCCAAAGCCGTGGCCGTGTCCTACGAAAGTCAAGTGTTCCCTGAAGAAGAAGTTCTCTTTGTTGAAGGTTCCGTCTGGAGAACTCATTGACTTCACGGACACAGACGATATTTTGGACATGTTAGTTTATACTCAAGAGGTGGAAGTTGCAGCAAAGTGGGAGGATGTGACTTCATGGTTCAGCAAAAAACCAGACCCCATCCCAGATGGCATCCCAGATCCTCAAGCGGGCTCGGAACTGGTCATGGGTGCTTTGCGTCACATTGCAACATCCAACATCAGCTTGCCTTCCAAGCTTGAACTGAATTCATCTGATACACCCGAACCGCCCAAACCGCCCATACCGGAAGCAGAGTTTGCGGTTGGAGTGGATGCATCTTGGAGCATTTGCGTCGGACCCAACTGGCTTTGCAGTTGAGGCCTCCCTGGAATATCGGAATATCATTTTTCATTAATTTCGCTAATTTTTGGCAATCAGATGCAAACTTCCTTGAGGGCCCCCACCCTCCAAGTACAGATCCAGTCGGAGCATAGCGGAGACGGCGCGCATGAGGCTGACAAAAGCTTCATGCCTTTCCTGAAGTGCGTGACAATGTTGGCTACACCACCGCTAAAGGTCAAAAACCATGCTGACTTTTAGTTGTACAATATGGTGATAGTGACCAACATAACCCAAATACATAGTTTTTTCCTTTATCATAACTTTATTTTGGTCAATACTGTATTGTCAAGTTGTCATTATATAAGATCAACAACAAGCACGCATGCTTGGGCGATTTGCCACTAAAATTACACTTATTGCGCACCTCATTTTGGGACAAACTCATATTGAAATCTGTCGTTCTTCTGACGAATGTCTGAATCCTATGCAGGTGCAACAGCTCACAGCCCAGTTGAGCATGAAGGACTTTGCTGGTGAATATTTTGATTCTTGATGCATACTGCATATTCTATACTTGCTTTTAATTATACAACTTGAGTCCGTCCTAATAGCTGTAACAGTTAACAAAAAGGATTTCAAAACATATTTTGGGCAAACGTTGTTTTGAGTGTTTTCCTTCGTGCGCAAAATCATGCTTTCTGGTGCTTGCTGTTACAGCTATTAGGCTTGCTCAATATATAAGTATATAATACTATATACACTTATACAAATCTTATACAAATATACAAGGATATTAAGCCGGTTGCTGTAGAATCCACAGAAATCAACAGGATGCAAATGTGTTTTTGCACCTGGAAATTGAGCAGGACATCGACTGCCAGAAACTGGAAACTCAAGTGTCCACCTGAAATTCTTTGAAGCACTTTGAAACAGAATACCTGTGTGAGACACTTTTGCTGGAAAACTGATTTATTCATTTTTGTGTTTAAGAACCTTCTTGAACTTGAAGAATCAAGAATAATTAGGGTGTTTCTAAACAAAAGAAAACAAAACACATGAAAACACAAGAAAATCAAACAAATCCGAGTCTCCGCAGTGCGCCATCTGAGGTCTCTCAGCTGCGCAATCTGCTTGTGGAGAAGGACCAGATCTTCGACCAGTTCGATGCATCTGATCGACTTCAGACATTTGGAAGCGACGCATGGAAAATGCGCCTGGAAAATGTTCAAGATATCTTAAGATATCTTAAGATGTATATAGTTATATATATATGAGGCATATTGTAATATAGTGTGATGGATGCGGTATGACGTTTTGTCGTGGCGCTAGGAGCGGCGGCTGCAAGAGGCCTTGGACAGCTGCGAGGCACAGCCCATTTGGCCCATTCCTCCATTCGTGTCTGGTAGCTCTAGCAGCTCTGGCAGCGGAACAGCATGTGGCAAGACATGAAAACATGGATGATACGTACGGCTAGCGATGTGGAAGGATGTATAGTATGACGTAGAATGACGTAGATGAATAATATAAATCAACCATAGACTTTCGGAGGGGAACAGCAAAAGCCGTCTGACAAGGGAAACAAACCAAGGTGTAGATGTTTATGTGCAATTATTAGTCACCGTCAGAACAAAAAAAGGTACCAAACTGAGAACTGTGGCTGAGTCTGAAAGAGGACGAAGATGAAGGGATGAACACATTGGAGGGCTCTGAAGGGAGAACATATGTCATTCGGCGCTACCTTTTGTGCTCGAGACATGTTGAAGTGACAAGAGACTTGACACCGTCACGAGCCAGAGAAAAAGATTGTCATACATTCAGGGTTCCAGCATTTGTTTTTAGATAGTCAACGCCAATGCAAGATGCACACCGCGGACAATGCGTCTTTAAACCTGTGTTCCAAAATCATGGGATGCCGTGGCTGCATACAGAGGAGGCTGTGACGTTGGCAGCATGAGCTGCAACGTTTGGTGACAAAGCTCTAGTGGCTGCCAGATGCGCATTTTGATTTTTCAGACTCCCAAACTCACCTATGTGCAGACTTTGGAATATTTGCTTCGTGAGACCGCTGAACAGAAAGTGGACTTGGCAGTTCTGCCGGAATTCTCGCTGGAACATCCAGCGCAATGCACAAATCAATCCGAACTGTCCTACGACAACGTCTCAATTATGATGTTGTCACGGTTGGCCAAGCAACGACAACTGTATCTTGTGCTTGGGAGCGTTGAGGAGCGATGTCCTTATGGAGTCTTTGATACCTGTGTGGTTTCACAGTTGAATTCATTCGGTTTCAAAGTTTATCCCGATAACTTTCCATGGATTTCCAGAATTCTAAAAGTGGCCTTCCGTTGATTTTGTTGTAGCTGCAGCTGTTCCAGCTGTTCCAGCTGTTCAGCCAAGGTTTTCAATCGTTCCGGAGAGATGATTTTGCAGTACCGGAAGAATTCCGAGCAACGAGAAGAAGCGCTGAACTGCTTCCAAACAGAGTATGGCACCGTTGGAGTTTTGTTGGGAGCTGAAGTGGAAGACGAATCGCGTTGGTCGTCCTTGCTGTCCCAATGTGTACTGATCCTGAACCCCTGCAACGCACCGATGGAGCTCGATCAAGCTTTGGCCAAGGCACATCCAGAGTTGCTTGACATTGACCTTGGACCTTGGAAGGCATGAAAGAAAAACAAAGACAATCTCTGTATTATTCTCTATCCAATTCTTTGATATTGCTCACTCTAAGATGGACAGTAAACAAACGATGCAAAAGTGTCTTATTGCACAATCGGTGCTACAAACTGCATCTATCAAATCGCTTTGATTGTTGATATTGATATTGAAGTAGTTGCTGCGCAGTTCCGCTATAATATTCAAAGTCCGCTTCCTTATTTCTCGTCCCAGACGGACTTTACATGCCATGTGTAGAGAAATGGGATGAGATAGAATGCAGAGACATTCAAAGCTACTTTTTATGCCCTTCACCTGTTGAAATGCAAAGGGACTCCTCTCCCTCCCTTCTGCTGCTATGCTGCTACCAAGGTTGCAAATAGCGGCGTGGCACAAGGGTTTCAGAAGAATGGAGGCATTGGTTCAATCCAGGTTGAGGAGTTTCGGAGCGACCGCAGATGTTCCGCGCTTTTCGTTCGTTCGAGCAGATGCTCCATTGCGGCAGGGTGGTGCTGGCTTATCTATCTTAGTTGAGCCAAACCGCAGTGTTTTAGTGCCCACTTGGGGTCCCAGTTTCTTTGTCGTAGAGGTGGACCGAGATAGACCCGCACGAAAGCTGCCCAAGTGGCGGACATTGAGTATCGAAGAGATCATCAAAGCTGCCTCGAAATCTTCACACGACAGAGAACTCCTGAAGTGTGATACCGTGGAAATCGGTCCACGCTATCGTGTTTGGACCTTAAGAACACCAACTTTGTCCAAGGCTGCTCTAACTCAAGCTGGTGAATGGAGCACTCTGTGGGCAGAGCGAAACAAACATGAAGAGTCTGTTCACACCCAAAATTCTTTCCATTCTCTCAGTGCATTGGTGGGACTTGGCACCAAGGCAAGTTGTTTTTTTCTGCCCATCACCACTAGAGACGGGCGACATCTCTACGTCGTGGCGGAGAGGAGCGCCAGCATCACCCTGTGGGATCTCCGTCATCGCCGCGAATTTCAGAGTTTTTCCTTCGCCGGGTCCACGGGCTCGCGACTCAGCGAGTTGTGCCGCGAGTGCGTTGAAGATGTTGAAGTGACAGCTGTGGGAGCTGGACCTTCCACTTCGCAATTTGTCGTAGCTGGAGTCACAGAGACAGGGCTTTTGCTTCAACTCTTTGAAGAGAAGAAGTTACTTCAAGACTTTTCTTTTTCTTTTGAAGATTTTCCATGGGATGAGTGGAAGCTGTTTCCGCCTTTGGAGCTGGAAGAGAAGATACTTCACCAAGAAGAGGACGACAAGAGTGACAAGAGCCACACGGTGAAAATCCGCGGGATTTTTTGGTCCAGTCCTCTACAGGCCGTCGCGATCGCAGATTCGGAAGACCCGGAGAAGCCGGAAGTGGCCTTGCTGTTGGACCTTGATGGATCATCTGTCGGATCTGTGCAGATCTTGGACATCTACTGTGATGGCCCTCCGAAACTTGATGCCATCGAGGAAATGACAGAGACACAAGACTTGTCTGGCTTGTCTGCATCAATCCCCAGTGCAGCCAGTGCAGCAGACGAACTTCAAACAGAGTCTTCGTTTTCAGAGAAAGAGGAGCGCGACAAGCTGGTGATGGTCAAGGCCTTTGAAAGGCAACGATTTCCTGAGTCAAAGTATCCCCAGTCAGGACTGGTTTGTTTATGGAAGAGTGATCGGCTTTGTATCGTGACATATTCTGATTGGAAGGTCCATGACCAAGTCTTAGTAGATGATCCGGGAACAGCAAAGGATCGCTTGGACATGCCGCTCTGTGCTTCAATTTTGCCAGGGGACGGAGCATGTAGCGTGTTGGCCTCGTATGCGTCCATGATCATCCGTTGGTGGCGAGTTTCTTTGAAGTCATGCTTTCAGCAAGCATGTGTTGTTCTCAGTTCCCCTGTGACAAACTTTGGTTTGCTGTATTGCTATGGTGAAGCTCCTCCAGAGGACTACCAGGAGTATCGACGTATTTCGCAGAGTTCTTTGGACATGTCAAAGGCGGCGAGACAGTCCCTGAACTTCACCAGCTTCACGACCTCATCACAACGGGTTTCCACCCTTGGCGGCATCGGCGGCACCTCCCAAAAGTTGTCCAGTCAGAGACGTCCCAGTCGCTCCTCAGGTAGCGATCCAAAAGTAACGCTTTCATTGGACAACGGCTTGGTTGAAAGTAGTGCCACTATTCTGAACCTCGACGAAAGAGTACCCTTTTCTGTTTTGGAATTCTCGTTTTCTATTTTTTGATATTCTATCCATTTTTATCCGTCGCAAAATGCTCCGCTGTGTTCAATACAGCCAAGGATTTCTGCCATTGACAGATCTGGCGAACTGACAATTTTTCTGGGACAGGGAGCGAATTTGAAGAAAATCTACACGATTTATTCGGACCTTTCCACAAGCCCATCCACAACGGCCCTCTCCTCAGTGACAGATCAGACATGATCAGATATGATCAATATATGTTGATATATGTTGATATTCACGGCTACTTGTGGTTTCAGAGTTCCATCTTGTTCCATCTTGTTCTATCTTGTTCTATCTTGTTCTATCTTGTTCTATTTTCTTTGCCAGAATTTGGCTGAGGTGGACTGCATTTGGATGATGGAAACACACGTCGCCCTTTTGCAGCGAAATGGGGATGTGCGTCACATCGAGTTCGACATCAATGGAGAGCTCATGCGACTTGCAGATCTCTTTGGAGACGAAGGAAGCGAGGGAAAGAACACTGAGATTCAGTGAGATTCTGCAAGAGATTTGTTGATTCAGATTTGTAGCAAGACAACCCAAGACAACCCAAGATAACCAAGCTTGAATTGCTTGGGGGCCGGCTGCCTGAAACAGGGTGGCTGGCTTATCAAACAAATGTGCCAAAAGATGCTGTAGAGGAGCGGCACTGATCGGCGTTCAAGAATCAAAGCCTTTCGGAATCATCCGAACATGTTGCATCAATTTGCATCAATTTGCATCATATGTCTTGACGTCCTGATCAGTTGTGTGTTAAGAATGTAGAGAACATAGAGAACAGCCTTCGTGACGCTCGAGGCGCCCACAAGCCTCACAGAGTTCAGGGTTCATGGCTCAGTTCGTCAAATTCCCTCGAACCCCCATTACTCCATATTACTCCCATTATTTTGATTTATTTAGCACCTTCATGTCGAAGCCCTCAGCGTCTTCCATCTTAGGAACCCTTCAACGATGCAGGTCCGGCTCTGATTGCAGAGATATGTATGCTGATGAAGCGTGCGTGCATACTAACAGACAATACATATTTACATATTTACATATTACATACATTGACATACATTGACATACATAGTAATACATAATATGAATACATACACTATCCATATCACATCGAGATGTAGATGTGGAATTCAAGTTCTGCATTTTGCTCTGGGAACAACTGGGAGTTTCTGGGAACAGGCGAAGTGGCTGAACTCACCAGAGTCACAGAGCAACTGACCTCCATGCTGAACGTGATGCAGAGGTGAGATGCGGTGAAAATTCACAATGTTGGACAAAACCGAGAGCTTTTCACCGTGAATTTTGTGACGAGAAGTGGAGAAGTGGAGAAGTGGAGAAGTAAAAGTGGTGGAAGCACGTGGCACATGGCATGGCACGCACGGTGTAAGCAACGAGTTTAACGAAAGGAAGCGACAGCGGTGGGTAACACGTTTCGAACGAAAACACGTCGTGCGCGTCGTGCACGTCGTGAAACACGTCGAAGCAAGACCCAAAACACCGGCCAGGCAGCTCTCCGCGACCTCGTCGGAGCTCGTCGCGGAGCGGCGGCGCCGCGAAGCGTCGGGGCTTCCCAGCGATGTCCTTCACATGTGATTCACAGATATTCCCGACGTGCTTCACATGTGGTCATGTCTGTGACGTGAATATGTCAAGAAAAATACTAAGATGATTATATAATATTATATAATTATACTAAACATATGTTAGGATGCATTGAGGGATTGAGGAAACCACAGAAAAGGGTTTAGTGCAAGTTCTGACATTGGATGACGCACAGAAACTTACACAGCGATAATCATCAGATACACACCAGATAAATATCAGATAAACATGAGATAAACATCAGATGTCAAGACAGGCTGAATGCGAAGTTTGCAGTCTTGGAAGCGCGAGCAGATGTGGAGCCAGCCAAGGTGCAAAGCTAGACTGTGGCCACTTGATATTGTGGAAGACAAACTAATACAAGTTATCATCCACGCTATATTTTGATGTGGTATATGATGTGTTTGTTTTAAATGTGGATAGGCATCAAGAACATCAGCACCGGATGGTACTCTTTTTAGCCATGCAGAGATGCACACGGATTGCGACCTGCTTTGGGTCAAATGGGGCAAGAGCCTTCAAGCCTAGGTAGCCTTCAAGATTAGGATCAGGTGAAGTTTGGAGGGTCAGTTTTGCTTGGTTTTCCGTGGGTTTTCCCTTGGTTTTCCATGGGTTTTTCCATGAAGATCCTTGAAACTTTCCTTGGAGGCAACCAGTGCCGAGGAACTGATAGAATGCTGCTGGGTGCATGGTTAACCACAGACAATGACCAAGAGCAACTTTTTGGAGAATCTTCCAAGATGAACATTTGGGGACTGCTTTTCTTGCCCTGTTTCGATACTCCCCATCATGCAAGCTAGATTTCAACGGCGAATTCTCTCGAGATGAGAAACGTTTGAAACCTATGTTAGTGTCGAAAGTGAGCTGAAGTGAAGATGCCGACGTATTTTGCTGATTTTGTTTAGACGTGTTGTGTAAGTTGTGTACATGTTTAGACGCTGAGTTTGTTTTGCCAACGTGCTCTCTGTGCGAAGGAGCGAGCCAGACGAGAGGCGGTTGAGGAGCACTTGCGTCAGGCTGAGCTGAGCTAAGCTGACGCTTAATCAGCTGAGCTGACTTTGTGATGTCTTCCACTTTGTCTTCCACTTTGTCTTCGGGAGGCAACAGCCAAGAAAGGCGGTCGTTTTTATCCACATTTAGAGGCCTGGCATGGCCTGGCATGGCCTGGCATGGCCTGGCATGGCCTGGCATTCTGCGCTGTTCTGCGCTGTGCGCTGTGCGCTGCGCATCTTCGGCTGATCTTTGCCTTGTCAGGTTTGAGCGCAGTCAGTTCGAGTGATTCGGGACCCAAATTGGGATGACTCGGGCTGAAAGGGTGTCACTGCTCTTATTGGCAGTTTGTACATAGGAAGCAGTTTCTTTAAAGAAACAGCCTGCCGTCCTGCCGTTGCTAAAAAGGGCTGAAACTCCAGATCACAGGAAGTCCACACGTATTCCAAGTGGCAAAAAAACTTCAGGTTTTGTTAGTTCCTGGGAGTAATTGTGCCTGCTGCCTTTCTCCAGGTAGGTTGTTGTTCCTTTCCAACCACAAGACACGCAAGACAGGTCACTGTCTTTTTCCAAAAACTGCACGAGCAGCGTTTCTTCCAGCATCACTTTGGACAATTTCAGAAGTTTTCATGGTTTCTCCATGTTTCTCACATGCGCAACGCGACCCATTGTACAGTAGAGAGACGGCTTCGCTCTGCGTGTCGCTACTCCTGTGCAGTGATGGCGTGATCTCCTGAGTTTTTGTAGGAAATGCCAAGCACGACATCAACTGATTTGCGTGGTGCAGTTTCTGTGGCTTATTACAGTATTTTAAGGTATATATATTATATATATATATATTCAGATATATTAAATATATTATTATAACCTGCTCAAAAAAAATCCTAAAACTATTTCACACCCTTATTATAATATATATTAAGTATAATATTATATAATATACTAGGATATTAGGTTTTTTTTCTTGTGCATCACCCTATGTTACACATATGTTGCTTTGTGAGGCTCGCGAAGACCGGTCTCTCAGCTCCTGGGGGAGGAGTCATTCTGTACACCTCCATGGGAGAAATTGAGGCCTCAAATGTGACGCATGGGGAGCACCTCTGCTTTTATGATATCATTATGATATTATGATATTATCATGATAATTTTATGATATTATTATGATATTATTATGATACTTTCGCAATTTCATGATGCAGTTTCTTATGTTTTCTTCTTGCAATGGCAGAGAAATGTAGGGATGGAAAGTGGTGTTTGGGACTACATGAAGAATGTTGCATCAGGGAGCAACCTCGTAGTCTGAAAGAACACCTGGCTTTGTTTCAGGTGGAACTCTATTGGAATCACGCCCCAAAGACATGTGCCTGGACTGCACGGATGCCTTCGAGTGTTCTGTTGGTTGGTTCTCACACAGCTTTTGCATTGGAAGGATTGCTGGGTCCAAATTCATTGATTTACCAGAATTTGAAAGAGGTTAGATTCATATTTTCGTGTCGGAGGTATGAACTTCCTTGAACTCGCCAAACGGAGCTACTATGCCGGAAGCCAATCAAAACAAGAGGGGACCAACGACCTTCTGCAAGAGATTCTGCAAGATATGAAAGGGCTTCTGATCCGAGGACAACACTTTGTTCCACCGAATAGTGAGCAACTTCGTGATCCAGGCAGGAGCTGGAACATACGTGAGCAACAAATTGAGCAAGAAATTTGAGCAACGAATTGAACATATTGATGATTTTGGTATATTTTGGTATATTTTGGTCATGGACATGGACATGGAGCTTCAAATCAAGTAGGTAACTATGGTAACTATGGTAACTATGGTAACTATGGTAACTATGGTAACTATGGTAACTATGGTAACTATGGTAACTATGGTAACTATGGTAACTATGGTAACTAGGTGCAGTGATTGGCATTGGCAGTGACATGCAGTGACTAGCTGCAGGGTGGTGATCCAACTGGAACTGGAAGAGGTGGTGAATCGATCTATGGCTCAACCTTTGAGGATGAGATTCACCCAGGTGGAAGATTTTCGAAGTTTACTTTGGGAGAGATAAAGTTTACATATTGGACTTTACATATCTTTACATATCTTTACATATCTTTACATATCTTTACATGGCGGACTTGAAGTGCAACCTTCTCAAGCAGTTTTTTTTCCAGGTCCCAAACTGTAGCTCTGGCCTTACAATCCCTGATTCTCCTGATTGGCCAGCTGTACTTTGATTTTCCCCTTAACATGCCTTGAATTGGCGTGAATCATTCGCTCAACCTCCCTTTCGGTCAATGTTTTCAGATGTTTTCAGCCTTCGTTTGTCGAACAGGCTTGAAGCATACTGGAGCTGGGATTTTGAGCATGGCGTCGCTCACTTGGCACACAGCAACTGCAGCTGCCGAGATTGGCCACTGCGGAAATCACTGTGATCCTTGGGATCCACCCAGGAATTCTGGCCCAGACAGCAATGGCTTGCACCCCATTTGGGACGTTGACATTGTCGTTGAAAATCCTTGCATTGAACACACATTGAACACGCATGGAACACGCATGGAACTTCGTTGACTTCAATGGAAACGCGAAGTCCTTTTGTCTATGACTCCATTGACTCGTGATTGGTTTGTACTGGTCATTTGGGCATCCAGAGTCTCAGTTGGATCTCAGGCTCGCAGTTCTTCATTACCTTAGGGTCTGGAGCCCTTGCTCACGTGTCCTCTCACTGCTCTCACGTTAATAGGCCATGATTGCTGAGGCCACAGCCTTCCTTGGATGGGAAACATGCCATTTTTGGTCGAGTTTGTCGTGGCATGAAGGCCACAGCATACCTTGAGGATTTGAGTATTTGGCGAATTATTCCCAAGTTCTACTGCAGATGTGGCTCAATTGTTTCATATTGTTTCTGATGTCTCTGTTTCCGCGCCAGGTGGTTCAGAAACTGGGCTCAGTTGCTACCAATGCACAGGAGATTTCCACAAAAGTTCCGTATTTTCAACAGGTTTTCTGACACTTTCCTGTTCCGACCTGTTTGAAGATGTCTTATCATGTCTTATATCATGTCTTATCAGTTGATGGTGCAGGACAAGCCCATTCAGGAGGCGGGGAGATCTCAAGCGAGATCCGTGTTTTTTTGGAGCCGAAGCTCTGATAAGCTCTGCGTGCAGGTGAAGATCCTGCGGGCATCCACTGCGTTAGCCGCAGATGCCAATTTGGGACTATGACCAGATGACCAGATGATACCGCCAGGTGAACAAAAAGTCTCCAAAATCATGAGTGAAGTGTCAAAAAGTGTCAAAATGTGTCACCTGCCCTGGTGATTCCTGGTGTAATTCCGGACTTGCAGTACTTGATCTCCCTTGGCAAACGGCTGTCTTGGCTCAAGAAACTTTCTGAAGCTGGACCATGAACCCCAAAAGAACCCAAAACTGACACCATGGCAAGATTACTTGTCCCAACACCCCGCAACGAAGTCAGTCGTGTGTTTTTTGCACCTTGGGATAGAAACAAGTGGCACCACAGTGGACAGGGAAGAGAATTTGTTTCAGCGGATCAAACTATGCCGGGCACTCGTGATGTTGAGCCGGGCACTGAATCCAGCTGAGCTGCTTCCGACTGCTTCCGACTGTTTCCGACTGCTTCCGACTGCTTCCAATCTCAATTCGAAGCAGTTTCGATCGTAGAAACATATTGTCACAGCAATCGTAGCACCGCAGGTTGCCAAAGGAATGGTTTGAGGAGGTGTGGCACGAAGTGTGATGACTCACTGACACATCTGGTGAATCCGAACCTTGAAACAGAACGAGCCAGATTCACAAATAATTCTACAGATGATGCAAACATATGCAAAAATATGCAAAATGATTCTACCAATAGTGATATTGCCATGTCGTATCATGTCGTCTCATGTGCTATGTACAGTTGCAGTGGAGATCAGTGGAGCGAAGGTGTTCGGAGTGCCTGAGGGTAAATACAAAGAGATGCGGGACGATTTCGAAGCAGCAGCAGGTGCAGTGTAGCAGTGTAGCTTCGACATTTTTTCGCCGTTTCTGCCATTTTTCGACACTTTTCATGTCTCTTTCGTGTCTCCTTAGTCGTATTCGTTGAATCTGTTGCTCTACAGGTTTGCTGATCTGCAAAAGCACCGGCAAGATGTTCCAGGCACCCCGAGCCCATGGCCAGCGTATGGCAATGGCGACATTTCAAACAGAAAGGAAGACATTTTTGCAGATAGATCAGATTGAAATGTTAGACTTTGTCACTGGATTGAATAATATGCTTTGAAATATGCAGATTGCTGCAGACTCTGCAGATTTTGATATCTATCTATCTACCTATCTACCTATCTATCTATCTACCTATCTATCTACCTATCTATCTATCTACCTATCTACCTACCTATCTACCTATCTACCTATCTATCTACCTATCTATCTACCTATCTATCTATCTATCTACCTATCTACCTACCTATCTACCTATCTACCTATCTATCTATCTACCTACCTATCTACCGATCTAATCTATCTATCTATCTATCTATCTATCCATCTATCCGTCCATCCATCCATCCATCCATCCATCCATCCATCCATTTGAGCTTCCAGGAACATCATATCGAAACAGATGAGATGCTCATGGTCAGTTTTTTAAAAGAATCCTTCTCTCCTAAATTCAGACACTAAATCACTGTAAGTCAATATAAGTCACTAAGTCATGCTTCGCACGTGCGCTTGACCCGCTTGACACGCTTGACCCGCTTGACCCGCAAGCTTCCGCCCTGGTTCAAGGCAGGGACCCTGCGAACTCCGACCTTGTCCGAGCTGAAAACGCAATTGGACAATGCCAGACAGGCCTGGTGACATCTGGTGACCTGGTGGCTTCGTCCATGACATTTTTGAGACATTTCGGCGCTGGAGCTGGTAGGATTTACATAGATTTACATAGATTTACATAGATTTACATAGATTTACATAGATTTACATAGATTTACATAGATTTACATAGATTTACATAGATTTACATAGATTTACATAGATTTACATAGGAGATTTACATAGATTTACATAGATTTACATAGATTTACATAGATTTACATAGATTTACATAGATTTACATAGATTTACATAGATTTACATAGATTTACATAGATTTACATAGATTTACATAGATTTACATAGATTTACATAGATTTACATAGATTTACATAGATTTACATAGATTTACATAGATTTACATACCCACCACAAAACTATCACCATCACAAGCATGACGCTGCTGGGAAACATGTTTTCTGATTGAGAAAATGAACTGCAAGCACCGCCAAAGGATGGTGATGGTGGCTACTACAATGCTGGTGCTTGAGCCTTACACGATCTTACGCCTCTGGTAAGATGGGCGAGAAATCTGCCAGAGGAGATGCCATGCAAGAGGACTGATAGAAGAGAACAACTATGACACAATGATGCACAATGAGTCTATCAAATTCTATCAAATTCTATCAATATCTTCAACTCTTTGGCGCGCCCAGGTGCTTAGATTTACCAACCTGACCAGCGACACGCTGAGCCTATACCAAGATCCCCAAAATGCCGGGGCTGTTTTCCAGGCGTTTGGGTGCCTGTGAAACGACCATGTCTCCATGTCAGAAGATAATGACCATGGTCTTGGCATATCTTGGCCATGAACAACTTGACAACCCCCGGCGCTTTGAAAAGGTTGACTGAGCTTGTGGCTAGTCCTTGATATGGTCATCCTAATATGACATGGACAAATCATATCGTGGATTTGAGAATACGAGACATAATTCTAAAGGACCTAAAGATATGTTGAAAAGACCCGTGAAAATGAAGACAGGATCTTCAAAGGAAAAGCAAACCAACGATTTTTGTGTGGAGATGGCTAGATCAGAGATGAACCTTGACATGTGGAAACATCCAAACTGACAGAGAACTTGTGTAGATTCTCAAGAAACAATACCCTTGCCATTTGAAGATATTTGATGATATTTGAAGATATTTAAAGATATTGAAATGTTTCAGCTTCTGCTACTTTGTGATGCTTTGTGATCTGCTTCTTTGATCTTTCTGCAGGTGTGCTCACTATTCAATTGCTTGGAAACTGTTGATGGCTATCATCCCGAGGCGGCTGTCACCGGTCACCACCGGTCACCACCAGTCACCACCGGTCACTGGTCACTGTGTCCAGCTGTGATCGATAGGATGGCATCACTCACTACTCCTCCAAGGTGCCGTCACACCATGTGGCCCATGTGGCTGTGTCAAAACAGATGTGTCAAAACAGATGTGTTATGCATGTGTTATGCATGTTAACCCGTGTTAAAAGATGTGTTAAAAGATGTGAAATCTCTGTGTTTTCTGAGCTGTGGCGGGGAGGCCACGCAAGGGGCGATTTCGTCCATTGCCTGTCCCGCAGCGGCGTTTTTTAGGACGGAAATGTGTCCATTGCAGAACGGACAGACGGACAGACGGACAGACGGACAGATCTTTTACGCATTTTAATTTATTTTATATCATTTTATATTTGTTTCATCTTTGTATCATGGACATGTGGACATGGATATTTTGGCGTTTTTGGCATCCGGTTAGGAATTACTTTGTCCACACTACTGGTCAGGGCGTTTGCGACTCAGTGCCAGTTTTCATTCCGAATTCCAGGGGTCCAGGGGTCCCTTTCTGTTCCCTTCTCAGGCAGGTGGCAGACCCGTTGACTTGCTAGAAGAGCTGGCAAATGTGGTGCAGAACAACAAGAAAGGCGCGCCCAAAAAAATGTCCTTGAAAACCTTCGATTTTTGATGAACTTTGGCATTTTCTTGTGGATATCTGAGTTATTTCTCTGACTTTTTCTGGTGCTACAACTTCAACATTGCGAGGCTACTGGACCATGAAGACCAATCCTCAGTCAAGTTGCCTGTTGGCTTGTACTGTGGACATATTTTGTGAACATTTGTGGAATAGTTGGACATAGTTGGACCAACTGGACAAACACTTGTGACACTTTCAGCATCTTTCAGCCTTGTAGCATTTTGTCGCCTTGTAGCGGACTTAGTGACTTGGTGACTTAGGCATGGACACTGCCTCCCTTGGGTTGATGGAAGCATTGCAAGGCTCAGCTGTTTCTTTTCTAGGCGAAAAAGCGCAATGCTGTTTCAACGGACATCAATTGACATCAACGGACATTAAAGGACTAAGCAGATGCACCAGATGCACTAAGCAGATGCACTAAGCAGATGCACATGTCTTGCACATGTCTTGCACATGTCTTGTTGTGTGGCGTCACCAAGCTATCCCATGTCGAAATTGCATCGGCTGTCCAATTTGTCACAGTATACAGGTGGCTGATGTGGCTGTGAATCCACGGCAATCTCGCAGGCTGAGCCATATACTTGCAAACGACCACGAGCTAGAAGCAGAAGCACGACAAGCAGTGCAGGCTAGGCGCCTAGGCGTTGTCGATAGCTTTTGTGACTATCTTCGCACAAGCCAAGCCCTTGGACTTGAACCAAACAAGAGTTTCCCTGAGAACTAGAATCGCTTGGTCTGCATGCCTTCCAAACAGCACACTATATCCTGTAGACTGTTTGTTGCTCATATTACAACGCCCATTCGTTGTATCATGTTGTATCATTCCGATCATTCCAATGCATTCTGTTTGTGCGGGTCTAAAGAGTGCACTGAAGCACCTTCTTTGCGGATTTCGTTGTGGATTTTGGGAGGTTGGAGTGCACTGGGAGACCGAGGCTTGAGCCACAGTGGTTTCACGATGACATACATAGCAAGACATAGCAAGGCGATGTAAGGCAGACATTGTAAGGCGATGTTTTTTCATCTCATCCACCCATTTTCCAAGGTGTGGCAGTGTTCACACCAGGTTTGCCAGGCTCGCCGAAGATATTGCATGTTTTGCCTCATGGTTCTTTTAGAGTTCTTTCAGAGTTCTTTCATTCGAAGTCTTTGGATGTCTTTGGGTCTGAATTGCATCAGCCCCTGCGCTGCAAATCGCAAAGAAGGAATGCACGAAATGGCACGAAAACCACATTTTCCGGGGATCATGCAACAGCCCCAACATCATGTTTTCGACCAGGTTCTTTGTGGTGCTCTACCAGTTGGATACCTGAAAGCGGTAAAAGCCAACGAATGGGCGACATTTGCTCGAGTTGCAGTCTCAACGTACCATTTTCGTACCATTTTCGCATCATTTTCGGACGCATTTCGTCAGGTGCGATCATTTGCCGTGCCATGCCGTGCCGTGCCTCACACTGCGTTGAGGTCGTGTTGCAGGCTGCCTACGAAGCCACTTTGACCATCGCCTCATGCTTGGCTGCGAAGAAGGGGACACGAATCAAGGTGTGGAAGAAATATGGAGAAATCACGTTCATGCTGACTATGCTGACTCAGATGTAATGAGATGTAATCCGAAGAATCAAGGTATGTTTGAACCATTTTGAACCACAAGTTGAGACTTGTGAAACTCGTGGCAACACGATTTTCGACATACCTTGACAAGTATCTTGACATGTTGACATAAGATGACACAAGATGACACAAGATGACACAAGATGACACAAGATGACACAAGTGTGTGATATTGTGTGATCTATTTCTACGCTTGCACGTGACCCTCCAGGTTTTCCTCACAGCAGTTGGGGCTGGATCTTTGAGCAATCGCGTGGCCTGGATTGCAGGCGGCCACCGCGCCAGAGCACATGGTGTGCTTAGCGTGTGCTTAGCGTGTGCTTAGCGTGTGCTTAGCGTGTGCTTAGTGTGCTTTCTCCGATGCTTCTGTGGTTCTGTTGAGACTTCTGAGAGCGACATCGAACTCGTTCTGTCAACAGTGGATCTCCTCGTTGAACATGTTTGGAACATGTTTGGAACATGTTTAAACTTCAAATTAAAGGCATTTGAAAGCCTTCTTGGAACAGGCGCTTTGGAGACAGCTTTGGAGAATTTTGCCCAGGACATTTTCTCTTTTCCATGGGCAAAATCTGTCCTGGAATCATCAAGAATCTTACCGTCCCCATCTGTGGAATCCGTCCCCTGTCGCCGGAGCTGAGCCTGAAAGGAGCCCTTGGATGTGGTGCTCGTCCACTATTCCGCGCCGCTTCCTGACTTTGCGCGGTTAGAGGTGGGGTCATGTCATTAAGACATATAAGACATTAGTAAGACATATTAAGACCCATGAGTCCATATGGGTCCGATGAGGACATGGCTGGATGGGCAGAATTGAATTTCCCTGTTTCAGGAGGTTTGTCTTAAGTTGAGAGCAAGACGATTTCTCACTTTTGATCACTTTTCTGCTTTTTTGGTCTTAGGGTGGACGATTTATTTATCGATAACACTCAGTGTCCAACTGTTGACCAACTGGCTGTCACAGGAAGGCAGAAGGGCTCTGACGCCACCAATGAGGCCCAAATCGCATTGCACCTTTCTGAAGAACTGACATGTCCATCGCATCTTAATCTAACAATATATGACATGATGCGTGATTGGTTCCACCATGTTGAATCTCATGACATCTCATGACCCAGCTGCAGTCAGGCCCATGAGCCCATCGGTGCAGGACATTAGTATTAGCCAGTGACGATCTTGGATACCTATCAGCTCCGTAGCTATCAACTGCCGTTTTTTTTTCTACCCGGTACCGACCGACTCCCCAAGGAATCTGCGAGATTATGGCATAGACGAGCAACCTGAGGCACTTAGGGCTTTGCACGTTAGCAAACTTAGCCTGCAAGCATCTCAAAGTGTCAAAGGCTATAGATTCTATTAGATTCTATAGATATAATTATAATATATATATACACTATCATAAACATATTACATACATATACTATAAGACATTATAAAACATATAAGCTATTTTGTTTCACTTGTGACTTGTGACAGCCTTCCTGACATTTCCAGTCATCCCGCCGGGTGCACAGGACGACTTAAAGGCAGTGATGAGGCCCCGCGAACCTTGGAGGATCTGGTATACCTGGTAAACATACAAAAAACGATGGAAAGATCCACCATTTTTCATGGGGAAATTCACTATTTCTATGGTGATGAACACCGTTATGTGAAAAATTTCCAGAGGGTATCAGCAACATTTGTGAACACCAAATACGATACGCTGTGGCAAGGGCAGCCTTCTCAATGCATGATCAGAATGGTGATGGTGCTGGGACGCTCAGATGTTGAGATTCTGGATTGATTGAGGGATGGGCAAAGAGCGTCCGGCTGTTTTTCTTTCGGATTGGTTGCAGCGTTCTTGAAATTCCCTGTTGGATATTCTGAGAAGATAAATATGTTCATCAATTCCCTGAAGGTTGACTCTTTGAGGGAACGTGTTTGATTCAACGTCCTTTTTTTTTGCGAAAGAGTTTTCCAAATATCAATTTTCAATAATTTTCAATTGAACATTTTTTTCAATTGGTGCTTTGCAGTTTCCAAACGTTCTGAGGTGTTGGATCGGGCGGAGTTTTTCAACATGCTGCACAAGGAGCGAACACCTGGGTAAACGTGGAACTGACCGCTGTCTACGTGTGAAACTTGTGATGTGCCACCAGGTAGACAGCGAGCCAGATGCCCGGATATGGAAGGATATTTGGACGGATCCGAATCAAATGGACAACGAGATGACAATTGGAAGAACTGGAAGTTCCCATTGAAATCGTTACACTTTGATCGGTCCATTCATCGTCCATTCGTCGTCCATTCTCATTCTTCACTGCTTAGGTTCTTCACGCAGCATGTTGTAGACGTGCTCTTGCAGGAGGTGAGATACTGTGAGATCTTGACAGATCAAGCACGGTTATAAGGCAAATAATAAGTTGTTTTTAGCAAGGCAAAGACCCAGAGAATGTATTGTCGGACGGTGAAACATTGTGAAACGAGGCCGATGCCGATCAAGATGGTCGGATATACTACCACGAGTTTGTCCGGTGGATTTGCCAGGACTGGTGCCACTGGTGCCCGGTTTTGCGAAGACGTTTCAGAACTTGTAGCGAGTTGGGCAATCTCAAGGTGACAGATGAGGTCATTTTAACTGAATATAATTAATATGACTGTGTAAGTCTGGTGTAAGTCTGTGGTGCCTGCAGTGTGGCTGATCGAACAATAGGGAACAGCTTAGCTGGCCTAGCTGGCTTAGCTGGCTTAGCTTCCACGACTCCCTTCCCCTGGAACTGTCGCATCCAGTTCGGACACATGAAAACATATATGAAAACTGCTCGAAACTTGCGAGCGCCCCCGAGGAAGATGAAGAGATCGTCAAGCGAGTCTTACAATAAGCGGACGATGAAGCGATGCCGAATTCGATGTGGCGCCCTCCGATGGCCCTTGAATGTGGCATGTGGCATTGGCATGTAGAAGCTGACTTGCGGTTCGGTCAGTGCCCTTTTGCAAAAATTGATCTTACTGAATCTTAGTGAATCTTATTGAATCTTTGGATACTCTTCTTCAATTTCGGTGAAGTGTCAAGAATCCTATTATGATCTATTATGCAATATCCAGGGGATCAGGGGACAGTGTGTGCTTTGCGCCCAATGTTTTGCAATACCCGTTTTAACTCGTGCCTCGACACGACTTGTGCAGATAGTGCCAGAGATGCTCAACGAATGAAGTTCCGAGGGCGTCTGTGCCGCGAATGTGGCAGTTCGGACTCAGTGCCCGCAATGTGCGCTAGAGAAACACCCACTAGATTCACTAGATTCACTAGACGCCACATGTGATGCCACTCACTATCCTTGCAGAATGTAGGGGGTGGAACCAGTTTTGCATCTTTTTGCTGGGTGCCTTTAATCTGTGCATAATCACTTGCTCGTTAATCTCTGCAACACGTGAAGCCATTGATTTTCCACGTTAAGTACATGCTGAAAATTCCAGAAATTTGAAGAGACCATGCCTGACGATAACTGCGAAGAACTCTTGGCCTTGGCGAACGCCCACAGCGGCCAAGAACATGATCAATCGGCATCGGACTAAAAAGTAAGGGGACTTGACCTCCTAGACTCTGAAACATTTCTGCTACTCGACCACAAGATGCAGCATGTGAATGAAATGACACTGATGTGATAATGATGTGGCAACGTGCATCAAATTGAAATAAATTGAAGAATTATTTGAGCAATTTTGAGCATATCGGGCCGATATCGGGTGCATGCGATGCATATGCGATGCATACGGTAGAGGCTGCAAGTTGCCATGGCAGCACCCACCCCAGCGGAAGAGCGACGTCAGGCAGTGGGCTTTGCCACCTGCCGCGTTCTGCCGCGTTCTGTGTTACATCGCACAGGTGTTGCACTACGCAGCAGGCCTGCTGCATCAGTTGCTGGTGATGCCTTGCATAGTGATTTTCCGGTCAGGAAATGGCCGGGCAGACATCGTGTCCTTGGCCATTGAGCAGGACACTTGTACGATCCAAGTGCTTACCAGCTTTCAAATATGAAAAGAATTGGCAGATAGCTGTACTATCAGGTGAAGAGATTTTAAAAAGAATCACTTGCCGAGACAGTATGTGGCATTCATTGACAATTGTTTCGACCTCGGTTATTTGTGAATCTTGTTTGCACAAGCACGCAAACCAGGAGACAGCACGCATCGGCTTGTTTGACCTCTGCGTTGCAACCGCTTGCGCCCTTTGTTCCTTGCAACCGCCAGGCTGATGATGGGAACGTGTTCAGCTGAGGGACCAGGAGACCAAAGAAAACCCTAAACGCTTGGCTGGATGAAAAATGAATAAAAATGATGAAAACTATGAATCAAACACATCCATAGATTGCATGCCAGACGTTCAAACAGGGAAAATCATGGAAAATCCATATTTTCATCCATTTTCACTCACTTTCACGGATGTTTCCAGACCGACGGCTTGATCGCCAAATTCTGAAAAAGTAAAAATAAAACATGTGCAGCGCCAAGGTGATTTCGCTGCTGTCTTCTCAAGATGAAAAGGTGGTTTTGGCAGCATGGGATGTTGATGACTACACTGACTCTACATGTTTTGGTCGCTTGTGCAGGGCACCGCGCTACATGAGGCGCATTTTGGATTGTGATTTGTTTTGATACAAGATACAACTTGTAGCGAAGTTAGGCGCCGAGGTGCTCCGTGATTTGTAGACATGGTTTGACAGGCCTGCCGCAACGGCCATGTGGACGTGGTCACCTGGATGCAGAGGGTCTGAGAGGTTTGATGACGATACGACGATGCGTGTCATGCCAAGACTTCGTGTAAGGTGAGACTACTGCTGCTGCGCGGTGGGCTAAGCCACAGAGTAGCCTTGTAACAAGATTTTGATTCACCGCTCTGTTGTGGCTCTTTGGGACCTTTCAACCTTTCTCCCGTGCGCTTTTCTACTGAGGTGGGGCTCCTCCAGATGTTCATGATGCCAACGGCAAAGCACCATTTCAGGCGTGCAAAGCACCAGTTCGGTCGTCTGAAGTGCTTTGATGTGCTTTGTAGGTCAGCAGCAATCTAGTTGCAGGTGGCATTGGCAGAGTGCCCTGCTGCAAAGTCTGTGCCTCAATTTGTCATTCAAAATTGGTTGAGTTTAAACAGCTGGCAGTAGAGACTTTAGATATTGAAATTAAAACATGAAGTGGCCTGAACAAAATTTGTTGGCATGTGGCTGGATGCGATCATTACCGTAACGGTTGCTCTATTTTCCTTTGTTATTTGGTACTGTAGAGGATCTGCAGTGCAAAGAGGAGTTCCCAAATAATGCATACGAGAAATGTCTGCCTCGACAGAATCCGGTCCCTGCATAACTCTTTAAAGTTGAGAGATGGTTTTTATCATTTTTCTTCATGTGTTTCATACATTTTATAAAGGTTAAGCATGGTTAAGCCAAAGTCAGAAACGGTTGTCGTATGTTTTCGTTTCAGGTTTGATCAGCTCCGGGCGGCCTTCGAAGCCGAACTCTTCAAACGCTGTGCCACTGGAGACACAGCGACGGCCTCGTGGTGCACGGCAAATTGGCCAGGAGAACCACAAAACCACCACATGTTCATACCATGATAGTACATTCTGGTGTGGTTGAGATCAGTACAGTTGACTCAGACTGGAACATTGCTTTTTACATTTTTTTGCAAAGAACACTTTAAACACTCTACTAAACACTCTGCGTCTTTCAGTTTTGGCCTCAGTTTTGTTGCCTTGAGGCAGGTGCAGAGTCGCTGGCCAGGGGTGGTTTAGATCTGAAAGAGGCTACGCAGGCAGCCTGCCATGGAGCCGACATTTTTTCCGACCGAAAGCAGGGCGTTGTTTTGATCATGGAACTTGTGTGGGCCCCGAGAGGTCTATAGATATTTGATGATATTTGAGATATCCATAGAAAATCATAGATATCCGTCATATTCCGTCATCCAGTGTCTGCTTTCCCAAGTCCACATGCCTATTGAGAACGGCGCAATGCTCCTTTTGGCTCAGTCTTGGGACCCGTCATCAGCTGGTCTCACGTCCGTTTAGCCATGGTCAGCCGTAAAATGTAAAGCACTACTTGCAGCAGGAATTTCACGCTTGCACGGAGGATTTTGCCTTGCAATATCAAGTAGACAAAGTGTAGACAATAGTATTTTGCTTTATTTGAAACAGGGAGGATGTCATTCGAAAGAGTAGCAATCGTCAGATACAGTTCCCAAGGCAATTAAAGATTTGGTACTCGGGCTGCACCGCCATGGTTTAGCATGCCAATGTTACCGCTACGAATTCTGTGTCTTCTCGGATTCCATGGATTGGTGAAATCCGCTCCAGTGAGCATCACTGGGACCGGCGCAGCAAGGATCTACTTGGATGACAGCGAGGCTGGTGATGCGGACCATCTCGATGCGAGTACGTTGAGAACAGCGAACATCGGAGCAGTGCTTGAACTCAAAGGAAGTCACTTCTGTTTGAGTTTAGCAACTGATAACTGGTATAACTATTGTATAACTGGTATAACTGTGGTTTCTGCTAAGCCTGCCATAGATTTCTTCACACTTGGGCCATAGCTTGAAATGCCCTAAGGTAAGGCAGGCCTGCAGATCATTGATCGCCCCGATGGACTGCGCGGTGCACGCGTTGCGCCTGAACTCTTGGAATCCACCCTACAGGACAGATTTCCAGATTTCCAGTGGATTTCAACATTGAAAGCTGCTGTTGACTCGGATCATTTCATTTATCATTTCATCTTTCATCATTACACATGTTGTATAATTTCTATTCACTTCTTTCTTATCATTTGTTTTACAATTTGTACAACACTTTTTCGCAGCCATACCTTGTGATCTCAGGAGGCACTCGGATACATCAGGAAGGAACTTGCGCATGGAACCGGGGTCTTGCTGAACTGGAAGAAGAATTGCGACAGTGGTGCTGTGCTTGCCATTGCAGCTTTGATAGCAGAATTTTGGCTTGCAAGTCTGTTCAGGGTGCTTTTCATTTCTTTTGCATACAGTCCTCGAATATCTTTGAATATCTTTAGATATCATTGAAACTTTGAATATCGTTCGACCTGTCTAGTTGCTGCATTGAAGTGCGAGAGGCCCCCAAGCATCCGTCTTGTCTTTTGAGGAAGAAGGAGTCGATCTAGATGAAGCACAGAAGCGTGTCAATGGATTGCATCCGTGTGCTCGCAAAGACGAGACGCAGACGAAGCTTCGACAACTATTTTCCCAGTCGTCGCATTCAGATTTGTGAATGGTTGTGAATGGTTGTGAATCCTCTGAGTCATCCTCAGAGTCTCGCGGCAACGTGCCAATGAAGTTTCCTGAATGCCAGACAGTTTCACTATGATTTTCAAAAAAATGGAGCGTTTTCCACAGGTGTGCCTAAGTTTTTTCCCACAAAATCAAGTCAGGTTGGAAGCAATGACTGTGTCGCGGCAGGCTGGCTACAGTCCTTGGGCTTGGGCTAGTCTCTTTGATGCGACAGCCACTGCAGAGCGAATGGAGGCTCATTGGTTCTGAGATCTACCAGAGACCAGAGATTCTACTTTTTTTTGGGGGCGCAGTGGCATACATATCTAGCAAATTCTGGCTGTTCTATGCTGTTCTCCTGTCCTGCAGAACCTCTGGAATCTGTTGCAGCAAGCCCCCAATGCGTGCACTGGTGTCCATTCAGGCCATTGCAAATGGGCAGGTGGACCTCAATGGTACGGCATGCTCTGAGCTGAGATGAACTGAGAGGGCAAAGTGGAGCCATTTCGAACCAGGCCTGACTTCTCACGGTTTCGCTGTAAATTTGTGTTCCAACATGTTGCAAGATGTAGCAACAGTGCAGCTTCAAGTGGATTTTAAGGTGAGGAGGGGGAGCCCTCTGACGAACCGGAAGAGGAGCTTCAGGATTCAGTGTGTTGGAAGCTCAAAAGATGACATTTTAAGCAGCGCATGAGCTGGCATGAAGCTGTTCCATGCTGTTCATCGGAGCATCTAGCCATTTTATGCAATTTTAACGATTTTTAGCTTCACCATATTTCACCATACTTCACTGCTTTGCTTGGAGGCGAAATCGGCGAGATCTCTGCACCGGACCTGTTGCTTTGGCCACCTGTGACCGCATTCTCTTTGAACGCAGACGTGTTTCTCAGTTTGGGCGAATCCTTGCAGGCAGGAGATTCTCATGAAGCCATGAAAATTTTGTAAAAACGCCAGAAGGGTCATGAAATGTCATGAAATGTCATGAACAGCCACCATGCCGCTGTTGGACCAAGGAAAATTCCCCCTTAAAATTGTCAGTTTCCATCTTGGCAGGTTGAGGTGCGCATCCCGCCATTGGATATGCCAGCTGCATCTATGCTCTTCGAAAAGCTCCAGCATTGCTTGCAGGCGTCGCATAGGTCTTCTTTGACATGTCTTTGGTTTTTGTCAAATATTTCACTTTATTTCGGATTCGAAATTGTAGCAGAGCCTGCACTGAAAAAACATGAGCTGGTTGTATGAGTGAAGTGCATTGAAAACTCCTGATGAATGAAATCACCATGGGGATATAGTCGGAACGTCACTTGTGTGGCAGGCAGTGGCACCAGTTGGAGAATTCCTACCAAAAGCTCCTGTGCTGGTGCCTGTGCTACAGTCACCCTGCGATTGTTCGGAGGCGCACAAAGGGCTTGAACAACATAGAACACTTGAAAATCGCAATTCATCAGCTTTCATCAACTTTCTATGAGTCCATTCCTGTCTCAGGCTGCAGAAACGACCCACTCCACAGTGGATTTGTGGTTGGATGCTTCTATGAATGGCTTCCAGGCACCCGAATCAGACTGCCAATGCTTCTCACTGCCTTGCGATTGCTGTGTTGCGGTTTAGTGGTCCATGTTGCCCCGTCTGTAAAGCCGTTCCAATTTCTATCCTCTGTGTCTGATTTTGTGCTCGTTTCCTGCAGGAATGCAGCATGCTTTCAGGTTTGCAGTTGTGGCTTTTGCTTTTCCATGTCTTTTCAAGCAAGGTTGCTTAGCAGTGAAGTCACTACTAAGCAGCACATATTTGCAAACCTTAAGGACCTTTGATTTCCCGTGATTCAAGGTGAAGCTTGCTGGTGACGTCCCAGGTAGGGTACAACTGATGGGCGGCTCTCTATGGGATGCTTGGCGTGATTTAGCGCAGTTTGATTTGAGCCGGATGACCTTTTCATACCTTTTCTATCTGATCCTTGGGGTTTTGAGCTGGATTCATGTAAAGTTGGTGGTGTTGTTGATTTTGCGCGAGAGAAAACAATCGAAAAGACGGTGGATATATATATAATTATATATATACACATGTGGATAATGGATGGAAAGAGTGAAATCCATGTAGGGTCTCAAACCTTTCCATAATTCCATAGAAAAAATACATATATATATATATTTATGGGACATTTTTTTTTCGCAGTTTTTTTCCAGGCGCTGTCTCAAGCAGTGGAACAGTTGCGGCAACTTCTGCTGCTCCACCGACGTCCCAGCCTGGACTCTGCGCGGCTGCCTGCGCTGTGCCTCCGGGGCCCTGAGCGCCAAAGTGCGCCACGGAACACGGAAATGTCTGACATGCAAAATATTTATTATGAAATATCATGATATTATTATGAAACTATAATTAATTACATGATTCATGATGAAATATCATGAAATCATGAAATTATTATGAAAACTATATAGATATTAAAGGAAAACTATATAATATATAATATATTTAGCTATTTTTTAGGGGAATACGGGTGCAATACATGTCTACAGGAACATGTGACATCAGGTGACAGCATGTGAGGATGAGATGGATGTCGGCATCAGATATCCTATGTTCAGTTGCATTTCACATATTTCTGAACATAGGATGGGCTTTCGATGAACTTTTGATCATCGGAGGTGCAACTCCCGTAGACTTTAGAATCTTTAGAGTGTACGTTGATTCCATTTCATGACCATACTCAAAAATGACCGCACTTAGACGTGACATGACGTGATCATCATGTTTCTCTCTTACATGACATGACATGTAATGTACTCCGATTCAACATGTCTCCCATTTGTCCCTCTTAAGATGAGCTGCTGAAGGCTCTGTGCTTATGGACCTTTGGAGTTTAAGCTGTGACGAACAATCCAATGCTCTTCAGCAACTGGCACGCTGGCAAATCAGGCGACGCTTTCATGGCTTAGTGATTTTGATGAATCGGTGCATGATGCCATATTTTGCCATATTTTGAGATGTTAATCATATCTTACATATATATATACAAACATAATATATATGTATACATAATATACATACATAATATACATATATACATATATCTTATACATACACATATATATCTTACATGATCTGACAATGTGGCAGGCGATTCTGGGTCCCCGTGCCGGTGAGCTTTGGGCATAGCTGGTTGCAGGAGTGGCTGTTTGCCAAACAGCCATGGTTTCCATGACCGAAGTTTGGAGATTTTATGCTACATTTAATATCATAAACTGGATATGGTGGGAAACATTTTTAAACTGGATAATTTTTGGATAATCATTTGGATAATCATAAAATATCATAGATATTGACACATATCGGCGATATTTTATGGATAATCTGGATAATCCGTACGTAGCGAAAAAACACCAGCTGCAGGATGTGTTCGAAGCACGCAGGACTGACACTGAAAAGACCGGTCAAAGTGACACAACACACACCACCGGAGAAACAAAGTAAACTTAGCATACGATAGCTGCAAGGAAAGAACTACATCATCAACTATACTATATGACATTATATAACTATCACATGGCCAACATGGCCAACATGGCCAACATGTGCAAACAACAAACAACAAACGACTTCAGTGTTGGAAGCTGCAGGACCTGCACGAAGATTGGTGCTGAACTCGTCCCTGTGATTCGACCCGAGCAGGAGAATCTGGTGACAGCTCTGGCACAGTGTGGCCCCTGGATTTCGAAAAAAAACATGGAACAAAATGAACAAATACAAGATAATACAAGATAATACAAGATAATACAAGATAATACAAGAGTACTGCCAGATACTGCCAGCTCAAGATTCAAACACCTTTCTGTACTCGCTTCTTTGCGCATTTTAATGATTTTAATTCGTTTCAAACTCATTTTACTTGTCTTCTCCTTCGCTCCTTGGCTTCAACCCGTGGGGACTTGCTTCATTTCCGGACATTTCTTACCACAGTCGCTTTCCCAAGACAGATCTTTTCTTCGGAGAAAGACAAAAGGCAAAGACACAAAAGAAAGACCTGTTTGGCTGCCCAAGAGTTATACTGCACACTTCAACACTTTTTGCTCCACTGAGAATTCTTTGTGCCTTCAATCCTTTCAGACTCTTGAACTCTCAGTCTTCACGATCTTCACGTTTCGCCACACGTCTTCACTTGGATATTTGGTGATTTGTTGCCTATGAAAGCCTTCACTTGGATTCGCTCCATTTATGCCATTGATGTCCGTACGCTCCAAGGTTTCAAGGCTGCCGCACAGTGGGACTGCAGCTGCCTTCCTTGAACTCTAGGCATCCTTCTTGGAGTGAACAGTTGGTGATTTCTATAGCTGAGAAAGTCAAAGTGGTTGAAAAAAGAAAGGAAGAACTTGGAAGAAAAGAAGTGAAGAAGTTCATTGAACTACAGATCTATAGAGATCTGAAACAAAGCATTTTTTGCAGCCCAGATTCTGAGATCAATTTCAGGTCAGCGGAACAGTGCAGCACGGTATGGCCGATTTTGCCTCTTGGCAGAAGCGATGGCCCCGATGGCCCCGATTTGGCCAAAATGGAGCCGACGCCCAGCTCAGGCGAAGTGCTGGCCTGGAAGTACGACTGATGGCCATGTTGAGCCTGGAGGACACACAGATCACACAGTGGACTCGGTTGAGTCATTGCAGTCATTGCAGTCATTGCAGTCATGGATCCAAACAACCAGGACCTGTTCTGACGCCACTGTGTCGTTTTGCGTCGTTTTGTGCATTTTTGTGCAGGATCTGAGTCGGAGCAAGGTGATGATCTCACACAGGGCATTTTTGGCACTGAAAAAGCTCAGCTAAGCAGCTCAGCTAAGCTAAGGCATTGCAGCAAGTGAACCAGCTCTGCAAGGACTTGAATGGAAGACATGGACCAGCTGCCAGGCAGGGCCACCTTTTCTCACCAAGTTCTGGAGGGATGAGGGATGGAGAAGGGATGGAGGATGTGACATTCTGCTGGTGGATGGCTCTTGCGCAGAACTGGGCTTCTGCTGGAGTGCAGCATCGAGAACTCAAAGGCAAGATGGCAACTGCCAACTTGACAGGTGTCTCATCCTTTGAAAATAGGCGTAGCATGTTGCAATATGTTGCACTTCGACAGGCATGGGACATTGAGGAGGAGGCCGTAAAGATCGGCTTTGCCCACGGAATCTCGGTGCGGATGCAGATTTTCACAGCAACCGCACTGACCGATACTGACCGCGCTGAAAGTCATTGAAAGTCTGTGGATTTCATGTACTTTGGGAATACATACTCAGGAATATTACTATTACATACTCAATATGCTCGGGGCTGGAGGTTGGCATTGTCATTCGCTCGGTTGGAAATTTGCTTCCAGCACATGTTTGGTCCAAGCCTTGGGGAGAGAAGGAGACTCCAACCCGCGACCATGTCTGGCTGTATGATCTGTGTATGATCTGTGTATGATCTGTGTATGATCTGTGTATGATCTGTGTATGATCTGTGTATGATCTGTGTGATCTGTGTATGATCTGTGTATGATCTGTGTATGATCTGTGTATGATCTGTGTATCTGTGTATCTGTGTATGATCTGTGTATGATGATGTGTATGATCTGTGTGATCTGTGTATGATCTGTGTATGATCTGTGTATGATCTGTGTATGATCTGTGTATGATCTGTGTATGATCTGTGTATGATCTGTGTATGATCTGTGTATGATCTGTGTATGATCTGTGTATGATCTGTGTATGATCTGTGTATGATCTGTGTATGATCTGTGTATGATCTGTGTATGATCTGTGTATGTATCTGTGTATGGTCTGTGTATGGTCTGTGTATGGTCTGTGTATGGTCTGTGTATGGTCTGTGTATGGTCTGTGTATGGTCTGTGTATGGTCTGTGTATGGTCTGTGTATGGTCTGTGTATGGTCTGTGTATGGTCTGTGTATGGCTGTGTATGGTCTGTGTATGGTCTGTGTATGGTCTGTGTATGGTCTGTGTATGGTCTGTGTATGGTCTGTGTATGATCTGTGTATGATCTGTGTATGATCTGTGTATGATCTGTTTATGATCTGTTTATGATCTGTTTATGATCTGTGTATGATCTGTGTACCTCTATGTTTTTGAAAGCTGAATATGCTGAATGTACCAAAGATTAGCAAAGCAAGTGATCCTTTTAGGCATGCTCCGAGTTCAAGGGCGTCCATCAGAGCCACAGCTTTGTGGCAGAGAATACGGTCCATTTCGCAGGTTCGCCAAGCTATGCCAAGCTCAGCAATTCGGAAGTTGCTGAAGATCAGAAGCATAGAAGACCATAGAAGACCATAGAAGACCATAGAAGACCCCTAGCCTCATCTGCCTCATCTGCCTCATCAGCCCCGGTTCCCGTGATGCCAGTGACGCTTCTGCCTTCCCCTCCAGGTTTGTGGCTTGACCGGCTGCAGTGGTTTCAGCACCGTCATGGAAGTCCCGGTGTTCGGTGCTCCCTGGGCAGGATGCGGCACTGCATGGTGTCATCCTTAGAGGTACTGATGTTCTCCACTTTGTAGCTGAACAATCCTGGACTTTTCCATCCCTCATTATCCCTCCACATGTTTCCTAGCTGTCATAGCTGTCATAGCTGCAAGCGGCACAAGTCCCCCGAGGCGGCCATCTTGGTGTCTGCTGAGTGGCTTCTTTGCAGCAGGCCAGCGTCGTGACTCGTGACATCTCGTGACATCTCGTGACATCTCGTGACATCTCGTGACGACCGCGACTACCAGTGGTCATTGGTGATCGACATCTCGTGGAAACTTCAGGCCTTGCAGCTCCGGAGGCGCAATTGTCGCAATTTGCCAAGTCCATGCAGTGCATGCAGTGCATGCAGTGCATGCAGTGCATGCAGTGCATGCAGCATTCGAGACTCAGCCATTGCTTGGAGGCTCAAGTGGATACGCCCAGGCCATGGCATGGGCCACATGGATCACATGGGTCATGGATGGTGGCATGGGTTGCATGGGGTGGCGATGGGTGGCGTCGAGCAAAAGGTGGATGTGGCACATGTGGATGTCGACGTGGGGGTTCTTTCCTCGCAGGTTGTTGCAGCTTCTCCCAGGACAATTCTTTGGAGATGTTGGAGACTCAGGACGACGAGTGCGTTGACCAAATCACCAAATCCGTGGACTTTTCGAGGCCTCAGCATCTGACCTGGTGGTGCTCTCAGTGTTTGCCGTCAAAGAAGTCATTTGGACGTCCAACAGAAATAAATGAACGAAGAAAAAATCTTATCCTGTATGTACATAGATTTGAACATATTTGAAAGATTTTGAAAGCAAACTGTCTGATTCTGTCAATTCTGTACATCGTGAAAGAGCTCGGTGTTCACATCGTATCTGGTCGTATCTGCAATTCTGGCCATCCATGTTGCCTTGGAGGCGCAGGAGCTGTGGAATGTCTGAGACCTGAGGGATACATCAAGGCATATCAAGGCATATCAAGGCATTGTCAAGGCATCCTGAGGGATACATCAAGGCATATCAAGGCATATCAAGGCATTGTCAAGGCATTGTCAAGGCATTGTTTCTCGCTGTGTTCAGCAGTTCTTGAGGCAGAGTCTACACTGAACGAAGACTTCTTAAGGAGATGCAGATATCATTTTTTTAATCATATTCGATCAAGAGCAAATCCGTCGTGAAACAATCGAAACATATCGAAACTAGCAGAAACAAATCGTTGTGCTATGCCTGCTATGCACTTCAGGAGCTTGCTGGCTTTGCTCTCCGGTGAGCTGCCACGATTGGATTCGCTCTCAGAGTTAAGCCACATTAGACAAAACGCTACCTGCATGGCCCCGGCAATTACGATCCTTTTGTCAGCAGTATGCTCATCTGACTCATGTAGTATTTCAATGTTTTTCAATGTTTTTCAATGTGTTCCCTTTCTTGATTATCTGTTGCCATATCGCCAAGTCTGTTGCCATTGACGCACAGCATCTCTCAGTCGCTGTGGCGAATCTCAAGGATGCTGAAGGAATCAGCAATGCCAACGAGCCGCCCTCAGCGCCACCTATGTCTACTGAGCCGGTCGATGCGGGTCATCAAGTGACCCATGGGTGGTGTTTTGCTTTGCAGACTGAGCGTCGTCTATCACCTCGCTGGAGATTTAAACTATTCAAAATCCATCATCACAGAGCTATGCAACTCCTTGCTTGACATGTTTTTGTCAAAGCGAATTTTTGTGGCAGCCGCGAAATGGTACGTCCTGAAGGCATGGTACGCCTATCTTTCGGACCGGCGGCAACGACTTCGAAGCTTTCTGGAAGGCGCTGCCCAGTCGCTGCCCAGTCGCTCAAACGGCGTAGCAAGATGCAAAGAGGCCACTCGCCAAGATTGTAGCTGCACATAGCTGCACTGTGCCAATCTGTGCCACACGGACAAAGAACACATCGGAAATCGATGGAAATCGCAATACCAACAGACCCAACAGACAATTCTGTGTCCAGGCCATCCGTCCAAGGCAGAGTTTCAGGATGCGCGTTGCTTAGATCTGTTCATTCAAGATTGGACATATTGGACCTTTTGTGACCACAAGATACCAGTCTGATACCAGTCTGATACCAGTTGACAAGATACCAGTGGTACTTGTACCAGTGGATACCACGGGTTTGTATTGAAACTGCACTGGCACTGGGTTTAAGCAACAGCGGCACAACCTGGGTGTCAGGTGCTTCCTGGCTCTGCTCTGCTGCTGGCTTCAGCGTTGGTTGGGATTGAGTTGCTCGGCTTCAGATTTTCCGATTTTCGGATCGAGTCCGTGGAGTTCAGGCGAGCGCGAGGACGCAGAAAAATCAGAAAACACGTCTGAAATGATCTGAAATGTGTTTAGAATGTGTTTTTGAATGAAGTTTTATATGTGTTTTATTCTAAAGATCCCAAACTTTGGAGTTTGTAGAGTGACGAAGATAATGCACATGCAAAACCATACAGTATCATATAGTACAATACACATATTGCACAGCCAGCACAAGAAAAAACATAGCGCAGTACATTGCAAAACAATTCAGCACAAGTACAAACGCAGCAAACGTTGGCAAACGCGATAACGAGGCAGTGCAATACTGCAATACCCTACAATTATGGCACATGACAAAACAGCACTGATCAATATATACTTATCAATGACTTATCAATTTGTAATTTCCGGAAATACCAGTGCTGTACCTAGGGACAGGCCTTGTCGAAACCTGCTGAGGTGGCTACGCTTTGCTTGTCGCGTGTTTTTGCTGCTCGTGCTGGCCTCAGACCGTCCCATTGTAGGGGCTGGGCTGTTCGCATTGCAAGATTCGCAAGTATCAATGATATATATGATATCAATGCGCCGGTGGACTTCCTTTGACTTTGGATCGATCCAAAGCATCTTTTAGAACATGTTGATACAATTTGATACATGTTGTCATATTTGAACCAGGTTTTCCCTTTGTGATGCTGGAACGTTTGTGAGGCCAAACATGCGAGCAGTAAAACCGGGTCCGAGAAACTACGCTCAGCGCTGCAGGCAGACAAAGTGACCAATGTAGAATGACTATACCGATGTTCTTTTACCTTTTTGCACTAGCAAATTACCAAAGAACTTGTCACATCTGTGATGTGCTGCTAAGGCTTTACCTCCTGCCAAACAGAGTGACGTGCCAGGGATCCCAAGGATTAAAAAAACGGACAACGCATGGACAACGCACATTGCAGCATTCTTTGAAACATCTTGAAACATCTTGTGCTTCAGTTGGCAGTGTGTCATGGGTCATGATGGTCATGATGGTCATGATGGTCACGTATAAGGCGCAATGGTTTTTTGGCCTTGCTACATCGGACTATCCATGGACTGGTAGATTTGCCAGAGAACGGTTGGTGGGAGGAGGCCCAGAATCTAAGACGTGCGATGAAGAACCTTAATACACCTGGGGGCACAGAAACAAGATATGCCTGAAACGTTTTGCGCAGGAAAAGCATAGAAACGAACGCTTGACAAGAGGAATCGTAGAAGGACTAGCAAAATAGATCAAAATTTAGGATATTTGATGATGTTTGGCGCTTGGCGATTTTTAAGCAGAAGCACCCTGGCGAATTCTGCAGGGGGACGAGGATGCGGATTCCACAACGCAGGTGAGATAAGACTGATTCCAACTGGTTCCAACTGGTTCCAACTGATTCCACAGAGTTCCATTGTTTCATTCAGAGATATTCAGAGATATTTCTGCTAGTTGCTGCTCAGCTGTTCCTTTCGCTTCGCCGTACGTTGTGGACAGAATTTGCCAGGTGGCTCAGGCGAGGTTGAAAACGAGCGCATCATGGCCATGACCAGGGCATAGCATGGCAAAGCATGGCATGAATAGAATGCATGGTATATCATGGTATCTTGGTATCCTCCCTCTTGGAGTCTCTGGCAAATCCATATCTTACATGTCTTCAGAATTTCTGTCTTCATATGTTGGATAGATGATTGTTATGTGAGAGGCAGAGGCCTTGTGGTCCGGCGGATTGCTGCTTCCCCAGTGCCACGCATCATTTACTGAGTGGCATAGAGAAGACTTCATAACAAATGACACCAATCACCTTTTTTCATCACCTGTTGTCATGTTGATTCTGTGCATTTGAGGCGCCTGGGTGCTGCCTTGGATTTCCAACCCTGGCGAAACTTCGCATCGGGCGAAAAGAAACCTCACATTTTGTCATTTTTTTCCGAGTTCAAGTCGTGTGTCCAGGTGTATTTCTATGACCGTGTGACCAGATGCTGAGCAAGTCACTGGATGATGCTCAGATGCTGGCAGATTGACAATCTCCAGTGGCGGCTCAAAAACTGAGCAACGGCTTTCCACATCTTTCAAACCTGGAGCAATCAGATCTTTCAGCCAGATCCTTTATGATTTTTATGTTTGCTCAATCAGTGGCTCTGTGACCTCACCTGGAAACGCCCATGTGTGTGCAAACAGATAGGTCATGATAGGTCCGATAGGTGATGATCATTGATGATGGGTGATTTCTTTTTCGATTTTCAAAAGATCGAATTCTTTCGATTTCGCTTTGTCGCTTTGCCATGGCGGGCTATGAGCCGGGAATCAAGGCGGCAACAGCATCAGCTGTTTTTAAGGTGCGCTGCAAAAGCACCAGACCCGGTGAAGCCGTGTTCGTGGTCGGCAGCCATGAGGCACTTGGTGCCTGGTCTACAGCCATGGCTTTGGCTTTGACCACCACGGCTGATACATTTCCCACCTGGCAATCCGCTCCGATTCCGTTGTTGGCAGGGATGATGGTGGAATACAAATTTATTATTCAACGGGAAGATCGTCAAGGAACTCCTCAATGGCAGAAGTTCGATGGCAACTACCGGGTCACACCTGTGGCTGGGCAGGTGCTTTGGCAGAAACTAAGAACCATTAAGAACCATTAAGAACCGATAGGAAGGGCATTTCGATATGTAATATACATCTTCATAGCAAAATCTTGAAATGCCAGTTTTTGAAGACCAGGCATCCGGATGTACAACAGGTCCATTTGCAACGTGTCCATGTCAGTTTTGTTTTACCTTTTGATATCCTTTTGATACTTTTCAATGACCTTTCCATGGTCTCCAATATGCTTTCCACGTTTTTCCACGTTCCTAATGTTCCTATGTCGCCAAGGTGCTGCAAGCTGTGTCAGACTGGGAAGTGGCCTCGGCGGAAATTTCCACCCTCGAAGTTCCAGAAGAGCCTCCAGTGGAGCAAGTGCCGAAGCCAACAAAGCCAACTGAAGCCGACAAAGCCATTGCCCAACAGGAGAATGAAGAAAGATTGCTGAAAATGGCCGAGTCGGGGGTGGAGAAAGCTGCTGCCGAGGTCATTGAGACCTGTCCCTTGGCAGTTACTTTGACAAAGCGAGAAATGAGCCGCCGAAATTTTTCGCAGAGCTTGCTCACATTGGATGTGGATGCTCCTGAACCTGAGAAAGCTGAGAAAGCTGAGAACGAAAAGGCTGAAAAGGCAGAAGAAACCAAAAAAGAAGAGAAGTTGGACAAAAAAGAAGGCGAAAAAACCGAAGGCACTCCACAAAGCACCACAGCAACAGAAGAAGTGAAGGAGGTCAACGAGTCCACTGCTGAAGATGCTGACGCCCAGGCAGAGCAGGCAGAGCAGGCAGAAGCGCAGGATGCTCCGGCCGAGGCCCCGGCTGATGTGGTGGTGACGCAGGCGCCCATGGATGACGAAGACGAGGCCGTGGAGTACGAAGTGCCATTGAAGGGTCTCGGAGCCCCAGCAGTTCGAGGAGTGCCCCTGAAGCACATTACGCTGCTCGCACGGAAGTTTCATGCATTTTCACGCATTTTCATGCGCGAAGTTTTGGGAGCAAATGTATCTGTAACATTCTGCAATAGAATCAAGTCAATCCCACAAGATCCCACAAGTCTTAGATGGTTGATGCCCGTCGTGTTGCGTTTGAGAGATAGCCAGTCACGGTAGTCAAAGCTTCGAGGACTATGTACTGTATTAGCAGATATTTCGTTTTCCAAGTTCCAAAGAACCAAGTGTCAACCGTTCTTTAGCACATCTACAGCCTCTCCATGGTTCTGGATGTCCTCTAGACTCTAGAGATTACACAGCTCCCGAAAGTGCTCTTGTTTCGCCAACCGGCTGTTCGGATGTTGTTCACACCCTGAACAAAATGAACAAAGGTACTTCATGGATCTTCATGGTGTGTCTCCATTGCTAAGGAGCTTCTCAGCACTGGCTGATGTGGCGGATGCCCAGACCAAAGTAGAACATCGAAGGAGGGAGAAGGAAAAGGCGCAATCGCGGTACCAACCCTACAATCTCGACGTGCCCGTGGTCATCGTCACCAGTGAAGTGGCCCCCTACTCCAAGACCGCACAGCTTGTGACATCTTGTGTCTTGTGAGCAAACCACAGCTTCACTGGTCACTAGAGTTACTAGAGCGTGTCCTTCAAGATTTCCTTCAGAGTCTCGCCAATAACGAAGAACATCAGGAAACACTTACCATACATAATACACACTATATATATATATATTATTTATGATGATTACGTAAGTGTTCGAATCACATGTTCTTTCTAGCTGATTTGCAACGCACTGACGTGGTCCTTGCAGGACAGGAGGGCTTGGGATGGTCGCAGCATCGTATGGCTTTGAGTTCGCGAGGAGACGCTTTTGATCTGTGGCTGTTTGCCTCAAGGACTACAATCTTGGAAACCAGCTAGACTAGTAACATCTAGTAACATCTAGTAACATCTAGTAACATCTAGTAACATCTAGTAACTAGACATCCTGGTCTGCCAAAATTGCCAAAACACGTCTCCTGAACGTGCCCTCTCGAATTAACCAAGAGCATGTCAGAAGTCAAAAGGGTCGAGGCCATTGCGAATTGGCATTTCCGGTTGGGGCTTGATGTATCTTGTCACTTGAGTCTTGATGAGAAAACCATGGGTATTCTTTGGAAAGCGTCCTTTTTTGGCACAGGAACGGCCATCGGACCATGGTGGTAGCTCCAAAGTACAAACATTACGATGGGATCAGCTACTGTGGTGAGACGCGCGTTCGGATCAAAGACCAAGAGGACAGATCAACAGATCAACAGATTGAAGTAGATCTCAGTAGTTTGTTGCTGTTCAACAGCCACTGCGGTCTCGTTGCTGTGGTTGAAACAAACAGAAACGAGTTGCCAGGAAAATGTCAAGTACTGGCATCTTCGAAAGGATTGTGGAGAGGCACTGCATGGCGCCTATCATTTTGATTGATAATTTCTAGTGATTCGAGTGACAGTTTCTCTTAAGATCAATGTCTTGCCTTGAGCTTAAGTGTCTTAAGTCCCTGACGCAAGGGGAAGGGAACCGACTTCCTGTTCATCGAGGGTCGTGGTATTCAAAGAGATGGTGGCTTGTACAATGATGACGATGGTCGTGAATATCCGGACCGAATTGCAGCTGCCTTGTTTGAGTGCTTTTCTTGGTGGTTTTTGGGAACCTCGAAGATACACAGATTCGTAGTTCCACCTCTCAATTAGAAAGGCCGATTCCAAATGTACGGAGTCTTCTGAAAACCAACCCAGATACTTGTTGCATCTATGTCTTGTAGTTTTCCACGCTGCAACTTGCGACATCTTGGAGGATTAATTGTGGCCAGGTGCAGATACTGTAAAGACATGGAGACACCAGAGGTGTTCAAGTCGCGCTGAGAATTGGCAGGACAACTTGGAGCGGTTCACCATGCTGTGCTTAGCGGCGATGGAGGTCTGACTGCCTCCCGCTTTTGTTTTCCAATACATTGCGCTACACATCGCAAGTCGGAGATCATCGGAGATCTTGAATCTTTGCAGGCGCCCCTGATCCTGGACATCAATGGTGAGGCAGGATTCTGTGTACAGATTGCAAAGACAGGATGCAGCTTTGGCTGAGGAAAGGTTTCAATGCCACAGCATGGTGATTGCTTCAAAAGCTGACCATTGTCCTTGGGGAAAATCGGGGAACGCCTACATGCCAAGAAGAAACTCAGTCTCCTAAAGAGACGTTGGGGCGCAAGTAGTTTCGCCCGAAGACATTGCGCCAAGGTTTTCTAACCAGTCCTTGGAAGCTCCCAATGCCAACCATGCTAACTGCCAACATGATTAAACCATATTTAACCTATTTGTAGTCAATTTCAACGCCTTAGTTTCACTTCATTTATTGGTTTCAAATTTGAACCTCACTGGTGAGGGGAAGTACGGCGACAAGGCGTGCTGAGAATTGAGTTTTGCTTCAAAATCTTTCAGCTGGTTTACGTGATTTCATGTTTTGCCACTGGGCTCCCACTGAAAAAAACCTTTGGAATCCCTTGGATTTTCCACCGAAACCCACCAGGTGATCTTTTTGGCAAACGACTGGCAAGCGGGTCTGGTCCGCCCCTCAAGTTGGATCATGATCTTTGCTTTTGGCATGGGGGATGGGGATGGAACATGATGGAACATGATGGAACGCATGGGAATGGCCCAGGTCCCAGTCTACATGTGCTACAAGTACCGCAGACACAACTGCTACACCCAGGAAGGGTTGACATGGCTTGACGTCGAGTTATTGACATGTCCAGATGGAGAGAACACATGGAGACGTCATGGAGAGCTCATGGACGTCTTGAAAACACGACAGGCTCGCGCCATCTACGTGATCCACAATCTGGGATACCAGGGCCAGTGGAGGACTTGGAGTTCGACTTGATTTGATTCTGATTGGACATCGATCGTACTGCAGAGATGAGACACTCCGAGGTATCACGGCCATGACGCTTGCCGATTCTTCGGCATTGATAGCAAGGCACAATTTGTTCATTATTGTTCATTATAATTTATAATCAATATATTATAATAATTTATAATATCTTAGGATCATTCCAAACAAGAATTTCAACATGTTTAAGCAGAGATTTTTTCCAGACATTTCGCACCCATTCCAAACGTCGCCTTCGTTTTCGTTGGTTTTGTGAGTCATTTGAGTCTTGTAGATCTTGTAGGCGGCACACGACCTGGTACTGGGGAACTGCATCAACCTCTCCAAGGGAGCTTTGATTTGCACTGGCCTCAGAGCTCCTGACAGGTGGCCCCGTGAGGCCCCGTGAGGCTGTGCATCGGCATCGTCCTGTGCTGCGTTTGAGGTGTTGCGTAGACCCCATGGGCTGAACGGTGCAGACTCCATTTCAACCAAGGTGCAGACCGAGTGCTGACGGTGTCACCAAACTATTCCAAGGAGATCCAGACAGCCTCAGGTGGTTTCAATCTTCAGGACAGTCACTTTGTGCAGCCACTAAAATTTCTACGTCTCAAACCCAGCGCCAGTTAGTTACAGAATGATGTTTTTACTTTTCCTTGCAACTAACTATTCCTGAATTCAAAATTCAATCCTGCTTAAGATGCTTGAGATGCTTGAGCCCACAGGGGTGCCACAGGAGCCCATAGATTCTTCGATTTTGTGGTTCACGGTAGGACTTTGTTTCCGCCAAAGCTGCCTCCCTGCGGCTGGCGGGAATCCTCAACGGAATCGATGACTGCCGGAATCCTCAGACTCCTCAGACTCGGAATCTGGGGAGGCAGACATGCCATGGACCCAACCAGAAACAAACCATGGAACAAACCATGGAAATGCGGACCGGTTTGGGTGTCCAAGGTTGGGATCCTGCTGTGGATCCAGATGTTGTGGGAGCCTCGGGGTTCGAACCTGCTGACCGCGTTCTTACTGTTCTGAATGAAACTTGTTGGATTGTAGGATTCTATGTAGGATTCTAGGATGCCCAAGGTTAAGATGGTTTCCAGGCGCTTTCAGCACTAAATCCTTTCCTGTGCAATGCAGTTTGTGAACTTCTCGGTCGAAGACTTCGAGAAGGGCAAAATGGAGAACAAGGTGGGCGCCATTGCGTCATATTTTTTTCAGAGTTTCCCAGAACTTTCTTGTTCATTTGGTGAATTCTGTGAAATTCCATTACCGCACGATGCCACACTCGCTTTTATATGCTTTTATCATTTTATAATCCAGTTGTTGTGTCAAGAGGCCGCCCTGCAGAAGATGCTTGGTCTGGACGTAAACCCCGACGTCGGGCGCCCGAGTGATATCCAAAGATCAATAAGATCCCAAACGACAAGTCATGACAAGTCATGACAAGACATGACAAGACACACTACAATGTTTCAAGTTTCATGACAAGCCAATCTTGGCCATAGGCCTATGTAGCCTATGGGGAGGTTTTCCAGTGTCTCCAATCACCTCCAATCCGAAGATTGAACCAGCTGCTGAGTTGTGCCTCATTGGTTTTGTTGGTCGATTGACTTGGCATGGCGCTAAGATGGGCGACTGACAGATGCATGGGATCCATGAGAGATGCATCAACAAATATGGACAAGCTGACTAGCTTTAGTTTTTTTGTTTGGAACATGTTTGGAACATGTTTGGAACATGTTTAGAACATGCATTCTCGGACTTGCAGGCAGAAGGGCATTGATGTCCTGGCTTCTGTCATCTCATGGCTTATGCAGGAGCTGATGTGATTTGGTCCCATAGCTGCCATAGTTCTGCCATAGTTCTGCCATGGCTCATGATCATCATGGCTTGATAAGCCTGGAAGGACACTGGAAATGGCGTCACTGGTCAAGTGCAGCTCATCATGATGGGTCTGATTCCAAGTGATTTTCATTTGCATTGTTCGCATGGATCGCACGACAGAAGTTGAGAGTTTCCGCAGCTGAGACGGGACTTTGGGACATGGACATGGATGGACATGGATGGACATGGGTCATACATGGCCATACGGGGCCATATCGGCCATACGGATCGATGTGTCGATGTGAGGAAATGGAGAAAGGCAGTACTCTGCTTGCGCCTCAGCTGTTCCTGGTGGTTCCACCCTGACCATCTTTCAACGCCGCTTTCAGGACACCTTGCGATGGGCAGAGAGCAACTACAAAGGTCGTGTTTGTGGATACGTAGGCAGGTCACACCCAGCCCACCATGGTCCAGTATGGCCCAGTATGGCCCAGTATGGCCCAGTATGGCCCAGTGGTACAACGTCAGACCCACGTTTGTACATTGGACACACCTGGGGTCCATTGAAGTCCGACTTCGATACGCGGCCGTGTCTTGCTGGCTTGTGACATCTTGTGATATCTTGTGCCTGCTAGGCTTTGATCCAAAAGTTGAGTCGCTGGCCCAGTTACACCGAATAGCGTTGCTTCGCAAATGTGAAAAACATTCAAAGCACGACATGAAATAAAACATGATCTATATGAACATGTATGAGACAACTCTGAAAAAAACACCTTTACATGTCTGACATGTCCTGATCAGAGCAAGCATATTGTCTGAGTGCCATTTCGGTGCTTCGGAATGTGGGGAATGTGGGGAATGTGGGGAATGTGGGGAATGTGGTGGCGCCGGCATCTCAGCGGAGGCACCAAATGATGGCTGCCTGTGACTTGCTGCTCATGCCATCTCGCTACGAGCCATGTGGCCTTCCACAGATGTACTCACAGATGTTTGGCACTCAGCTCTCCATCGGACTCCATCGGACTCTATCGGACTCTATCGGACTCCATCGGACTCCATCGGACTCTAGCGCCTTTGGTGCTTTCTGGATGTTTCAGGTACGGAACGTTGCCCGTGGTTCATGCTACCGGTGGATTGGTGGACTCCGTGAAGGACAGAAACTCATGAAACTCATGAAGATCTGGAAGATTTGGAGGCGGATTTTGATCGTCGAAGGACATTAAGATCATTAAGATTCATTTTTGCTCATGAAAATTTCGATGAATTTTGCACCAAAACAAAACGTCTTGGATCGTCTTGGCGAAGTGGCCAGGACGTCTCCATTGGTGTGGAGACCGCCACAGGCTTTCTGGTCCCTTGGCCTTAACACTCATGGATAGCTTGGATAGCTTGGATAGCGACAGAGCGGTAGATTCAGCAGTGTCCACGAGTCCACTGGACTCGAGGTTAGTCCGCTGAGCTCTGACAAGCTGAAGGAGCAAAACATGCAAAAAGCATCAAAAAGCACAAACACAGTCGGTGCACAGTCCGTACAAAGTCTAAGATATGCCCAGATCACACATTTTTCTCTCAAACAGTTCAGCGATATATGATGCAATATGGAAACATATCTTTCAGACAACCAGTAAAGCCACCTAATTTTCAGCTGTCTCTGCTCTTGAGGAGACCCTGTTCCGAGCGGTGGAGTTAAACATCAAGCGCAAACAAGACTTCCTTCGGATGCAACGCACTGCGATGCCTGAAGCTCAAGAACTCAAAGAACTCAAAAGATGCGCGATGATGCGCTATTTGGAGCCAAAACGACTTGAAACAGCATTGAAACAGCTTGCAGTAAACTTGTTGCAATGATGTGGATTGACTTGCCATGACTTGCCATTTCCGTCAGCAAGTACAAGGCAACATGACTACTACTGGCCAAAGGCCATGGACGAGTACGAGCTGAGCTCAGTTGACGCAGTGACTATGAGAACAGCTGACATAGCTATAGAGCATGGTACAGCATAGCTACACCATAGCTGCAAAATGAAGGGCTCCGCGCCTGTATCGTTTCCTAATGTAAGCCATCAAAAGCCATGCTGGTCATGCCAACCGAGGAACGTCAAATTGACATTGTTTTGTACGAACCTGCAACGGTCCGATAGGCTGGGTTTAGCCGAGTTTGGCACGGGTCGAGTGAGCACAAGTTTATTAATTGATGTTTATTGATGTTTCAGATCTACATTTCAGATCTACAGCATTCCCCAGGAGTCCGCTTAAGCGCTTAACTCCATCCTTTTGCATCGACACTGAGCTTTCAGTGCAATCAACGATCTGCCACTGATGCGGTGTTTGATTTGTACAAAGTGCCAGCACCGCAACCTGCGGATGCCATCAGGCTCTACAGCTCCATTGTACAGTACAGAGCTCTTGCGCTAGTGACGCTAGTGAACAACTAGAATGTAACTAGAATGGCAGTCTGAAGTAGACCAGTCTGTCTTGCATGTGCCATGTTGCACCAGCAACAAATATGGACTATTGTTTCTTCAGTCGTTTTCCAACTGCTTTCGGTGGACGGTGACAAAGGTCTGACAGCAACTTGCAACTTGCAAAACTTGCGCACTGCGCACAGAATGCACTGAGCAAAGCTGAGCAAAGCGTCAGCACTGGCAGGTGTCGTAAGGTGTCGTAAGGTGTCCAATGGTGTCCCCGTTGTCGATGGATCGATTGGATTCGGGCTCAAGGTGCCCAAAAAACATGGGGATCACTAAGGCAGACATGGTCCAGACCTCGACAAAATTGCGTTACCGTTGCCGTGATTTTCCAGCTCCTAGGTCCCTCTGTGCTTCTCCTTTGCTGCATTTTTGATATTGTTTGTTGAGGCCCGCAGGCGCGCATGGCCGATTGGAGTTGGAACCATAGTATTTACATGTATTTACCATAGTATTTCATGTTGATGAGTGTTGGATTTTCGTTTGTTCATGCGCTTGTTCTAAGTGATTTGAAGATTGGGAGTCATCAACTTTGAACCTAAGGTCATTGGTGCCTTGGCCGTTCTTGCATCTCGGGTCCTGCATGGCCTGTTTACAACGCGTGGCAAGCATGTTACAAGCATGCTGCAGGCATGTTGGTCCTTGCCGTTTGAATGACCAGAAAGAATGTAAAAAAAGAACATGGAGCAATAACGAGACGGATATTTAGGATGGCACTGAATGCAACTCAAGCAATTCACGCGTATCTTTCTCAAAAAACTCCGGACATTGTCGTCACATGTCGTCACATGTCGTCACATGTCACATGTCGTCACCATTGACATCGTTTGGCACTTGGCCCAAGTGGCCAGGACACCGGTTTCATCGCTGCTCCATTTATTGCGGCCCACCGGCTGTCAGCTACGATTCCGGTGCGGGCTGCCTCAATTGCCCTCAATGTTCAACGTCTTTCACAGTGACATTGAGACAACATCAATCCATATCACATATTTTCCCACGTTTGTTTGCACACACTGTACTTTACTTTAGATATTGTTGTGATTTATACATATATAATATACATGCATAATTAAATAAATATATATATAATTATATATTATATTATATTTATATCATCCATCAAGTGTCAACCCAGTCTACCATCCTGGATACTGGGCCAGGTGCTGCTGGGAGCGCTTCCTGCCAGTGCCGAAACTGCAGATGGAGGACTTGGGCCGATTCCCCAGCGCAGCGCAGCGCAGCGTTCACAGAGTTCCAGCTCCAGCGATACGCCTGTTGCTGAGGTGGCAAGCCATCATGTCAACACCTGAGAGCTGATATAATTACTGAGATATGCTGAGATCAACTGATCAGAGTTCTGGTGGGTGGTGAAAAAAGGTGGTTCTTGATGTGGTTCTTTGCATCAGAGTTCTGCCGTTCCTCTCAGGATGGCTCCGGTGATTAGCCTCTTTGCCATCGTTGGAGTTGCAATGGTGCCTTGCAAGCAGCAAACTTCACACTGCGACTGCGACCATCCCCGACACTGGGATGACAAGTCGTCAGATCACCCGGTGCCACAGTGGATGTCAGGTTGGTGGATTTGTTCTGGGCATTTTTGTGCCACCAGGAGAAGGCCAAGAGAGAACTTCTTTATAGCATACTTGTCAAAGTCTAAGCATGCGCTTTAACTGTATCTCGCTTTAACTGTATCTCCAAGTCTAGTACAAACATGTACAAACATGTACTCGTACAAGCTAATACGCTGAACAGTCTTCAGCACTGCTCCATTGCATCTTGTGGCAGGTGATTATGGCAATATGGAGACAACTTTGGCAGAGCGGGAGGTGCAGCTGCTCCAAAAAAAGCTGATTGTCCGAGACCAGGGGAACATTGGATTGGCCAACTTGATTGTTTGGATTGCATTGGATTGAATCCTGATTGTATTAGATTATTAGATATCATTAGATGTCATTAGATATTGATATTAATAGATTCTATTGCAGATCGGGATTTCCTGAACTATCTGAACTTTGTATTGGACAGGCACGCGAACGTGGCTGGCGACGAGACGTACTGCGTGGCTACGATGAAGAAACCTACGCAGCCGGGCACATAGAGCAGCAAATGGCCATGTGCTTCTTTTGGCAATGCAATCAACAGTAAACAAACAGTAAACAAACAGTAAACAAACAGCAACAAATTAGGCCTTCGACTTCAACAAATTTGTGAATCTCAGTCAAGTCTTGAGGCTATGCGTGGACAGGATAAAGACTGGGCGAAGGTGCGCCCTGGTACAACCTGGACGGCCTGGACGTGCACATGTTTCTCTGTGCGTCATATCTTGTCATATCTTGTCACACCAGATCCAACTTGATCCAACTTGATCCAACCATATTCAAAACATTCCCATGCCAAAACGACATTGGAGTTTTTTCCCGAATGATGCTGTGTCGTGCTTCCTACTTCGAATCCATGTTTTGGGACTCAACGTTTTGTCAAAGCCTCTGTGAACTTGCTTTTGTTGCAGTCTGAAACGTGGACATCGATTGTGAAGCAATCCATGCTTTATTTTGCTGGTCCATGGTGTCAAAGAAACAGCTCCATGGTGTTTCCACAGTGGATCCATCCTCTGGCGTGTTTGACCCTGGTGACAGTGACGGTGAGAGGTCGAGTATCCCTTCCGAAAGCTAAAGCCGCGGCCGAATCCCGCAGAGATGCCGAAGCTCCCAGGAGCACCGAGCGGGGCGCCAGGAGCACCGCCTGGGGCACCGGGCGCACCGCCTGGGGCACCCGGGGCCCCTCCCGGCGCCCCTCCGGGTGCCCCGCCGGGTGCACCACCTTGAGATAGCTTCGTGACACAGCTGTTGGATCCGCAGATATCCGCAGATCACAAGCCCCATTCATGTGGGCAGAAGCCCCGGAGGACTCCGGAAAGCTAAAACAGAGGTGACACCTCTGACTTTGGACATCAAAATATATCAAAATATTTTCTACAGCTTACCGCCTACCAGCTTAGCATTGCACATTTTCGGCGCTACCCTAACGCCAGCGAAGAGAAATTCGATGAGCAGACGTCTCCAGCTTGCCATTTTTGCCTGCGCGAAGATGTATCGCAAAGGTGCCAAAAGGAGTGAGGCAGACCACACCAAACGAAGGTCACACAGTGCGTTCAGCACCGAACATTATCCCAAGGCCCAAGGAAGGCAAGACCAAAAATAGAGACAAGATGCTTTAATTTGCGATGGTTGATGCAGGCCATATTCCAACCAGGGTGAGCTTGTATCTTTTCCCAGATATTTTTCAGAGGCAATCATTATCATTTTGGTTTGTGTCTTTTGGGGGAGCAGAAAGTGTGCAAAGGAATGCGAAGGATATCTAGGGTGAACCAGGCTGAGCCCGAATTTGGATCAACTGGTTGCAATCACAAAGAAATGGATTGCATGCCCGCCAGTGGCTCATAGCAATTCAACTCGGAGGATTCCACTCGTGATTTCCCCGAGTCGCTCAGACTGAACACAGCGTCATATCAATCAATCCATCAATAAGAGTTTCCAAAGCTGTGATCTGCAGGAGGTGCGATCAGTACCATCAGGATTTTCTAACAGCTGCAAAGCTGTTCCAGATGTCACCGCGATTGTTTTGCAAATCCTTTCAGAAAAGCTTTGAAACTGAGGACCATGGGCAGTGCACTTGCTACGGATACAATTCCGGTGCTCGTCACCATGGTAGGAAGCCTCAGTTGAATTTCACAAATGCATGGTGGGGAGTCATAGAACGCATCATTGGACCACTTCAGGTGGACGTACACAATGCGAAGGCGCAGGAGACACATCACTTCAACGGATCCGTCTTCCACATTCTTTACCATCCAAGTCGATACATCCAGCCCTAACCACCAGATACTGGTAAGTATGTTAAGACTGTTAATAAATATCAAGTATGTGATTGTGCCCAGTCTAACAAGACTCTGTCGACATGTCAAAAACGTTAATTTCAAAATACACCGGCAAGAGACCCCAAACAGTGTGGGGGGTAGGAAGTCAGTGTGCCAGATACAAGCAACAGTAGCTATGGAACAGTAACAGATCAGGGTAGACGTCATCGTAACTGCAGCAGCAGGAACTTGTTTTGGCACAAGAAGCAGCGCTATGTCTAGGACCTTGTACCAGAACCTCATACCAGGACATCTAAGAGAATTTCAAAAGATCGTCAAACAAGGACCTTCTATACAGCGTATCTTACAAGATCTTCATACAAGAACTTCCTATGACAACTGCAAGGACCTCTTGAGGATGATTTCAACAGGATCTCCACAAGATCTCCTCACAAGGACCTGTACAAGATCATGCAAGGGCACCTAGAGGATTTCACCCCGTCTTCAAGATGCTAAGGCCTCTGACAGCATTTGACTGGGATCTCCGCCAGATCTTCTTACAAGGACCTGTGCAAGGTCATGCGCTGCAAGGACCTCTTAGAGGATTTCACCAGGATCAATCCCTACAAGATCTGCTCACAAGGCAAAGGCCTTGACCAAGACCTTCGCGCCAGGATTCCCTAAGAGAATCTCACAAGATCGTCATAAAAGGACCTGCTGCTGGAGAGGATCTTGCAAGATCTTGATACAAGAACCTTCCAAGAGCCTCCCACAAGGGATTTCGTGCAGGCAGTTCCAATAGATGGCATCTGGAAGATCTTCATGCAAGGACCTCTTTGGAGGATTTCACCAGGATTTCCATAGGGTCTTCTCATAAGGACCTGTACAAGATTGCGCAAGGACCTGTTACAGGATTTCATCAGGATCTGCACAGCATCTTCTCGCATGACTTGAACAAGACCTTGATCTAGAGTCTAGAGTCTAGATCTTCACAAATCACGGGCCTCCAAGGCTGCCATGAAACCCTTGCAAGATCATCATAGAAGAGCCTTCCAGACACCTCTGCACAAGACCTCTTTACCAGGATCTAAGAGAATCAGCGCCGCAGCAAGAGTGATGAGGCGAGGGGGTTGCGCGAGCCATGTCAAAATTCGCACCGCGCCACAGCGAGAGCGATCTGACATGCGCAAAGTCACGAGAAGGTTGCGCGAGCACATGTTCGATTTTAACAAAATAATTGCGCACCACGAAAAATGAGCATGGAAAATGTCAAAAACAACTTTTTGCCAGCCGTTGTTTCGGGCACCTTTTCCTGAGGTCTACAAAGTATTGCGCCTGCCAAAAAATGAGCTCGAGGCATCCGAAGTGCTGCGCCTGCCACACGGAATCATCATCATGTCCAAGATCAAAAATAAAGACTGTTTCATAATACGAGACTTTCGGCCCTTTGACAACGTCGTCCAAGTTCACCACACACTGCACCTGCCACTAAAAATGATCTCCACAAGCGCCTCTCATTTTGACCCACGCCTGCCAACCATTTTGCAATGTGCAGAAAGTGCCGCGCCTGCAGTGCGGATGAAAAAGTGTCTGGTGACACCTGGCACGCAAAACGATGTTCAAAATGCCCCGGATGTCCCACGCCTGCCACAGGAAATGGACATAACTGCGGCTCAAAAGACCACGGCGCGCTAGTAAACCGACAGCTTTCAAAGTGCCAAAAACGCGGCGCTTATCTTGTGAGAGCCTACGCTGTCGACATGCACATGGACATCTCGCAAGGGAACTTCAGTGAAATAGAGAGCGTACCCTGATCTAACCCCGGCCTTTAACACCTACCGTAAGAACGGCTCAGGGACTTGCTGTTGGGGGAAAAAGGTCGGAATTCACCAGTATTCGAGGCTTTAGCCTTGGGGTCTCCAAATTTGGGGGAAAACTTTCCCAGGATCTCAAATATATATGAAAATGAGCATATATCTTAAAGGATCTAAAGCCAAGCACATGCGTCGTACAGGACCCAAAAGATCTTGAGCATCGAAATTCACAATTCGTGCGCCCATAGGCAGCATAGGCAGCATAGGCAGCATAGTCAGCATAGGCAGCATAGCATCCCTTTCCCATCCAATGTGGCATCGGAAGCGGAGGACATGTTCTACTTCTGCAATGTTGGCAGTGGAGGTGCTGCGACAAAGGTCATTGGTCGTTCTCAAACTCTTTCCGTGGAAGTTGGTATAACTACAGCCAGATCCTGAGCGAGTTTCCTGACGGAGTGGACAAATCTCAAAACTAGTTTGAACATTGATTTCTCTCGGAATCTTTCACATTCCAGTTGTTCTGCAGTCCTGACACAGTTGCCCATTTCGTTTCGGGCGCTGTGAGGTCCTGACAATGATTGTGTATGAGTGTCCAGAGCCGGTCTAGACCTTGGCGAAGACCAGCGGTTTGGGCCGCTTGACTTGTCTTAGGGTTAGCAGGTTAGCCGCCGGCTCTCAGGTCTTTACGCCCGAAACTGCGCGCTGCCTCGGAGCTGAGACCTCAATGACACCAGAGTTGCCCCAGAGACAAAGGGTGCCACAAAGCCGACGCCAGATGGCAGAGCCCAGCAGAGCCCAGCGCCCCATGAGGTGCTCCGCATCCCAATGGAACGACTGGCAGAGCGATACAGCTCAGGCAGCCGGATTCAGAATCTGGAACCGTATAGACTTTCGTATGGAATGTGTCTGGAGTATGTTGGAGTATGGATGTCTAAGTTCAAAGGCGTGTTGTCTTCACATTGATATGGTGCAAGACTGGGTGGACTGCATTTGCGTCAGGCATTTTCCAGCAGTGGTTCAACTTAGATACCAAGTATTGCACTCAGATCAATTAGGCAAAATTGAAGCCTGTTCCCTGATTGGCTACCCATGTGTTGTACTCTGTGAAACAGAAGAGCCTGTGACATGAACAAGTCCTCACTTTTGGTCAGTCCTCAATGAAACTAAGGATGGACCCGCGAATGCCTGCTGGCGATTTGCAATCCTTGGTCACAAAGTTTGAGCAGGCAGCGCTTGAGCGGATTGAGCAGCTTCAGCCAGTTCTCCCACTTCCCAGTTTGATCAGTTTGGACTTCCGCGCCATGGCTTAGCTAATGGCTTGTGGGACCGTTTCTTACCGTTTCTTCTTTCCTGTGAAAGATGCAGGCATATGTGGACTCCGTGAACGACATCTACCAGCAATCCCATCGATCTTTGCTGACAGTTACTAACAGTTGCCAGTTACTAGTCATTTGTCTTGAAGAAAGCCAGAGAAGAAGCAAGAGCTACCGGATGCTAATAGCAGTGCCAGCACTGCTAGCAGTGCCTTCCCTCCTTTGACTAGTGGGCCAAGTGCGGAAAGACAATGCAACCGGCCTTCCTCACTAGCTTCCTTGCCAGGCCGAAGATTTGTCTCTCCGTGATTGGCTCCTCCTTTGAGGCACTAGCCAGCTAGATTCCTTCATGTTCATTTTTTGATCGTCAGTCACAGTTCACTCAGTTTATGCCAGTAGCACCGCACAAGGCAGTGATGGAAGTTTCAAAGATAGGAAACCAAACCTATAGGAGAGGTGAGTTGTTACGATGTATGGATGGCAGAGTGAACCCACTAATGGGCCGAAAGGTGGTTGGAGCTGTGCTTTTTGGAGTGGTTGCGGTGGTCACCGGATGCACACCTGCTGGATGTAGTTGTAGTTGTAGGTGTAGTGTAGTGTACTGTAGTGCAGCGCAGCGCAATGCAGTGCAGTGTAGCGTAAGTGTAGGTGTAGTTGTAGTTGAAGTGTAATGTAAAAAGTGTGGTGTAATAAGTGTAGTGGCATTAGTGTAGTGTAATTGGTGTAGTGTAACAAATGTAGTGTAGATTAGTGTAGTGTAGTGTAGTTGTGGCTAAAGCTGTAGCTATGGTTGTAGTTGTGGTGTAGTTGTCGTTGTAGGTGGAATTTGAAGCAGCCTTTCAACCACCTTGGGAGAAGATTGGAGGTGTTTCCACCTAGAAATCTGCGAGAAATGGGGATGCGAGCGTCACTTGCATTGCCCTGCAAGCTACGCGTGTGTTGGTGGTGGTGGTGGTGGTGGTGGTGCTGGTGGTGGTGGTGGTGTTGGGTGTTGGGTGTTGGGTGTTGGGTGTTGGGTGTTGGGTGTTGGGTGTTGGGTGTTGGGTGTTGGTTGTTGGTTGTTGGTTGTTGGTTGTTGGTTGTTGGTTGTTGTTGGTTGGTTGGTTGGTTGGTTGGTTGGTTGGTTGGTTGGTTGTTTGGTTGTTTGGTTGTTTGGTTGTTTGGTTGTTTGGTTGTTTGGTTGTTTGGTTGTTTGGTTGTGTGGTTGTTTAGTTGTTTGGTTGTTTGGTTGTTTGGTTGTTTGGTTGTTTGGTTGTGTGGTTGTGTGGTTGTGTGGTTGTGTGGTTGTGTTGTTGTGGTCGTGGTCGTGGTCGTGGTCGTTGTTGTTGTTGTTGGTGGTGGTGGTGGTGGTGTTGCTGTTGGTTGTTGTTTGTTGTTGTTTGTTGTTTTTTGTTGATTGCTGTTTGTTGTTGTTTGTTGTTTTTTGTTGATTGCTGATTGTTGTTGTTTGTTGTTGTTTGTTGTTGTTTGTTGTCTTTTTGTTGTTGTTTGTTGTTTGTTGTTGTTGTTTGTTGTTGTTTGTTGTGTGTTGTTTCTTGTTGTTTGTTGTTGTTTGTTGTTGTTTGTTGTTGTTGGTTGTTGTTGGTTGTTGTTTGTTGTTGTTGGTTGTTGTTGGTTGTTGTTTGTTGTTGTTTGTTGTTGTTTGTTGTTGTTGATTGTTCTGGGTTGTTGTTTTGTTGTTGTTTGTTGTTGTTTGTTGTTGTTTGTTGTTGTTTGTTGTTGTGGGTTGTTGTGGGTTGTTGTTTGTTGTTTTTGGTTGTTGTTTGTTGTTTGTTGTTGTTGTTGTTGATGTTGGTTGTTTTTGTTGTTTTTGTTGTTTTTGTTGTTGTTGTTGGTTGTTGGTTGTTGGTTGTTGGTTGTTGGTTGTTGGTTGTTGGTTGTTGTTGGTTGTTGATTGTTGCTTGTTGTTGTTTGTGGTTGTTTGTTGTTGTTTGTTGTTGTTGATTGTTCTGGGTTGTTGTTTTGTTGTTGTTTGTTGTTGTTTGCTGTTGTTTGTTGTTGTTTGTTGTTTGTTGTTTTGTTGTTGTTGTTTGTTGTTGTTTGTTGTTGTTTGTTGTTGTTGCTTGTTGTTCTTGTTCTTGTTCTTGTTCTTGTTCTTGTTTTTGGTGGTGGTTTGTTTGTTTGTTTGTTTGTTGCTTGTTGTTGCTTGTTGTTGCTTGTTTGTTTGTTTCTTTGTTTGTTTCTTTGTTTGTTTCTTTGTTTGTTTGTTTGTTTTGTTTGTTTGTTTGTTTGTTTGTTTTTTTTTTCTGTTTGTTTTTGGTTGGTTTGTTTGTTTGTCTTTGGTTTGTTTGTTTGGTTGGTTTGTTTGTTTGTTTTTGTTGTTGTGGGTTGTTGGTTGTTGGTTGTTGTTGTTGTTGTTGTTGCTGTTGTTGTTTGTTTGTTTGTTTGTTCGTTTGTTTGTTTTTGTTGTTGTGGGTTGTTGGTTGTTGGTTGTTGGTTGTTGTTGTTGCTGTTGTTGTTTGTTTGTTTCTTTGTTTCTTTGTTTGTTTCTTTGTTTGTTTCTTTGTTTGTTTGTTTGTTTTGTTTGTTTGTTTGTGTGTTTGTTTGTTTGTTTGTTTGTTTTTTTTTGTCTGTTTGTTTTTGGTTGGTTTGTTTGTTTTTGTCTTTGGTTTGTTTGTTTGGTTGGTTTGTTTGTTTGTTTGTTTTTTTGTTGTGGTGGGTGTAGTTGTAGTTGCAGTTGTAGTATCAGTGCTAGTGCTAGTGGTAGTGTTCGTGTTCACTTTTTCGACATTTGAACGTCCAAACGTGGTCCGAGACCGTCAGTTTTGAACACTTTTGAATGTGCAGCGTGCATTTTTGGAACATTCCAACTGACAAAAGTGCTCCCAACCCGGAGTGCTTTTAACATTTTCGCTTCGGCATGTGCTTCACGCCACAATGGCATGCAATTTTTCATATCTCACCTGGCCAGATGGCTCCGCACCCACCGCTTTAGCGAGCCTACTTTTCGACCCTCCGGAGCCACAAACCATTGGAAAAACACAGTGTTTCCTGTCTTTACCTTTTCGGGCACCTGCATCTTCCCTTCTCCTCTCCTCTTGTCTCTTCTCTCCTCTTGTCTCTTCTCTTCTCTTGTCTCTTCTCTTCTCTTGTCTCTTCTCTTCTCTTGTCTCTTCTCTTCTCTTGTCTCTTCTCTTCTCTTCTCTTGTCTCTTCTCTTCTCTTGTCTCTTCTCTCTTCTCTCTTCTCTCTTCTCTGCTCTTCTCTTCTCTCCTCTCTTCTCTCTTCTCTCTCCTCTCTTCTCTCTTCTCTCTTCTCGCTTCTCTATTCTCTCTTCTCTCTTCTCTCTTCTCTCTTCTCTCTTCTCTCTTCTCTCTTCTCTCTTCTCTCTTCTCTCTTCTCTCTTCTCTCTTCTCTCTTCTCGCTTCTCGCTTCTCGCTTCTCGCTTCTCTCTTCTCTCTTCTCTCTTCTCTCTTCTCTATTCTCTCTTCTCTCTTCTCTCTTCTCTCTTCTCTCTTCTCTCTTCTCTCTTCTCTTCTCTTCTCTTCTCTCCTCTTCTCTTCTCTCCTCTTCTCTCCTCTTCTCTTCTCTCCTCTTCCTCTTCCTCTTCCTCTTCCTCTTCCTCTTCCTCTTCCTCTTCCTCTTCCTCTTCCTCTTCCTCTTCCTCTTCCTCTTCCTCTTCCTCATCCCTTCTCTTCTCTTCTCTTCTCTTCTCTGCTCTTCTCTTCTCTTCTCTTCTCTGCTCTTCTCTTCTCTTCTCTTCTCTTCTCTTCTCTCCTCTTCTCTTCTCTTCTCTTCTCTCCTCTCCTCTTCCTCTTCCTCTTCCTCTTCCTCTTCCTCTTCCTCTTCCTCTTCCTCTTCCTCATCCCTTCTCTTCTCTTCTCTTCTCTTCTCTTCTCTGACTCTTCCCACCTCTGCCTTTTCCATCTGTCCATATTGTCGGAGGTTTGACTTCAAACCTCCTTCTGTCATTTTATGATCTTCTCGACTCTCGACTCTTCTACCACCTTCTACCATCTTCTATCGCCTTTCATCATGACGTTGCAACATTTTGAACCTTTGAGCCTTCCACATTTTTTTTCACGGAATTCCTCAGGTGCAGCGGGGTTCCAGATCCACCTTCGGCATCTTCGTGGGCGAGGCATGTCTGCTTGGGGTTGTTTGGTTCTTCGGTTCATTCTGATTCTCCTTCTGGTTCTGTTCAGTTCTGATCTTAAACAACATTGAACAGCGTTTCTCTTGTAGGAAGTGAAGACTCAAGCTGGTCCTGATCTGAAGGCCACCCGGAAAGACACAAAGGATAGTTGTTACGAGCGCTTTCATCCTGATGTTCTGATTTTGAGCTGCTCTCACACACACCAAACATGTCGAAGGCACTCATTGCTTCGCACAAACAGTCCCTTGGCACAAAAAATAATCCCAGATTTTTCAAATTCAAATTTCTCATGATGCAGTCAAACGTGGACAAACGAGGACAAACTACAATGTAACGATGACGCTGGCAATTTTGCAAACCACAACTACGAGAAGCAACTACCCGCGACAAACAGCAGGCAAGCTGCCTACATTGACGCTCTCCATGAAGAACTTCGTCGTTTGAACACGCCGTCCTTTACTCAATAGCGGTTGTTCAGTTGTTCGGACAGCGGATTTCGTGAGTTTTCCAGCGCCAGTGTAGTGGCAGTGCAGGGCGTTGCATTTCCAAGGTCGTACAGGCCGTTGGCAGCGGGCATGGGTCAGTCCTGGCCTCACAGGTTCAGAATCCAAAAAGGCAACAGATGAATCAGATGGCAACAGTTTTTATGGAGGAGATGCGACCAGTGGCTATCATAGATCCCACATGTGCTGAAGAGTTGCGGAACATCATGGACTTCTGAGATGCTGCACATGAGGTCTGTTGGTCCGGGGCCAGACACAACCTGAGCATCATAGGGATCCTCCATTTGTCATTTTTGTTCAAAGTTTTGCAGATTTTGTCCATCCCACAGCTGCATCAAAGCCTGGATCCTTTGTGCCCAAGGGCGGTATGGGCCCTATGGCTGCCAGGGGCCCAGATGCGCCCAGATGCGCCCAGATGGGCCTGACCTGTCCCGAGAGCTCACCTGGTGCTGGTTCAGCTCTAAGGCGCCTGGTGCACCAGGTTATGCTGGACCCCAATCCTTCGGGCAGGGGCCTTGGATGGCCTTGGCGGCCTTGGAACGTCGCCTTGGGGCCTTGATCCCACATCGGCCCTCGGTGATCCATGGGCCCTCGGCTCATTGGATGATCCCAGCGTCCCGCGTCCATGCCGTCCATGCGAGGCCAGTGTCATCATCAGTGGTTGCTTGGCAGATGACAGATATGACAGATAATGACAGATATGACAGATGCAGACTCTGAGAATTTGTGATATTGTGAGCTGTGCTCGGAAAGAAGTGCACAAAGAAATAGAAGACTGGGAAGTGAAACATAGGATTCTATAGATTCTATAGTGTTTAGTCATGTTACGTCACATTTAGATGCAGATGAATCAGATGAAGTCCAAAAGCTTTCCTTGCTGAATTTGTTGTGTGAGCCTTCTGCAGATCATTTTGATTTATCTTGCAAGAGAAACTAGACTCCTTTGCAATTTGCAATTCAACAAGTTTTCATGGGTTTTAAAGGATTTGGTCTGCACCAAGGGACAACTGTGAAGCCATAAGTGTTGCAAAGACAAGGGGGATGACGGATCTGACGTTCGAAGGGGTAGATGTTCCTCAGCTTTTGTCTTCACCAAGGCGCCTCACTAACGCCGTTGAAATGCGAAATGCACAATGCGACATGTGAAGACTGATGAAGACTCACTGGACACCGACAAACAGAAGTGCAAATTAAGCAGAGATCAGAGATGATCAGAGACATCTTCAATCTCGCCCATACAGACCATATGCCAAAGCACTGGCGCCATCGTTTGTTTGTTTAAGGTTTTTAAGCTCTCGAATTTCTAGAGGTCCATATGGGTCCTTTTATGAAAATAGAATCAACAAAATCGTAACGTTCATGCCTGGCACTTGGAGTCACATGCTTGACAGCTAGTCCAAGACACTGCATTGAAACTCATCAGTATATGGCGGTAAGACTGTATTGCCTCGTAAAAAATCATCTCTTTGAGTTGTTTTACTTGGCTTTTGTTTGCCTTCTTAGTGAACTGCAGAACCTTAAGGGCTGAAGATGCTGTTGGGCATGGCAGCTTAGTTCAACGCTGCCAATGATCGTTTCATGGCTTTAGCCACGTGCCTGGGAGAAAAGTTTGAAGGCAGGACGCGCTGCCAAGAGCTATCAATGGGCACGACGGGTACAAGGAATGTTGCATGACAGGATGCATGGCATAAGACGCTCACAAGATCTCACAAGAGTGTCAAACGATAGATATGGGCGATATAAGCATTGCTTGGCATTGAGAGACATCAAATGCTGTAACTGTAACCTAGCAGGAAAGACATCTATTGAGTGCATGAGTGCTGGGGATTGTTGGGACATCTATTGAGTGCTGGGGATTGTTGGAGCTATCCAAAGGAATCATCAAAAATTTTTGGTTTCATCAATTTTGACCCACATCCGTTAAACATGTGCATTGTACATGTTGAATGGGTGGGAGCCACTTTGGATTCTGATGATCTCTAGAATTTTACATGGCAACATCGGAAATTCCTGGCTTAAGAATCCTGATTGGCTCCTGCCCAAGGCATGATCATGTGAGGTGTTGTCATGTGAGTGGCAGAGCTGTGTTGGAGGTACATGAAGACATGAGTGCTTCAGGAATGTTGAGAAAGTCTAGTGATATCGAATGATGCTCTTCAGAAAGTTCTTGGATGTGCTTGGTACACTTGCCCAGGGCATGATCATGGACTGGACATGACTTGACTCAACCTGACTCAACTGCAGCACTCGTGCCTCTTTCTTTGGTCCCAACTTGACCGAATCAATGTTCCTGTTGAATCGAACGTTTGCAGCCCGCTTGCCGGACAAGGGGGCGCGGGGTTTATGTCGCCAAGCAGAGGACGCCCAAAGAAGGCGAATTTTTCAGTTTGTGTATTCTGTCAAACTGTCAAACAACTTCCCTGTTCCTTTTATAGATTGGTTTCTTCCGATTCACGGACAGGGAATTGTGCGATGTGCACCTGCATAGTCTTAAAATGTCTTAAAGTATTTGATCTCCAGGTCTATATGTTCTATTACAAACTTCCATGATCTTCTACGCTCCATCAGATGCATCATGCTTAAGTCATGCTTAAGTCATGCTTCACCGTGCTTCATTATGCGTCCATTTTGGCGAAAGTTCCGTAAGTTTCCGTTCCTGGGAGGCGGCCTGGACGCACAGCAGTTGCGCTCTATGGCTGGGTCTGACATGTTTCGGGTCGAAAGCCAAGAAGAGTGGCGACTGCTACCCGTTTCGAAAAACAGACATGCTACACGTTTCGAAAACGGCTGGAACTTATGATACTTATGTCCAATTTAGAATATTTAAAGCAAACTGATCAAGACTCACAAGAGGCAGCGGGAGAGGGCTTAGGAGATTTGGCCTTGGAGCATGTCACAATGTGAATCTGTTGTTTTGGTACTGAGGCAGTGCATTGTGCACTCCCTGGCCGACATCGGGAACGTCTCCGCTGCGGTTCTGCCACGAAGAAACCAAGTGCTTCGCATCAATTTAGACGTTTTAGACGTCATGTTCAGTCATGTTCAACATATTTCAACATATTTCAACATCAAGAAATGGTGCACCAGTCCTGAGGATGTACAGTTTTTCTGCGGATCCGACTGCGAGGTCTGGCCGTGTCTCTGAGTGCACGTTGCAAATGTGTTTCCCAAGAAATTTCATGCACGGCAGTTCTACTGCAACAGATGCTGTGGAGCTTCGATACGAGTGTACCATCGCATGCCAATCTGCGAATGTCGGTTTTTTCATGGTCAGAACTTCTTGAACCTGAAGCTCGCCGCCGACTGTACCTCTGGCGGGACTGCAGCAGTGGCCCCAGAAGCGTCGACTCGTCATACAGCCACAGCCTGGTCCAACATGGTCCAACCTGGTCCAAGACATCAGCTGCTACTGAGGCTGCTGCTTTGCGGATCAGCCAAGAGGCACTGGAAATCACTGGAATCGAATGGCATACCGCCATCTCACGATATCTCACGATATCTCACGATATCTCACGATATCTCACGATATCTCACGATATCTCACGCAGAGTGTGAAATGAGGCGAATAGATGGCTATCTAATGCGAATAGGATCGAATAGGTATTGATTGGGTGGTAAGACTGGTATACGATTATCAAGGCGTGAGGACAGGAGTTATATCAGGCGTAAACAAAGAAAAACGCAGAGGAAATCTATGTAAACAAATCAAATCTCCATTTCACTCGATCTTTGACTCAAAGTCCACACCTGGAGGTCGGTGTTCGCTGGGCTCGGTTTGACGCCAGCAGTCTTACAGCAGGTACCATGTGAATGACATCGGGACCAGTAATTTGAACCATGCCCACAGAGCTTGAGTTTGCACCAAACAGTTCAACATTCCAAATCTTTATGTATTGCATCTATATAATATTATATGCATTGCATCTATATGCATCTATTGCGGTTGGGACCTAGACCTTGTGAGAACATCGACCTAATCATGCATCGTTTCGGAGCGGTCTCATTGGTCTAGCGAAGCATGTGAAGATATGTGAAGCAACTTCCTGTGTCGCACTGTGACTGTGCAGTTCTGTGACTGTGCAGTTCGTTGTAGATATCGAGACTGCTTCTGATTAAAGCGTGCCTTGTTCAGGCGTGCTGTACAGCGTGTGCCTAAACCGCATCGACAACGAAACGTTTGAGGCACCCCCATGCAGAGTCTTCAGAGCTGTCGAATCGTGTCGATATGTTGGCGCGGAGTTGTGAAGCCGCCAATCCACAGATTCCCCGGATGTTCGACTGTTCAGACATTGTTCGACGCAGGACACTGGTCAGACAGTGTTCATATCTCCAATTCAGGAGGCTTTGGGGTGCGGCTAAAGATGCTAACGGTGAGCGTAGTCTTGTACAAAAGGAGCTCAACCGTTGACAATCGTTGACATCAGTTTACTTAAGGATCGAAGAAAGATTCTCGCAACTTTGCTCAGCTCGAGTGTATTCACATCCTTCATGGTGACATCGTGGCAGCACAGTCGTTACACCAGATCAATGGGGATATGAAAAGTATTGAAAAGTCATGAAATTTTATTGACATATCTATTTCAAACATGTTCAAACAGAAGATTTCTGAAACAGGAAGAAAAAACACCTTTGGCAGTTTCTCGGTAGTTGATCCAGTTGATCCAGGTTCATCCTCAGATGGTGCAGCCCTCCTCTTCGCAGGCCAGGTCGCCAGGTCGCCAGGTCGCCAGGTCGCCAGGTCGCTGTGTGGATCTCTGACTCCGCGGCTCCGCGGCTCCGCAGCGCCCAGGAGTTGTCCATAACTTGTGTACCTGGCTGCACCTCGTCAACAGAGGTCTGGTCTGGCCAAGGGGCCAAGGGTGTCGAGATCGATTCGTCGAAAATTCAACGAGGGAATGGAACGATTGGAAAGGTGTTTCTTTGTTGACTGTTGATGTTTCAAGCAAAAAGATCAAAAAAAACAAGACGCGCAGTGCAGTGATGATGTGCAGTGCAGTGCAACGAAGTCTGATAACATGTGCATACATGATCATACATGTGCTCATAAAAAGTCATCTTGGTAAATTCACCTCATGCCTTTTTTGCCTTCCGGCAAGGGAGTGAAGCACCAGAGAGTAAAACGTTGCTCAAAGTAGTTTGAACATGTTTGAACTACCAGAAGTGCTCAACAGCTCCTTTCACATTTATTCAGTTTTTTCTGATTTATTCACACTTTGCACACTTGTTCACACCATTTCACACCTACGTTTTGATCATTTTGATTCCCTCCACTCTCATTGAAGCAGTGAGACATGGTTTGCAGGTTGTGCTGGCACTGGACTGCGCCTCCATATCAGGAGCGCCCAGTGCCACACTCACAGGGTTGGAATCTCAAGCGGTTTGCTGAGAGCAACGTATCAATGTATGAAGTTTTGATTTTTAAAGGTTCTGTTTCCATCATTTTCCACCATTTTCCACCATTTTCCACCATTTTCCACCATCTTCCACCCAGTACCATCGTGTATACATGTGTATACTGTAAGAATCTGTAAGATTGGATCCGATCCATGGAGACCTATGGACCTATGATGACCTATGGAGCTCAGGTTTCGGGCCTTTTGGTCAGTGACTCTGGATCTAAGCTCTTTGCCACAAGCTGAGTTATGTCGAGTGAGTTCACAGGTGTTCACAGTCACAGTCACAGTCACTGCAGGTCTCAATTTCAGTAGAATTTGGTCACAGGTCCTTCGGCCAAGTGTACAAAGTATGCGCTGACGTCGACGGTACGGGAGGTGCCAAATGAGTTCACTGATTGACACAGAAACATCACCGCCCCTCGTCGGCCTTTTAAACGTTTCGTCTCAAAATGTCGCAATTTCTGGGAAGGTTTGGAGCCCGGGATTTAATCGCCTTTGGTATCCTTTGGTTCTTAGGTTGCAAATGTTGCAATCCACAACCATCCACAACCAGACAATTGATGAACGCTCCAGTAAATTGAGACGTGCTTGAAAACCCTGCAGTTTCAACTTTGCCCCTCGCGGATACCGGTGTGAAACTCAGTTCTCTGACAGACGGGAACAGTGCTGGACTGCAGCAAAGCCGAGCTCATTTAGTCTGCCGAAACAGATAGAACAGCAGACAAAAGATGACTAAAGATGCTTAAAGATGTCTCAAGATGTCAGGTTTGACAATGAGAACTGGTGGCCCGACTTCTATCCAAGTGGCCAGAGACCCAAAGACTGCACAGATGCCTTGGATTTTTTGTCGTAGGATTTTTGTGACTCGCAGGTTTCCATCATGAGTGCTACAAACCAACGTTTCAGCCTCGGATTCATCAAGCACCGATTCGACTTTGCACCGATTCCAAAGTTTTTGTGGCCGTGTTGGCACCATTTTTTTGTTGACCAACTGTTGATACATGTTGATACCAGCTCCCCCAAGGTGTGCCGATTGTTTGCACCGGATGTACCCACGCAACTGCTGTCTACTTCTTAGACACAGGCACCTAGGGCACCTAGGGCACCTAGGGCACCTAGGGCACCTAGGGCACCTAGGGCACCTAGGGCACCTAGGGCACCTAGGGCACCTAGGGCACCTAGGGCACCTAGGGCACCTCGGTTTAGGATTTGGAGCTGGGCACAGCATGGCACGGCTGAAAGATGTGAAAGCTTTGAGTGCCAGGCTCCAATTGTGATACTTCGGAAGCGGCGGGACTACACATAGGCTGGGCCCTTGAGATAATCGAGATTGATAAATATTGCAAGACACATATTGAATCATATATATATATATTGAAATATTATGAAATATTGATTGATTTTTTGGGGTTTGATTAGTTTGATTCTTTGCGATTCTTTTCTGATGAAGACATCCGTGTCATGTCGATGTGAGTTTGATCAGTTTGATGCTCCAGGAACCGCACCCACTTCAACTTCTTCAGTGCTGCTCACAGGACCATTGGGACCATGTTGTAGCCGTGTAGCCGCATCTTCAAAACCCTTGAGGTTAAATTTACCCATCATTTATAATTACCCATTCATTTCCCACATTTACCCAACCATTTAGCATCTTCTGACTTTTTTTTATCTAAATGTACCTTTTCATCCTTTTTCCATCTTTTTCCCAGTGATTTTTGCGGCTGATTTTTTGCAATTTTCAGGAGCTGGCACGCACTGGGATGCCGTGATTGATGCCGGGATCTTCATTGGTCGCATCGTTTGCGCATCGATGGGCCGAAATGCCATGGGGATGAGCACCGGAATGAGCACCAAGATACACCAAGGCATCAGCAATGACGACGGGCACATCCTACAAACTATGTATGGATCTAGATGGCACTTGCCTCAGAAGTTTCACACATTGAAAACTCATTGAACACAGTTTGTTTGTTTGTTTTTTTTTCGGAATCTGAAATCCAATAGACATGTATAGCCTAGCAATCCATGGGCAATCCATGTGAATGGTGGGCATGGTGGGCCCTTCTCAAAGAAAAATCCCAGGTACGGTCACAGATTTGGCTTTTGTGGACACCGGCCTGACGGTTCAAATCACATCCATCACAGGGGTTGTTTAAGCCTCAGACACCGGCCATGGGACGACAAGAGACTCCGGCAGATCTTTCAAAATGGGGCATGGGGTGGCATGGCCATGGCCAACATCCCACCTGAGCTTTCCAATCTTGTGGGCTGGTTGTAGTTTTCCTCGTCCCTGGGCCATATGGATCCATATGGCGGAATGAAACCCAGGTCAGTGCTACCTACAATGTTGGAGGAGTGACAACTCTGGAACTCACTACAAATCTCGCAGATGGATCGATCCGGCCTCAGCTAAAAAGTTTGGTAAAGTAACTGGGAAACTGCCAAGAATCTGGTAAAGTAACTGGGTCCAACGGGGCGAAAACTGGAGATCAAGGCTGTCTCAAGCATATGGCTACGTCGGAGAAGAGTGCAGCACGTCCGTTGCTGAGAGGGGAGTGGGCCGAGTGGGCCGAGTGGGCCGAGTGGGCCGAGTTCCGAAGCCAACGGAGACGCTTCCCCAGTGGCGCTAGCAATGCAGTTTCTTCTCGAGAACAATCGATATCTATCGTCTATTAAATCTATTATGTATCAATCAATAATTTCAATCAACTGCAATCACCTCTAATAAACAGTGTGTTTCTAATTCTCTTGCATTTTTCTCATTTTTTCTCTGTTTCCTTGTCCTTTGATTGTCACTTTGCCGTTCTTCGGCTTCAGCAGTTTTTAAACTAAGGGCGTTCAGCTCCAGCGCTGGTGAGAGAAATACTGTGGAGCAGACCGTGCTGGGTGTGGTCAGTGGTGCTTTGGTTCAACGCCACAAAAGGGAGAACTGGTCATTGTCAGGACTGGATTTGACGGTTCAAATCTGGTTCGAATTAGGTTCAAATTGAAGGACGCAGTTTGGTTCCAAGGAATGGAATGAGGCACACGTCTATCATAGAAAGCCATGGAATCTGGTCTTTTTGTGGGAGACAACGTGAAATTTGTACCATAAAAGCTGCGCTGCCTACACCTTTGACTTTGGTCGCTTTGCCAAAGTGAGGTGTTGTCAGCTTTCCGCTGGTGGTTACTGGCCTCGTGCAAGGAAAGCCTTAAGCTCAGTCAGGGGATCAAAGACGATCAAAGACGTCAAAGAGTTGTTTCTCCGCAGAAACAAAGTGCAAAGTGATTGGCAAGATTCTTTCATGTTCTTTTCATGTCTCCCGCTTCGTGACGTGATAGCGTTGACGGTCACTGTCATTGTTTTCTATTCGTGTCGCGCCTGAGGATGTACAGAGCGTGCATCGACGAAGACGGGCCGAATGCGCCAGAGTCTCATGTGTCAGACAGACGTGTCAGACGCCTGACGTGTCTTCAGGTGTCTTCAGAGCTTCTTACAGATTCTTACAGATTCTTACATGTTAAAACACAATTCACAATTCATTTCGCAATTCATTCTTTTCACCGAATTCTCCATTTCACATTAGAATTTCATCCAGAAACATGCTGTTGCAAACGTGTTGAAATGCATCTACTCCCGCGACTTTGATTTTTTGATTTTCAGGGAAGGTTTCATCGACGTGGGTACTGCCATCTATGCTGGGCTCTAAGTGCACTACAGCTCTAACCAGTCAACAAGTTAGCATTGCAGGAATCAGCTTGTTGGTTGGGAGCAAACATACATTGAAGATGTTCAATCTCATAGCCAAGCCCATGCAACTCGTACTGATGACGTATAGTGTTGCTTTAGTGTTGCTTCAATAGATTTGAGATCATATCAAATCATATCAACATGAAAGTGAAAGCACTGAAACCGGTGGTCAAAACTGGTCAAAACTGGTCAAAACTGGTCAAAACTGGTCAAAACTGGTCAAAACTGGTCAAAACTGGTCAAAACTGGTCAAAACTGGTCAAAACTGGTCAAAACTGGTCACTGCGAGCAATCTGTTCCACAGGTCACAGGAGTGACTGCTGTGACACCTTCCGGTGTGGCACGAGCTTCCAACCAGCAGCTCATCCCTCAGTGACGACGATTCAGCCACTGTCGATTCGTCGTGATGAATTGCGCCAGGCTTGAACTCACTTGCGAACAAGCAGTATGTAGCAAGCTCAGTGCCATGTGATCGCATGTGATGCTCTGGCGCAGAACGACATGGTGGTGAACTGGTTAACTATATGGTTGTCATTGCTGTTAGAGTTTGGAAATGCTTGGAATGGCTTTTCAGTGGAAATGGACCATGAAAACCTGGAAATGGACCATGTTTCTGTCCATTGGTCTTGCACTCCACTTCTTTTGGCTGAAGGCTCCACAGACACCAAACTGTACCTGACCTCAACCTCATGCCATGCTGACCCGCTTCATACACATGCTTCGTGCATGTCGGGATGTGTAGATCTTTTGGTGAAAAGAAAACAAAAGACATCAAAGACATCAAAGACATCAAAGACATCCGGTTCTTGCTGCTTCTTGCTGCTTCTTGACAGGGTATTGCCCACACTGATCTATCACTGATCTATCACTGATGTTTGGGATCCGTTTGTCGACCATGATGTGTGTGGCAAGTAGCGCTCTAGACCTTGTGGGTACTGGGCCAGGTAACACAGAGATTACCAACGGAGATCCAGGACAATTTGTGAAGCCTCACAGCATGCGGAAGATTGACACATCCCAAATCTGGACGGCCCGGGATATGCTACTTTGGAAGAAGCCAGATAGACATGTATTCACAAGACTCATCACTGGAACTGCCGTGACTTTTGTGATTCTGTCTAGTCTGCACGTCAATGCAATGGAATTGAAGATTGCATGGGAAAGGGTTGACCTTCTTCAGCAGGCGTAGTTCATCGTAGTTTCATTTCATGACTAGTTGCACACCTGATTCGACTGTGGTAGTTACATGTAGTTACCTGTATTTGAAGCCTGGTTCAATACGTTTCAAAATCGATCGGCTTCGTGCTGATTTTAAGTCTTCTCGATCTTCTCGTTTTGGCTACAAAGGAGTCCCAACCGGAGAAGACGTGAAACGTACGACCCTTGCCACTGCTCTGGCTGTCGGGTAGCCAAGGCATGCCAAGGCAATGAAAGGCACGTCACAGATAGATGGCATCCGCATGCATCCGCCATGTGAGGTGAAAAACGTGGTGGAGGTCAACCAATGGATTTGGACCCTGGATGCTTGCACCTCAAAAAGCCGAGGTCAACACCAACACGTTCCCACAAATTTTCTACCTATTTCTGATGTGTGAAGGAGACGTCTTAGACGTCTTTGAATGCTGGAAATGTCAGCCATGTCAGCCTTGTCAGCCTTTCAGCCTGATTCGCATTCCATTGCACTCTCCATGGTGCCGGAATCTGAGGCAACGAACTTGGATCCTGGGAAGCTCTTTCGCATATGTGTGGAGCTTGGAGCTTTGCGGAGCTTTGCGGAGCTTTGCGGAGCTTTGCGGAGCTTCTTTGGCTTCCAGCTGCACAGATTCTGTTTGCATTTTTTGAACGTTTTGAAGCTGGCTGGAACCGCTGGAACCTCAAAGTCTTGGAGTAGGCTCTGATATTGATGGTGCTACTGGGTGCCAGCGACCTGTTTGCCAAAAACTGCAACGTAGAGAAGCTCACTGTGTCTTTGGCGCAGGGTTTCTTCGTGATTCTTCGTGATCTGGTGTCTTCGTGACAGGGGTGAAATTATCAGATCTCACCAGTGGCAGGACATATCCATTCGGCGACACAGGACTCACGGTCTACAGTTCACCTTTTAGCGAGGCAGGCAACCGTGAGTGTGATTTTACTTATCATTTTCGTTGATTTGCTCTCTCCTTCGATTTGCTTTGCAAGAGCAACTTCATCTTCACTTGCATGACAGGGGCCTTTTGAATTTAGCAGGCTTGTCATGTTTTCATTGTTTTTTCTTTCAATTTTCTTCCCCAATTCGTTCAGTGGCCTTATCAAGATTAGATGTGCTGCATGCACAGGGAAGATTCATATTGACACATGTGACATAGAGTAGATATGTGTGACATATGTGCCATCTCCTGCCCTCTATTTCTTTGGCCACCGGGGTGTCGATGCTCTGGGTCAACTCGGTCCACAGGTGGTGACCAAAGGTATCAACGTTGCAGTGCTTCAGACAGTACCAAGCATAGGATGCATAGCTTGGTCGGAAAATGTTGACAATGTCACATGATTCATGTGATGTGTTTGATCATAATTTGATCATAATTTGATCATAATTTGATCTGTTGTCCATTGCCACATTTTGACTTTGATGGCCGTCTCTACCCGGTTGGATCTGTTATGATCTGTTTTCGACTGATCAGATTGAACACCTGAGGTATACGTCCGATGTGCGACAGGTTGCAGTGAATCATCGCGTGGTCCAGCCTGGCCTGTGTTTTATGGGTCACCCAACTGAACATGTAAACAACCATGTGTAAAGGCACAGTTTAAACACATCCAACTACAGCTGAACGGGTGAAGCATGCTGGAGTCAGCGTGAAACATCTGAAACTTGTGGCATTTTGCTAGCTTACTTGGCCCTCCGCTCGAACACACCTTCGAACCTCTTTGTGAAGCCCTGTGACAGGCGCCTTTCCTTTTCATTCCTTTGGAATTGGAACAAGTCATTTTAAATCTAGTAACCTAGCATTATACAGTATAATTAATTAATTGATGAGAAAGATCATAATTCATAATCAATAATCCATTGGAATTGGGGGTACCCCCTTCTCAGACAAATAATCAGTGTGCTTGTGTTTCTGAATAGCCAGACTTATGCACATGTGAAATCACATTTTACACATCTGATGCCATGTCAAACTACCACTTTTCAAGAGACCTTATTGTTCTGCCGGCTGTCAGTACCGTCAACGACGGAATCATGGATCCATATGGCAACGAGAACACAGCTTCGGTGCCGCTTGTGTCCGATGCTGTGTGCCTTTTGATATTTTTTGATATCTTTTGATCTTGCATCACACTGCAGAAATTTCAAGGCCACAACTTCACACTGCATCTTCACGCTGATTTGCGGAAACCTCACAGCTTCAAGTCTGTTTTTGTATTTTTTGTGTCCTTAGGCACCACGGGGGAGACTTGTCCCTGGCTTAGGGCACTCCAAAACAACTTTATGAGCAGAGCGTGCTGGATTCTCTGAATCTCAGAAGATCTCAAAAGGTTTCTGAGTTCCCGTCCCTTTGTCCCCAAGGTGGGCAATGGAGGACATCGACGTGACAAACTCAGCTGTTCAACGTGGTTAAACTTCGTTCAACTATGTTCAACTTCTGTTCAACCGTTCAATTTTTCTTCTCAGTTATTTAGTTATCGACCTTGAACGTTGACCTTGTTTTTCAAGATGCGGCAAAGGCAACCCCACTCATTGCTGGTCGGTACTATGGACTTTGCGTTGACATGGATGGCCCAGTGCTGTTCTCATTGCGATCGCTTTGAATATGCTTTGAATATCAAAGTCACATTGTGCCCTGTGTGCCCTGAGAATTGTAAGCTGTATCAGAGCTGCATAGTTGTGAATCTTGAAGTTGCAAATCAAATCAAACATATTGTGAGATGTATCGTTGCAGTCCAGTGTCTGTCAGTGTGGAGATATGTGGAGATTGTCAGGTGTCAACATTGGGCTTTGGAGATACTGGTTTACTGGTCTATGTCACCGGTGTGGAAGAGCAGTGTCCTCAGGGCTGATTTTGTTGTTAAATCAATGGGGAAGCTGCTGAACATTGCAGAGCTTGAGAGGATTTCACATGTTGGATTCTTTCGAAAGGTGTCTCGAGGCAAAAGGGACCCATCATGACCCATCTTCTCAATTCTTCTCAATTCTTCTCAATTCTTCTCAATTCTTCTCAATTCTAAAACTTTTCTCATCTCTTTTTTCAGCATGTCTCTGCCTGTTGAAACCTGGTGACTTCCATGATCTTCCACGTGAGGTTCACACCCAAAGCCATCCTGCAAGCATTTGCCCAGGAGGCATGAAGAAACCATCAGAAACCAAAGTGCGTCGTTGTGTCCTGGTGTGTCCGCCCAAAAGATCTCACTTCCGGCATCTTCCAACGCATACTGACTGACACGTCACTTGTAATTTGCAGATCCAACTGACGTGTTGGGAACTCAGAGAAACATGAGAAAACATGAGAAAACATGAGAAAACATGAGAAACTGCAGAACGTGACATGTGACTTTTCACTAACTGATCACCTGAAAGACCTGAGGTCCCTACTGCAACCCAGATAACGACGTAACCCAGGTGGGAGCCGGAGAAGTACGGGATGTTTCAGGCCTTCCATGGCCTTCCAATTGAAAAACATGGATTTTCACCATGACGGATCCATGGCGGCAAGAGTGAATGCAGTGGATCCCCGAAAAAATCGAAAGATCCAGACAGAACTTGGTCATACTTGGTCCATTGGATATGGCACGGTTATGGAATGCTATGGAGAGGAATGTTGGCTCGCAATTCCATTGTATTTAGCATATTTAGCTCGCTTCTGAAGTTGTATCAGCGATGTAGATTTGATTAGATTTGTAGTTGTATCAGTTTCTCAATATTTCTCAGATTTCTTCCATTCTCATCCATTCTCATCCATTCTCATCCATTCTCATCCATTCTCCAGTTTCTCCCCAGTTTCTCCACAGATCAAACAGAACAGGCCTACATTTCGTTGGAGTGCGATACCTCGCTTTACTTCGGCTTTGACCTCCCAGCCACTGCATCGGTCAATTCGCCGACCAATCGATTGCCCAGAACTCAGAAGTTACATGAAGTTACACTATTGATCCGTCGTTTTTCGTGTTTTGCAAACTTTGTTTCTCGTGTTCAACCGTTTTTCACAGTATTTTCGTAATGAAAGTTGTACACATAATTACACATATATGTTTTCTAGCCTCCTTGGAAGCTGTGAAACTCGTGATATACCAAGCTGATCATTTCTGGCCACGTGGACGTGGTCGGAGGCCTGGGCCTGGTGGGGTGACAACCGCTGAAGCCACTCGGCTCTACATCGATGCCAGGCTGTCTGGAAACCCAGGACGGCACCGACAAAACAGACACAGAAACAGTGAGAAAACGGAGTAAAAACTACGGAAAGAAAAATCACCAGGTCACGGTCACAGTTAATGGAGTCCTAGATATAGTCATTTTGTTTTTCAGGAAGGACCATCATTGAGCCCGGGTAGGTCATTTGAAAGCCTTAGTGATGATGTTTAGTGATTGAAGTTGCGGGCACCAAGCAGCAAAGAAGGTTACATGACTCATAGTCTAGTCCTAAACGCATCGTTTTTGGATCTGGAAGGAAAGATGGGTCAGTGTGAGTGCTGTCGAGTTCCTAAGGTTGGATTTGGGTGGCGTTTATCACCTGTGTACGAGAGCTCAGATATCTCATCCTGAGTTTGAGATGTTTGAGTGCGTATGAAAATCAGTGCCCTTGAACTGCTTGACTTAGGCATGGACTTGGATGGGAACAATGCCAAGATGGGAATGGGAGACACTGGATTCGTGGCTATGCGCTGAGCGGTGAATGTGCAGTTTCTTGACATTTTGTTTAACAAGTAAATTATATTTGATTATAGAACAGATGTTCTCCCACTCGCTCTGTTTCCTCAAGCATCTATTTCCTGTGCGATTTCGAGCAAGTGAAATTTCACCGCATTTCCTATTTGAGGTGTATGTCACCACCATGACCACCCTGAAACCCTGGGGAATCTTGCACGAGCCACAGTTGGATGGTGTTTTGTCGCCAGTTTGGTGCCAGTTGAAAGGGAAGATGGAACGCTTTTACCATCTATGGTCCATGATGTGAACAGAATCAATCACAAGAATCTCTGGATTGCGAACCAAAGAAATCTCAAGTGTGATTTCAGAACCCAAAAATCAAAAGGGGAGACGCTGTACTAGTTTGAGTGCTATCCAGAATGGAACCCGTGGTCCCCTGTGACGGATGCTCAATTGACTCAATTACTTGTCGAGGCCAGCCGCCAACCAAACGGTGGCCTTTGTCTTAGCTGAGATTCGGAGGGCACTGACAAATATGACAAATGGTCCAAATGGTGGTTGTAATTTCAGAGGTTTGTACCATTTTGTACCTCAACTCACGACCTCTCACGACTCAGTACTTGTAGTAATACCAGCACGGAGCTGTGTATCATGCGACACATCCAGGATCATACAGGTCCATGATGGTCTTTGTATGTCTTTGTATGTCTTTGTATCATTCATTTTACGATATTTTACTTGACCCATGCGATTCATGCGATGGGCGCCACGGAAGCAGGATCAAAGGATGTTGAAGCATTGATTGCATTGGCTGTTGATCAAGGTGATGACGTGTCCTGGTGGCTGCAGAAAGCTCAAATTCAAAGGGATATGTTGAGAATGTGAACGAAATTGTGATGGAAACAAAAAAGGAAGAAGCGGATGCCCCACCGAATGCCTGAGGCACAGATGGCGTTTCTGCAGCTTACGTTGGAATATACTGCAATGATACTGCCTCGAGCTGAGAAAACAAATCATTAAGACATATTAAGACTAAAGATGCTGATGCTAAGATCGTCCTCAAGGTTTCTTCATTCCATTTTGTCTCAAAGAGCACAAGATAGCACAAATATCAAATATCCCTGGTACTTCTGGCGAAACAGTTTGCATCTCTGATCTCTTTAAGAGCATCTCTCAGATCTCTCATCCATTCAATTCCTCTTTGAAGCGGAGGTAAACAATGGAGAGATGACGGTGTTGGCAGGTGAAAGGCACGACTTGAATTCATAGTATAGTTACTACATAGTGACATATAGTGACTACATAATAGGTTTTTTTTCATAGTTTATCTGAGTTCATCTGTTGATTTGAAGCACCGTGACTCTTGCACCACGCTATGACGCACTTGGTATGCACGTGGCGCAGGACTCCTCATGGCACTTTTTCCAAGCCATCTAGCCTGGCCACAGATGACTACGAGGCTAGAAATTCCTCAACCCGGCTCGGGAAATGCCAAGTGAATCCAAGTGAGCCAAGTGGTCAACACACTTGACACACGACGTGACACACGACGTGACGCACGACGTGACACACGATGTGACGCTGTGCAGGTGATGATCGATGCCGAAGGCCAGGGCTGCGGTTGGCCCAACCCAACTGCCACGCTGCAAATCGCAGTGCGCGCGTAACTGCGCCGAGGCATGATATCTGGAAAGCACTACCTGTTCTGTCCGTGTCTCTGATCCTTGCGGCAAGTTTTACAGTTTGTCCAAAGTCTGTCCAAAGTCTGTCCAACACCTACAGAAAGCTGTAGCAATTGGAGTATGGTTTGATTTTCATGTTCGAACATGTTGCCGAGGTACAGATTTGGATGGCAGTAACAGTCATTTGCCATGGGGAAACACCGACCTACCGATGTACATCTCGCCTATCAGCAAGGCCATTGTGCTGTGAACTGCTTTGACATGCTTTGACATACCCTTGCAGCACTTGCATTGTCTAGTTCTTTTGACTTGAAACTGTTAGACTGCTTACAAGTTGGATTCTTCTGCCAGTCTGCGTACAATGCCTTCTACTCCAGTGCAACCTCAGAGTTTCTGAACTCAGACAGTTTCGAATGTATGACTCTGTTGAACTCTGTTGAACTTTGTTGCTGAACCTCTCTTGCAAATAGCTTCGCGGTGCTTTGAATTTTGGAGCCGAATCTAAGGCTTCGACTGACTTGCGATGGTCGATGCACTGTGGACAGCAGAGTTTACATCCTCGATGAGCAGGCAAAGTTCCCTTAAAGTTCATTTTAAAGTTCCCTTTTGCAATTTGCACTTGACGATTTGAAGATGTTTGAAGCGTGGGTCAAGCTGCTGGCTAACAATAAGGCGTGTGTGGCGCGTCCACATTGATTTTGATTCTACTCAATAATTGTTCGATTTTGGACAAGTTAATGTGTTCGTTCTATGGTTCAGTTATGACCGGATTTCTTTCTGGCAGAGAATTTTTGCTCCTATAAACTTCTGCTATCTGCTGCAGTACCTGTGCGACCACCTGGACTTTGGCGGCTCTAAGACCGGCAGTGCTGACCAGCCCGGACCCCATTTCTTGAAAGAGATGGGGAGGTGACTGAGGTGTCAGAAGAATCCAGCAGCTTGCGGAGTGAAGCAAACCATAACTAACCATAACCATAGTATACATCAGAATACATCAGTATCCCACAAAACCAAAGAGAATAAAGACATAAGTTGACATAAGTTGACATAAGTTGACACTTAAGACAATGATAAATATGATAAGACAATCATATACAATCATCAGATACGTTCAGACTATGTTCAACTCTGAGTTTTCCATGTTTTCCTAAGGACCGGCTCAGTGGCCACCACTCCACTTGGGGGCTCAGACGGAGTTGTGTTGGCCTTTGTGGACACCACAGCTCTTACAGCTGGCTTGAGGCCGGTGTTGGGAGTTCGGATGAAAACGGCTTCGGATGGATTTGGTATGATATATGTATGATATATTCAGATACAATATGATACAATCAACATCAATGAAAATCAATGAACACGCAGTTTCAGAGTATCAAAAGATATCAAAAGTGACACGAACTCTGAATGTTCGAAGGCTTTCTTAAAGCATAGCATAGCATATCTTTCTTGGCAATTTTGGAGAGAGTTCTTTCGCCTCGAAAGGGGCCCATGTGCCGTGTGGCCGTGTGGCCGTGTGGCCATCCAGGGCCAATGTCTCAGGTTTCGAATCTGCCTTGACCTGGATGGGGTTGCCACCGCCTATGCTTTTGGAGATATCGGCATCCAGGCAGAGGAGATTTAGACTGCGTTTAGACTGCGTTTAGACTGCGTTTTGATGCGTTTTGATGCGCTTTGATGCGTTTTGATGCGTTTAGACTGCGTTTTGATGCGTTTTGATGCGTTTAGACTGCGTTTTGATGCGTTTAGACTGCGTTTTGATGCGTTTTGACTGCGTTTTGATGCGTTTTGATGCGTTTAGACTGCGTTTTGATGCGTTTAGACTGCGTTTTGATGCGTTTAGACTGCGTTTTGATGCGTTTTGACTGCGTTTTGATGCGTTTTGATGCGTAGACTGTGTAGACTGCAGGTCCGCAAGCTGCATAGCAATTCCAACTTTGACTTTATGACGATTATTGACGATTATGATGATTATGATGATTATGAAGATTATGAAGATTATGAAGATTATGAAGCCAGAAACATTATTGAAATATATTGAAATAGGTGCTTCTTTGAATTTAAAGACTGAGATGTGGTGCTTGAAGCCTCTTTGCTGTGGAAGGTCTACATGGCTGCAGTTACAGATTCAGGAGGCCACTCTGACATTTGGATCCGTTTCAGCTTTTCAAGCTGTCTCTGACCACCACAGGTACCATTTCTCCAGCAACCGGGCAGGCCAAGCCCAGTGAACACATTTGAACATGGTTTGAACAGATTTGAACATGGTTTGTTACGGTTTGTTCATGTTTTTTCACTGTTTGATCTCATTTGATCTCACTGTGAAGTGCCATTGAGTGCTGCGAGCTGCGAGCTGCGAGCATATGAGGTGATCACCTTGACCTGCGCAACTGGCTGCTCTACAGACACCATGGCTAGACACTCAACTGGTGCAACGGAGTCTGTGAGCAGAAAGACGAGTGTCACAAGTGTCACAAGTGTCACAAGTGTCACAAGTGTCAGTGATTCAAATTGATTGGGGGTGCTAAATGTGCTAAGGGCTAAGGGGGGGAAGTTTGGAAGGCTTGGGAAGGGTCGCATATGATCTTTTTTGACGCCTTGCCACTGGTAGACGTACATCTGACATCAGGGAAGAGAGATGGCGAGGGTCTGTCATCTTGCCATCAAGGCCTATCTTGCCATCACCTGCGACAGCACGGTGACGGATGGAAATATTGCAGCCAATGGAGCTAGCAGCCCAGATCAGCCCGGATCAGCCCAGGTTGGGTGGTTATAAAGAGATCAGGCATGAGACCCTGCACTTGCTTTTTTTGGTTGCACAGTTGCACACTCATACGAGGATTTACTAGGATCATCTGTCCACCTTATCCTGCCGCAAAGGAATAGCGAATGCACGGATGTCCGTGTCCCTCAGGTCTTAAACACAGCTGCAGTAAACATAGCTGGAGTCTGCCACTCAGGGACTGGACGGACTGGACTACTTTGAGTTGGAAGTTTTCAAACGACATGACGCAATTCTATGTAATTCTCCAAAATCATGCATCAAACTCATCAAACTGACTTTGACTCTTTGGGTATTGATTTCCGTTCACCAAGACCTCACCATCTTGGACCGCTACCATTGATGCATCGACTCTACAGCCAGGGCGGCACTACACGTTTCTCAGCACAGAGATTGACCAACAGCCGTCATTCAAAATCTGAGTTCCCACAGAAGTTTCGTTTGGCGGGTTCATGCTCAAACAATTTTTTAGAGGAAACATGAACAAACCAAAAAACACATCGCAACTGCAAAAGTTGCAGAGACTGTAGCACTAGCCACGAAGTGCCACGAAGTGCCACGAAGTGCCACGAATTTCTCGCAACCTTCAGGCTTTGCACAGACCTGGATGGGAGTACCGGAACCATGGCAATGGGTGCCAACGATTTTCAGTGGTACGTCACAGGTGCGCTGCGTTGAAAACATGGCCAGGACACGTGTCCGGATGTGGACAAAGCAAGCATGGAACGACCATAGCGGACCAGAGCTGTGCTTCGAATCTGTGAAGTATTGTAGCCAGGCGTCAGCGGCATTCCGCACTACAAGTTTGGCCTGAAGCAGCAAAAAGGACAGAACTAGTGATTGGTCAAAGAAAGTTTAGATGAGAAACTTCCAAGTTGACGACAGATGCAAATGGACACTAGTAGAATCTAATCGATGCCTTTTACTCACCAACTCAACCACTGAGCAAGTCTCGATAGAGCTATGCAACTCAATGAGCAAGTGTCACTAGTTTGTTAGTTAAGCCAATAGCTACTTGATTCATTAGACTAGGGTGAAAAATGTCACACTTATACTGCACATGTATTTGTGCACGTATGTAGGTATGACTCTGAATGTAAGTATGTACGTTACTGTACGTTTGTGGATAGACAATGATGTATTGGTCCGCATTCCACCATCTCTAAAGCTGGGTGATTTGGGGTATATCCTCTTTTGAGCGCGCAGCAGATACATCTCGGAGGGACGGTTTTAGGCGACTTCGACTTATGATTTCCCTCAAATTGATTGGGAACCATTGCGGCACATGTGGCAGATCTTTATACATGCAGAGATGGGATCTGGCAGAGAGAACTCAGGGAGTTGATTCAGAGAAGGGCCTAGAGTAGCCAGCCTGTTTAGCGGCCCAATTTAGCCACTCAATCATTTTGAAGTTGTTCAATAAGACATGTGAGTCAGTCGACAACCTTTCCTTCCCGCAGTTCATGTGCTTCTACCTGCAAAACTTCCGGCATGGCAAGGCGCTAGGTTACCACTCTAGAAAATGGCAAACTGGAAGCAGAAGCAAGAGTGCATGAACATGCACGACGGCTGCATAGAAATCATATGAAATCATGACTCATTTTTGTCCGAAGGAATTGCTCGTTCCAGCCAAGAGACGGTGATCTTCACTTGCGCTCAGTGCACCAACAGCTCTTCAGCCTACCTGGGCATCACGTGCAGCAAGCCAGTTTGACAGTCGGACCAGGTGTGTGACTGCAGCTGAGTAGAAAATCATGGATCCCTTACCCTACACAACGCATACCGCATACATGTTCTGCTTGGTGTAGATCATTCTGTTTGCCATCCCGGCCCCCGTGCCGTCAGTTGTATCAAACATATTCAAACATGCGAATCTGATTAATCTCCTGAACCGTTTGGACTTTTCGAAATCCGGCGCTTGGTGCGGATCCATGTCCTTGCATGTCCTTGCCAGGTGCGATAGCACGAACTTTGCTGGCTATCGTGCCACACCGTCAAGCAGCGGGCTCAGGTCAAACATGTTGCCACACAGACGCGTGCAACGCGTGAAACGGTAAGAAAATACACGTGTGCAGTCACATGCGACATGTGCAGTAGACAATGGCGCGTGCTATGTTTCGTGGATTGTTTTTGATGTTGTAAATGTAATGTAGTATAAATGTTGTAATATGGCTATAATATGAGTCTTAAAATTCTATAAAATTCTTAAATAGTTTTGAGATGTTCTCTCGTGTCCTTGCTCCTGTGAGGTGCCTTCAGTGGCACTGCTTCTGTGCAGCTGGAAGACTTGGCTACAGCAGGCTACAAACGGCTTGGCTCCATGACCTCGATGCATCGTGAGATGTCTCGAGCTTCCGGGCAGGATGGGGTGCGACTTTTGATACGTCGACCCTGACCTTGGGCGCCATTCTCAGTGCAACATCATGCAACATCGTGCAACAATAGCCATTGCCATGTATTGGCATCAATGATCAGAACTTATCATGTTTATCAATGATCACTACTATTTATAATGTTTTTCATTCCTACATTCCTTTTCATGATAAAACACTCTTTAGCTGTAGCATGCAGAGACGTGGTGGGACCTTCAGGCGTGAACTACCAGCTGTGCTTGGACATGGATGGTGCAGTGGAGGATTTTCAGATTTTCAGTATTCTCGCTGAAACTTTGCATGTCCTGCCTGAAAGCATCTAAAGCTTTGTAACCCCTGTCCCCGTCCCCCAATTTGGCTCCCCTCTTCAGGATCTTGCTTTTGGGTATACTGGTCAGACAATCTATGTCAGTGCAGTTGCAACATGGCGGCATTGCTGTGAAACGCTGTGAAGCAAAGTCAGGCAGCGAACTCCGAAGAGCACTGCGATTTCAGCTGTTGTTCTACAGGTGTCTACACCAAATGTGGCAGTGACACAGACCTTCAATACATATTTGGAGCTGACTTGCGAATCTGCCGACGCCTGTCGTTCCCTTAGCTGATGTGGCGTGGCTTAGTTAACAAATACATCAAATACACGAGCCGTTTGCGAGTGAACGCCGATGAAAAATCACCAGTTCCAAGGTCCTGACACTGCAATGATCTACTTGGCCATTTCGACCAGTGAATGTGCGACGGTCGCTTTGGCTTGATTTTTTGACAGCAGTGGAATCATGTGGAATCTTCTGCGATTTGCTTCTGCGATTTGCCTCACTTTCCAGATGTATGTGGCAACCGTGGTACTTTTTGGTACTTTTCACTGTACTTTTCACGGTACTTGTTGTTTTTGCCATCGGTGGTCATGGCAGGCTACCAGTGCGAACATCTTCAATACACCACCCACGCAGACTGCTGCTGCAGTCATCTTAGGCCAAGTCGTCCATTCTGTCCATATCTGTCACACATTGAGTAAGACATGACTCCATGATAACTCCATGTTCAGAATCTCTTCAGAATCTTTTCAAGTATTCTTGAGTTGTTTGTACATATTTGTCACAATGATTTGTCCATTTTCACGCTGATTCTCGCCTGGGCTGTTTGTCGCAAGTCTGGAGAATCCCAGAAAAATGATTTGTCCAATGCAGATGTTGCCAGGCGACACCGGCACCACCACCAGATATCAGGAGGCCATTGACTCGACTGACTCCATGAAATGAACATAATAAAAGTTGTCTATACAAAAAGCGGGATGAACCGATCCATTGCGAAGCATGGCAGGTAGAGGCAACTGGTTTGACTGGTGGAGTCCCTTGGTGAAAACAGTTTGGGCCAATTCATATCCTCTTTGTCTATTGTTAGTTCTATGTCTCTATGTTTTGGGCATGGGTCCAACATGTCCAACATGTCCTAGACTCTTTGAGGCTCAGATTATCAGAATGAATGAGCATCAAAAAATGAACAAACGGGCCTTTGGTTTTAGTTTGTCATGTTCAATTTAAAAAATGGGGCCCGACGTCACTCCCAATGCCCGGGGATATTTGTTGGTGCCACTTGATTTTGGGCCAAGGCGAGCTATCAGATTTGCATGGATTTGGATGGTTCCGCAACCAGCACCGTTGGAGGCCAGAGGTGAAGCCACATCGAACCTGAGAGATTTCTGCACGTTGAAAATCAGGATCAGAGAATTGCCAACAGTTGGATGAGATATGCGCAATGACCCTGAAATTCACCACACTTAAAGCACACTTGGAGAACACAACTGGACCTGAAAAGTATTGCCAAGTTTTCCAACAGGCACCTCAGTTGCAAAAACATTCGGCTGGACTGGGCTGACGGTTTTCCTCTCCACAGCACCTGGACAGCAGTTCGATCATGAGTTGAATCGATGTTGATCGATGATTCACCGTTGATCACTATTTCAGAATTGTTTAAATGAAATGATTTGAAACTTTGGAGATTACATCAGTCACCATCAGTCTTTCATCAGTTTTTTTTCGCGATTTCTAAGGTCACTGCAGTAGATCCTCCCAGAATTGACAATGCTGCTGGTCAAGTCCTACAGCTGACATGTGACTCGGCACCAAATCCACATGAATCCACAGATGCCTGGTTAAGGTGGTGTCGATAGCAGATAGCTACATAAAACCAATCATATAGCCACTGTAGATACTGGTAGTTCTTCCGAAAAGTTCAATTCAATCCAATTCAGTTTCTTTAGTTCCTGTGCTATGCTTTTTCATTTTCTCAACTTTTGCTTTCCAGATAGCGTCCGGCTATGCAATGAAATCATGACATTCTCTACGTGTTCCAAACAAGAGATGGAAGAAGTAGACCTTTTCATGGAGTGTCAGCAGCATTACAGTATTGTAATTGTATACGTAGTATATTTGCTTATATTTGTAGTAATCCATCCCATTCTATCCCATTTCCCAAGATTTTGTGCCTGTGAGGTGTAAATGGAAATGCTGGTTGCCCACAATCTGCAGCTTCGCTTTATTTGACCAGTGAGGGTCGTTGTCAGTGCCTCAGAGTTGACCCGACTTGATCAGCGATGGAGCCATCGGTGCACCACAGCAGTGCGGAGGTGAAGATCTGATCTACGATGGATCCCAAACTGTGGCAAACAGTTCTCGAACCCTCTCAGCGAAGCTCGGTCTTGTCGATTGAAGCTTCGTATGTCCAAGGAATCATGTTCAATCACTTCAATCATGTTCAATCAGACTCCAACTGGAATCTGCTTGAAACTGGACTTCGCCAAGGATCGTTTATCAACCTTCCGCTAACGTGCAAGCCGTCCAGTTTGATACCAGCGGCTTGAAAGTGGGAGACCTCTATGAGCTTTGCAGCTGCCTTAATGTTGTCATGTTGCAGCTTAGGTTACCAGAGATACAATCAAGAGTGCCCCAAAAGACAATCTGCAACAAATGACCAAGTAATCCAAGTATCAAGCTCAACCAGTGATCAACCAGTGATCAACCAGTGATCAACCAGTGATCAACCAGTGATCAACCTGAAAGCGAATTCTAAAGGTGTCGACAACGATGGAGCAACAACCGGTGTGGCATTTGGCAGCTCCGCAGTCAAAGTCTTCGTCACTGCACCAATCTCCATCGCAGCAGTGCGATATTTGCCGCACCTCAGCAGATTGACGAAGCGAAAACCGCTGTGGTCTTGCTATGTTGAAAAAGCGGTGTTGCGTCCGATGTTTCATGATTCTGAGGCGAACAGTGGATCCCACTAGCGGTCAATATATTGTGTTAGACTGCAGCTCTGGATGCTCTGAAAACAGCACTGCTTATTTGGTGCCTTGGATTCACCATGATTCACCTTGTTGCGACATGTTGCGCCCAAGTTCTTCGCCCAAGTTCTGGCAGTTGGATCCCCTCGGATCAACCCGTCGGGTCCCGTCGGGTCTGAGGCTTTGAGCTGTGACACCACCAGCAACACGGCGAAAGCTGCGGTGGCTGGTAGCAACACTGCCTCAGCGCCGTTGATCCAGGAGAGGGTTGGAAGACGCATGGATTCTACCGCCATGACCATCAGACCTCTGACTTCTGCTGACTTCTGCTGACTTCTGCTGACTTCTGCTGACTTCTGCTGACTTCTGCCAGATTTGTCCAAACTGAAGGAGTCTTCAAACTGGAAAATCAGCTTTGATGCTACAGGGCTTGCTGAGGGCTATTACTACTCAGTTTGCATCGATGCTCGGCAAATCCAAGCAAAACTCCGGAAACACAACATGCCAAGAACCTTGTAGGGAGCGATTTCTAGAAAGTGTGTGGGCATTTGTCTGTTGGCATGGTGGTTCTGACTAAGGACATGGACGGCATCGCCCTGAGTTTCACAGCGCTGAGATGTTCCCAAATTACAACCTATCAATGACTGCGATTGCGTCACAGCTATTGCAGGTGAAGAGACAGATCAATACTCAGGAGATTCAGGAGCACAGAAACAGAAGTGGAACTGTGAATTACTTGCAAGTGCAAACAAATATAACAAATATAACACATGAAAAAATGATCACCAATGTTTGGAATGTTTGGAATTGTAATTTTGGTGCAGATATGAACTATGTATATAAATGTATATAATATACTGTAACTATTGTGAACTTCTCTATCTTTTCTTGCTCCAGGAGTTGTGGTTTACATCAATCCGTTGACTCCTGCGATGGCCATGGCACTCCCAGCCGCGTCGGGTCAGGCACTCCGGAGACATCCAATATCTGTGAATAATATTGAACAACACACAACAACATATATGGATTACAATTATTAAAGGGCTACGCCCTCTGCCGCCGACCCCTGGACACTGGAGGGTCATGCCTGCCTCTGTGTCGTAAGCATGAAATGAACCCTAAAGAAACCAGAAACTGACCTAAACAAACCATTTGTATGTGCGTTTGGCACTGTGCACATGCAAGCAGCATGGACCCCTGCAGGATGACACGCACAACTATGTGCTCTGACACTTTTTCATGGCTCAAGAAATAGGAGCTTTCGTCATTGGGCAGGTGTCTTGGGGACCTAAAGGGTTGCTCTAGCACTTGAGACCCATACCCGAAGCCCCCGTTCGTAACCGCAGTATGAAACTTTAAATGGCATCCTAAAGAGACCCGAGACGACACTGCACTGCCAACTGCCACCCTGCTCGTGTCCTCCTGGAGCCGGCTTTCGTTCTGCACCGCTTCGGTCCAAGCTGGAGTCCAAGGACCGTGTCGCAGGGCTAAAACACCATGGCAGTGAAGGACGGATTGGGCCGCGGCCCGTATCCCAGACTGCCAAACGTCACTTTCTGAGCCGACTAGAAACTAGCTCCAAACCTTGACTTTTCCTACGTTTCTGCACTGCCAACTGCCACCCTGCTCGTGTCCTCCTGGAGCCGGCTTTCGTTCTGCACCGCTTCGGTCCAAGCTGGAGTCCAAGGACCGTGTCGCAGGGCTAAAACACCATGGCAGTGAAGGACGGATTGGGCCCGCGGCCCGTATCCCAGACCAAACCTTGACTTTTCCTGCGTTTCTGCACTGCCAACTGCCCCCCTGCTCGTGTCCTCCTGGAGCCGGCTTTCGTTCTGCACCGCTTCGGTCCAAGCTGGAGTCCAAGGACCGTGGCAGTGAAGGACGGATCTGAACCGACTAGGAACTAGCTCCAAACCTTGACTTTTCCTGCGTTTCTGCACTGCCAACTGCCACCCTGCTCGTGTCCTCCTGGGGCCGGCTTTCGTTCTGCACCGCTTCGGCCCAAGCTGGAGTCCAAGGACCGTGTCGCAGGGCTAAAACACCATGGCAGTGAAGGACGGATTGGGCCCGCGGCCCGTATTCCAGACTGCCAAACGTCACTTTCTGAACCGACTAGAAACTAGCTCCAAACCTTGGCTTTTCCTGCGTTTCTGCACTGCCAACTGCCACCCTGCTCGTGTCCTCCTGGAGCCGGCTTTTGTTCTGCGGCTCCAGAGTCCAAACCTTGACTTTACCTGCGTTTCTGCACTGCCAACTGCCACCCTGCTCGTGTCCTCCTGGAGCCGGCTTTCGTTCTGCACCGCTTCGGTCTAAGCTGGAGTCCAAGGACCGTGTTGCAGGGCTAAAACACCATGGCAGTGAAGGACGGATTAGGCCCGCGGCCCGTATCCCAGACTGCCAAACGTCACTTTCTGAACCGACTAGAAACTAGCTCCAAACCTTGACTTTTCCTGCGTTTCTGCACTGCCAACTGCCACCCTGCTCGTGTCCTCCTGGAGCCGGCTTTCTTTCTGCACCGCTTCGGTCCAAGCTGGAGTCCAAGGACCGTGTCGCAGGGCTAAAACACCATGGCAGTGAAGGACCCCAGACTGCCAAATGTTGAACGACTAGAAACTAGCTCCAAACCTTGACTTTTCCTGCGTTTCTGCACTGCCAACTGCCACCCTGCTCGTGTCCTCCTGGAGCCGGCTTTCGTTCTGCACCGCTTCGGTCCAAGCTGGAGTCCAAGGACCGTGTCGCAGG